TTTTGCCCCAGGATACAGGCAATTTGTCAGCCTCAACCATTTCCGTCTAGTTTCTTCCTGAAGAATTTAGACAGAGGCGGAGCTGCCCTTTAAAAGTTATTCTCTTTCTTTCTTTCTTTTTCTTTCTTTCTTTCTTTCTTTCTCTTTCTTTCTTTCTCTCTCTCTCTCTCTCTTTTCAGTGCCATTTTAATTTCAAACAGTCGCTAAACGAACGGTTGTAAGATGAGGACCACCTGTATGGATTTCTCATTGTTTTCCAACTTCACTTGCCAGGGTGAAGAGATGGAGAGTGTTTCTGAATTAAATCTCCCCAGATGAATTCTCAAAAAAACAACAACAATATGTTGCCTTCTATGTGGTCAGGATTATACTTTCCCGACCTGTTGCCTTCTATGTGATCAGGATTATAATTCCCTCCACCCCAGGCCAGAACAACCAGCAGGGTGACAGGAGTTGCACCTTCACCCTACTGAAAAAAGCCATCCTAAAATCTTCCCAGGCTCATTTGAATAGACTTTTCCTCTGCTGGATGAGATCAGTGATCTGGGTGGCGGAAACATCTGAAAAATCGAAAAATTTGGGTAGAGGAAGTGTCCGAGTCCTTCCCACCACCAATTTTCCCTGCACGGTTGCTCTCCTCAGTGGTTTGGCTTGTTGATGCTCCAAAACAAGAAGAAATGTGCATTTCAGGATTACAGAATTAAAGCTGTTACACCGGTGGCCAAAATTTCAGGTCTCCTGGATAGAATTTGGAGGTATATTTTTTATTTTCAGCGCGCGACAAACGCCCAGCCGCTGGAATGTAAACGAGGAAGCTGGCAATTCCACTTTTTTAAAGGTTTTTCTTTTCTTTCCTACGTACTGCCGTATGGATTTGTGTCCCTACCTCTGGCAACAAGAAAACAGAGAAGGAAGCGTATTCTGTTTGTATGAGGTTCTGGAACCGGGGCAGACAAAAACAGCTTCAGAAGGGATGTGATCAAGGGAGGGGAAGGGGCAGAGCAAGGGTGTCGGCGAGCATCTGGACTCAAGGAGAGGCTGATCCCGTGCCAACAATGACAAACGCGGCTGTAAACGGCACCGGAGCGAGATGCTGACACCTTGGGAACGCAAGGTTACCCTTCCCCTTGCAAAGGAACAGGGCCGGTTTTAATGGGCCAAAACCGACAGCAGGGAAATGAGAGACCAAAATTAAAAATAATAATAACAATAATAATGGCCATTCGTAAGATTGCAGCTTCCCGCCTGCCTCGGTCCCTTTGACGCTGCTACGGAGAAAGGCCCTTGCCCTCCTTTCGGCACGGATTATTTAGATTGAAGGTTATTTCAAGGAGACTGGGTGGCTTGCAATAAAAACCGCAGCGATGGTCGAGTGGTCGGGGGGGGGGGAAAGAGGAGGGCACGTTGTGGGCAGGTTTCTAGTCCTCGTGGCCACTGTCACAAACTCAATCATTGCAATGTCTACACAGGGCGGGGTGAGGGGGGCATTTAAACTGACGGAGGAGGAGACAGAAGTAACTAAGACAGGGGTCTTCAAACGTGGCCCTTTGATGACTTGTGGACATCAACTCCCAGAATTCCTCAGCCAGGCTGAGGAATTCTGGGAATTGAAGTCCACAAGTCATCAAAGGGCCACGTTTGAAGACCCCTGGACTAGGAACTGCCCCACCCTTTGGCTAATAGCAGTGTGATTTGAGGCTAGCAAGAAGCTGTAGCTGGAAATAAAAGCCTTTTCTGTAAGGCAACTTAGGTGGATTGTATGAGAACTGGGGGTGGAGGAAGAGCAGGCAGCTAGTGTGATTATTTTAAGGACTCCCTAACCAGGCCCTGCAAAGTCGTGAAACCTACACAAAAACTCCCAGATTAGCTTTGGGGCCTGCCGGGACTGTGGTGGGCAGCCGGACGCACGCCTCAGGCAAGCGAGTCCAGCTACAACTGGGAAGTCAACGATGCAATTAGTTCGAGGTCTCTGCAGAGCCCGGTGCAGATAGACCGGATTAGGCAACACCTAAGCAGAAAAAAGGAAGGAGTGATGGGAGAGTAAGCAAAAAAAAAAAAAGATTAATTAAAAGAGAAGCAAAAAAAAACAAAAAACAAAACTGGGCCCCTGTATGCATTGGGGGGGGGGTTCACCTCCAGATCAGGTTTTATTTCAGGGCACCGTTTAGCATTGCAGTGTGCTCCTCCCCTCCCTCCCTCCCTCCCTCCCTCCCTCCCTCCCCCCACTCGCTTTTCCCAACGAATTATTTTTATTTTATATCTACGTCTATATATAGATATATAGCTGCTATGCGTTTCTCTTTCCTCTGAGCAATTACACGGCAGTATATAAAGAGCAGGGGAGATGATGTTAATTAAACAGAAGATAATTTCTGTCAGCCCACAGAGTGGGGGGGGCAAGGGGTGGGGGGGGAGGAGGAGGAGGAGGAGAGGGGGGGGGGAGGGAGAGCACACTGGGCCCTCAGCTCCTTGGAAAATTTCTCTGCTCAAAGCACAGGTATTCATGTCAGCAAGAACGGGGCTGATTTATTTCAATAATCATCGCAATAAACGTGACCCAAAAATAAATAAATAAAATAAAAATTGCTGCTGGGAGATAACAGAGCAAAGACGATGGGTGGAAGGTACAACGGGAAATCTGAACTTGCAGCCAATGCTCCTGGTCTAGGAAAAAAACAACAACAACGATGCAAAGACGAAGGTGGACACACAACAGTGTTGAGACATTTTAGGCCTGCAGATTCCTCCCGGATAAGGTCGGCATCTGAAAGCCTGCGGTGGTGACTGTTAAGCCAAGACCAGCTTTCTGAGCTGATGGAAACCGCCAAGAGACAAAAGTCCTGGTGTTGTCTGCAAAGTGTCAGGATGGGTTAATATGTCAGATAAGGTCAGATAATAACATCTGCAGGTTTTTGGTTTTTTTTTTAAAAAAAAGAACAGTGAGGATTCTGGAATAGTACAGGTAGCCCTCGGCATACGGCCACAATTGAGCCCAAAATGTCTGTCGCTAAGCAGGACGGTTGTTAAGCGAATTTCGCCCCGTTCTACGACCTTCCTTTGTTAAATGAATCGCCAGAGTTGTTACATGAATCTGGCTTCCCCATTGACTTTGCTGGTCGGAACGTCGCCAAAGGGGATCACGTGAACCTGGGGCGTTGCCACCGTCGTAAATAGGAGTCAGTGGACAAATGTCTGAATTTTGATCACGTGACCCAAGGGGTGCTGAGTGTGAAAAATGGTAATAAGAATAATTTATATATTGTTGGTTAAGACACCAAGCTAGAAAGCCATGTTTTTCTGTGCCACTGTTAACTTTAAACAGTCACTAAATGAACTGTTCTAAGTTGAGGACTATCTGTAATATTCCAGGATCCTGTATTTCAGAGTCGTCTGGCTAAATATTGTCTGACAAAAATGGTTAGTTTATAAACAGATGGCAAATATAGCTTCTTTTGGATTAGTTATTTATTCTGCCTCATCTCTGGCTATATTATTCACACGCTGCAATCAGAAGTGTTTGGTTTTTTTTCAAATCCTTCCTATAAAAGCCATGAACTACAATCGGCGAATCCTAACAACTGGGTTAACACAATACATTACATTATGACTTAGTGTTGTAAGTGAATCTACCTACTGAATAAAACCACTTTAGTAAAGTATAAAGACCACCAAGTTCTCTTCTCCAAAGCTGGTCATTGACAAAACAATGGAATAAAAAATAAATTAAAAAATAAATAAATAAAACAAAAATAAAATTAAAAAGGCAAATGGAAGGAAAGGAGAAAGAACGGAGGACAATGCTGTGAGGTTTGGTTGGATCTGGCCACGAGAAGGAATGAAGATCAACTGTCAGCCTCAAAGCAAAGGCGGGTTTTGAGAACAGAAGAAAATTTTAGAAATTTAGCCCAGCTTCCTAATCCTTTTGGCTTTTGCCACACACAAAAATTATCCTCCCACTCAATTCATAATGTTACATGCTGCAATTGGCAGGAATTTCACAGACGGCATATTGACACACACACACATTAAAAAAAATCTTCAGTGGGAAAGAAATAAAATGTACGGAGGTGTATATATATATATATATATGTGTGTGTATATATATATATATATATATATATATATATATATATATATATATATATATATATATATATATTTTCTGAGGTTTTCGCGGGTGTTTGTATGTAGGTCTTTGGTTGTTCGGGTTTTCTCCCGCGTAAAATTGGAAGTGTCTTGGCGACGTTTCGACGAAGTCCCATTCGTCATCTTCAGGCTGGTGTTTTCAGCTTCGTGCTTCGAGCACGAAGCTGAAAACACCAGCCTGAAGATGACGAATGGGACTTCGTCGAAACGTCGCCAAGACACTTCCAATTTTACGCGGGAGAAAACCCGAACAACCAAAGACCTACATATATATATATATATATATATATATATATATATATATATATATATATATATATATATATATATATATTTTCCAAGTCAGAATGCATCTGATATAGAGCAGAGAGTTGGAGAAGCCTATCTGTGGAATTGGATGGATCTTTTTTTTTTTTTTCAAAGAGTCTGAGAGATTGAGCAACAGAGTTTGCGAAAGAGGAGGTTTATTATTATGTATTATTCTTTCAATTCAGCTGCTCTTTCCTCACCGCCTTGAGAATCTTGGCTAACAAATCCCCACGGCTAGAAAGGATTTTCTCCACGCTTCGGATACAAAATCTGGGAGCAGGCTAGTCTGAGAAGGGAAGCTGGAAAAGCCTGGATGACACACACACAAACACACACACACACACCAGCAAACCACAGGAGGAAAGGCAGCTGAGTCAAAACACAGGGGTCATTTGGAGAGCATGAAGCTGCGCTGCTGAGCATCTTTTTCATGGAGCACTTTGCTGAAGTTCCCCCAAAGATGAAGGGGAAGACGGAGGGTTCACTGGAAGGAGGGTGGGGAAAGCAACGGACTTCTAGATAAGGCTTGCACTGCACATACTCACCAGGGCTTGGCGTGATGCTCCATTCTCTGCTCCAGAAGAGCTGATCTGTGCAAAGAAAGAGCAAGGTTAGACTGCCACCCAATGGTCATCTCTTAGCAAATGTACAGCTGCACACTACAGAGGTGGGAGGAAGGCTTATAAACTGTGCAAATCTATTATTAAAAAAAAAAAGTTCCAATTAAAAGGGTGCAATAATGGAAAGGCTACAATCATTGAGTACTAGCAATGCTAGAATAAAGAGTCTGACCTGGTATAAGGCAGTGGCCCTCCTTTTCAAGCCTAATCCTGCACTAGCCTAATCCTGTTTCATTGCTGAATTGGGACCAAGGGAAAGAGTTAAATTATGGACTCAAAGTTTGTGGGAAAGAAACTATACATTGACAATGTCGGTTTCATACAAAGAAAACTTATATAAAATGTTTCATAGGTGGCATTTGCCACCAACAAGATTAGCAAAACTGTTTAAAAACATGCCAGAGAAATGTTGGAAATGTAAACACAAACCAGGTACTTATTATCATATGTGCTGGACATGTGTTAAAGCCAGGAGATATTGGACAATAATCCACACTTGGTTAGAAAAAAATGTTAGAGAAACACACAGACTATAAACCTGATCTTTTTTTTAAACCAGGTACAAGGCCAGAAAAACTTGATAAGCAAAGTACATATTTGATTCTATATGTGATAGCAGCGACAAGAATTATATTTGCACAATATTGGAAGAACGAAGAAATACCACCAGAAGAAGAAATAATCCAAAAAATATCGGACCGTGCGGAAATGGACAGACTTACTTTAAGGTTGAAAGTAAAAGAAGAAATGGAATATTTTCAAACTTGGGACCTATTTTATCAATGCTTAGAGAAAAGATTTAGGGATTAGGAATTTAATTTGTATTAATGAATAAGATACTCAGACAATACGTTTTTGTTGAATTATTATTATTATTGAACTCTGTTAAAAATAATAATAAAATTTTTAAAAAATTATGGACTCATATAATTTACACCTGCATTGGGTGGTGCTACCATAGTTGGATTGCTACACAATGCACTTGTGTAGCTCAGACTGCTGTTGCAAACCAGCTTGAGGTGTGACTTCCCTCTGCGGCTCGGCACAAGGGAGAGTAGAAAGATGGTATCAAAGTAAGACGTAACTACAACTACTCTGGAGTTGTAAGGGAAAACTGAAAAGCTGCTTAGGGAAAGAAAACAGTAAGCATAGAAGGAAAATGTGTGGGTGGAAAGAAAGTGTAACGTGGGAGCAAAGCACTTCCATTCCTTGAAGGAAGTCACAAGTCCAAGCTCTATTTTAAAAAGGCCAGGTAGCAGGAAATCGGAAAATCTTAGCTGACTTTACATTTATTGACAACTCCATAAAGAGGCTGCGTCCTTTCCTGGGCTTATGAAGCTGATCCCAGGACGAACATATATGAATTAAGGAGGGACCGGTGGGTGTCTGTCCCACGTAGACTTGCTCTGAATTTCTTTTTCTCTTTCGGTTAGCGCACGGCTGCAAGACATAGCCTTGTGAGAAGAGTCCAAGTAAAACTCCTATCCAAGTCATCTCACACAAATACAAAAAGGCAAGGAGAAGAGGAAGAAAAAAGAAACGGTCTGTTAAAAGGCCTCAGCTGAAACACACAGTTGATCGTTCTAATTCCCAGATGGGTGGTCAAGGAAAATGCAGGTAATTTTGCATTTGCAGGTTTTTTTATGGGTGGGGAAAAAAAAGTGCTGCTGCTCTACTGCCCACTTCTTTGGGCTAAATTCAGTTTGGTTTATGACTATTATTTTACCGACTATTCTGTGGAAGTCATAAGAGGGAACTTGACACTCCTGTGGGATCCACCAAGTTAGGTGAATGGTGGCAATCTTCTCCCGGAAGAAATACATGCATGGTTTGATATAGTAAGATGAGCCCACTCCTCTGTAAATGCTAATGTTAATATGTCAACCAGGTAGGGCATCACAATAAGCACTGGAATTCTACTTTATTGATATAGGCTAGAATAACAGTGGCTCCCCTCCTTCCCTGTATACCATAAAGAGTCAAGACGGGGCTGTCTTGAGTTTCTTTATCACCTTTTCCTGTTTCCTCCGGCTAAGCTCATAGTTTACTGACTCCCGCCATATATTTTCTTCACTAGCTCTTTGTATTCTACCTTATATTGCCAAAAAGGAATCTTCCACTCGCAAGGCCCCTTTCTTTCCCAAAAGTTCAATGAAAAAAAAAAGATTGTTAACTCTGGAAGGAGGGGGGGGAGAGAGAGAAATAGAAAGCTGTAGAGAAAACTGAATGCATTTTTAAAAAAGAAAACAGTGCAACTGATAGATTAACAAACAGCTGTGCACCACCGCATACGATGGCAAATCCAATTAATATGTGAGTATTTGTATATGCTACGAACCGTTTGACCTCCAGAGTCGGCAGGTGAAAAAGATGAAAGGGCAATTTCAATAGACTCTGATGGAGGTTTGGCTGCCGATTAATATTCAAGCCGATATCTGCCTTTGTGCAGAATTCAAGATGTTTGTGGAATTAAAAAAAAAAGAACGGCGAAAGAACGGGAGGAGAAGTGTGATGTGGTGCTTAAAAGAAATTCCTGGCAGCAATATCTCCAGGTTTGTCTAAACTTGAGGTCCAAAAAGTGTGGCCTATTAACATTCTTGCTGGGCCCAGAGACCCCCCCCCAAATGGGTGTGGCCCATTTTTGTGTGTGTTTTATCATTTGAGATTTAACGGGGGCAAAATTGGTGCTTTACACTTGGGGATGTTTAAGGAGCCTTTTTTTGGGGGGGGGTACCCCTTTAAACTTCCTGGGGCCACTTTCAGAAAGTGGCTCTCAACATGTCGTATACAGTCTAGTGTGTCCTCTTGGCTAACAGCAATTGGGCAGCCCTGTCCTAAGAGCAAACAACCCGTTAATTTACCACCAATAAACTCAGAAGGAATACCACTAGAAAAAGTTGAAAGGATCACGCACCTCGGTTCCAATTTACATGAAAGCTGGGACATGAACGTTGAAGTAAAGACAAGGATAGAAAAAGCCCGAGCAGCATTCTTCAAAATGAAAAAGGTCTTCTGCAGTCACGAAATAAGCCTAAGACTGAAAATCAGGCTTCTCAGGTGCTATATTTTTTTCTATCCTGCTCTATGGAGTAGAGAGTCGGTCTCTGACACAAGGCCACCTGAAGAGACTGGAAGCATTTGAAATGTGGATTTATAGGCAGCTGTTATGTATAAGCTGGGTTGACAAGATCAGAAATGAGGAGGTGATCAGCCACCTGGGAAAGCCCAGGGAAATCATCAAAACAATTAAAAAATGAAAATTAGAATATTTTGGACATGTGATGCGACACCCAGAAAAATACAGCCTACTCCATTTAATCCTCCAGGGAAAGATGGAAGGCAAACGAGGTCCAGGCAGAAGAAAAACATCGTGGCTTCAAAATCTAAGGGACTGGTTTGGACAAAATTCAGCAGCACTTTTTCGTGCGGCTACTGATAAAAACAGGATCGCCAACATGATCGCCAACGTCCGATAACAGATATGGCACAAGAAGAAGAAGTCCTAAAATAGTGCTTCTCAACGTTTGTGTGACGGCGACCCCCGTCACACAAACGTGCCGCACACATGCGCGGCGCTGCCCCCACGCGTGGCGCGCATGCGCGGCGCCACCCCCGAGGGGAAAAAATGGCAGATCACCTTGTTTGGCGACCCCCGAGAAATGGTCGATCGACCCCAAATGGGGTCGCGACCCATAGGTTGAGAACCGCTGTCCTAAGAGAATCTAAGAGTTGAAGAACACACAGAAAAAAATAGCCTCCCCCTTTCAATTTTTTTTTTTTTATCACAAGCCTTTCTCATTCCTGTAATGTTGTGATAAAAGAAAGATGGCTGATGATTAAATGTCTATCTTTTTCTTGCTTTTCAGCTCATATTACTGAGCCGGAACTTCTCAACTGCCCTCATCTATTACCTTCTCAGAAACCACAATTGCTCTTTTTTTCCCTTTTAAAGACTTTATTGAATTTTACATAAATGTACAGATATTTTAAAAAAAAACCTTCCAGACTCCTCAGAGACGCAGCCTAAATGATTCATCCAATTAGAACTTCATTTGGCTATTATGGAAGATATTGAGCCCTATAAATCAGTTCAGGTTAAGATGAATGAATAAGAAAAAGACAAATGTTTATGGATGTGTCTAAAGAAATGGATTAAGAAAATAAAAAGGCAGAGTATATATATATATATATATATATATATATATATATATATATATATATATATATATATATATATTAAAAAAACAAGAGTAGAAAAACAGGCTTTCTGACGAAGAATTTTCTGATGCTTGTTCAGTTTCTTAAATACATCGGCTTTCAATTGAAAATCACCAGACTCCTGCATCAGTCACACCCAGACCTACAACTGTAATTTTGCACAGGTTAAAGATGAATTCACGGTTCACTGTTAGAAAAGGATAAGAAAAACCGTGCACAAATGGCGGGACTGCTTACAGCAGTGGTTCTCAACCTTTCTAATGCCGTGACCCCATAATACAGTTCCCCATGTTGTGGTGACCCCCAAGTGGGTGTGGCCACCAATAAGAGGGAGTAGGACAGCTAAGGAAAAGGGGGAAAAAATGGCGGACAGCATGGTTTGGTGACCCCCGTGAAATGGTCATTCGACCCCAAATGGGGTCCCGACCCACAGGTTGAGAACCACTGGCTTACAGACATGCAGAAACAGATCAAAATAAGCACTGTGTAAATATAAACAGCCATGTACAAATATCACAGCTATTCATATGTACCAGAGGGAATTTTCTGCTACTGTGCTATCCAACAAAGGAAAGGAATGAAATAAGAAAGTTCTTCCTGTATTCCTAGAAAGGACTCTCCAGCCTTTCTGGGCGTCCATCGCAACCGGCTACGCTGGCTGTGACTGACAGCATTTTGTGGGCATACCAGCTGGCCAAATGTCAATCAACTCATTAAGATGCCTAGATTCAAAGAATGGGAAGGCATTCGGGATGATAAGAATTTAAGTGTGATTATAAAAAAAAAAGAAACAGGTGTTTTTAATTTCTGTAGACAAAGAGTTTTGTATCTCCACCTTCCCAGGCTGGGGACAACGTAAGGAAAATCTCTTACGCCTCTTTCCTGGGGGAAAAAAAGGGGAATTCGCAGATTTGCAGATTGTGCCCGCCGCCTTAGTGCTCTGTAAATGCAGGACTACCACTTCCATCACACCCACCTAAAGAAAGGCAGTCTGACTGGCAGAGATTATCAATCGTATTTAGAAACTGCCCATCTGCCAATCAATCAATCAATCAATCAATGAGACCCTCCAGTGCCTTCTTTCTTCTCTGCTGGAATTAAAGCCCACCCTCTCCTCCCCTTCTGGAGAGGCGGGCAGAGAGGGCTGAAAAAATATATCTCCCTCCCTCTTCACTGCCTTTCATTTCAGACAGCAGCAAAGGCTACGATTTTTATTCCTTACCCTGGCTCTTTTTCAAAGGGGCAGAAGCGGCTTCTCCTCTCCCCTTTTGCCCCTGCACAAGGCACCCCCAACCCCCCCCAACTCCCCCATCCCCTTTTAGGAATCCTCCCTTGCTTTTTTCTTTTCTTAAAGGAGGGGGAGGGTGGGAGAGCACCTTTCTCACCCCCCTGCCTTCACTTATGTGGTCCCAAAAGACCCCCTCCCATTCTAAGATAAGATAACCTTGTTATTTATTGCTGGCACACGTTAAACTCTGCTGCCTGCTCTCAAAAGTGTACACGTACACAACACCCGTGGAGACGTGCTAGAGACATACAAATGTGTATGCCCTGCACCCTTCTATACACCCTTATGGGGCAAAAGCCTCTGCTTCCCCTATCGTATTTCTAGGGGGTTCTCCCCTAAGAGCCTACATAAGGGGGGGAAGAGGGAGGGGAAAGAAGGGGGCACCCCCCCTCCTCTCCTCCCTTTCTCCACTACGGGCCAAAGGGCCCCCAGCACCTGCCCTTCCTTTGATGGGAGCTGGGGGTTCCCCCCCTTTGCAACTCCAAAGCGGACCCCCGACGGCCCTAAGCGCCCCTCTCCAAGATGGGGAGACGCCCCCCCCCTTCCAGGCCTCTGCCCTCCCCCCCCCCACTGCAGCCTCGGCTCACCTGCCCAGGTTGCTCAGCCTGCTCGGAGGAGGCCATGTTTCCAGACCCGGCTAATCGCAGCGGGCCGGCACAGGCGGCAGAGGAAGGCGGCGAGGCGAGGCAGGAGCAATCGAGGCCCGAGGCGCCGATCGGGAGAAGCGCTTGGCTGCCCTGGGGGGGGGGGTCTCCCCCACGTGCGGGGTCGGGAGCTGGGCTTTAGAAAGAAGGCACGGGGCTCGCTTTTGCCGATCCCTGCTCGAAGGAAACGTCCAGGATTTAAGAGAACTTCTAACATCAAATGACTAGGGATAGATAGATAGATAGATAGATAGATAGATAGATAGATAGATAGATAGATAGATAGATAGATAGATAGATAGATAGATAGATAGATAGATAGATAGATAGATAGATAGATAGATAGATAGATAGATGATGGATAGATAGATAGATAGATGATGGATATAGATAGATAGATAGATAGATAGATAGATAGATAGATAGATAGATAGATAGATAGATAGACAGATCAATAGAAATAGATAAATAGATGATGGATATAGATGATAGAGATAGATAGATAGATAGATAGATAGATAGATAGATAGATAGATAGATAGATAAACAGATCGATAGAAATAGATAAATAGATGATGGATATAGATGATAGAGATAGATAGATAGATAGATATAGAGAAATCATAGATAGATATATACATGATAGATAGACAGACGAAGGAAGGAAGGAAGGATATGATAGGAGATAGATAGATAAATAGTATATCTTGCAACTGAATTACTACGTACACTGGGGCATTTAGATCCAAATGTCCAGCCTTGGCAACTTTAAGACTTGTGGACTTCAACTCCCAGAATTCCTCAGCCAGCGTGCCTGTCTGAGGAATTCTGGGAGTTGAAGTCCACCAGTCAAAAGATCCCAGTTTGAAGACCCCTAAAATGGAGGGTCCCTTCCAATTTTTCCCCCTCTTAAGGCAGCAAGCATGTGGACTTAATAAAATGCTAAAAATGTTAAGAAGTACTCTGCAAGTCTTCAAACATGGAGTGTCTTTAAGAGAGTTAAAAGGCCCACTGTGAAAAATAAACATTTTGGAGTCGATAAAAAATCACACTCACAAACTCAGAATGTAGTGACTGACGTTTGGCAGGAGCTGGGAAGATGACTAAGCGAGACAAACCCTTTTTGTTTTCAACCAATCGGACGTTGGAGCGGGGATGAAAACTACACCTCCCATCATGCCGCAGCATCGTGGGAGGGCGCCTTTGAGACGGAACTACATTTCCCAGAGTGCCTCGGCAGGCGATGCCAGGCTCTGATTGGTTTCCTTACAGAGAGCTGTCTTGCCGTCCTGCAGAATTCAAAGCCAAGGGGAGCAAAGTGAAAGCAAAGCCAAGCGATGGCAGAAGGTGCTTCAGGGCTACCCCGGTTGAAGCAATGCCTGATCAGGCGGACAGGCCAACAGGAACAGCATGGGGTGGCCGCCTCCACCCTCCAGGAACTGAAGATTAAAGGTAAGACTTTCTGCTCTGGGGCTAGCAGACCCATTTTGCTCCGCAGGCAGACGGGCCACAGGTGAAGTGGCCCATTGCACAACTGCTTTGTGCTGAAGCAGTACAGATGTTCGGATTCCTTGGCATTGAAGCAGGGGCTGGCTGTGGAATTCTGGGAGTTGAAGTCCACAAGTCAAAAAAAAAAAGGCCAAGTTTGAAGACCCCTGCACATCTGCTTTGTGCTGAAGCGGTACAGATGTTCTGATTCCTTGGCACTGAAGCAGGGGCTGGCTGAGGAATTCTGGGAGTTGAAGTCCACAAGTCAAAAAAAAAGGCCAAGTTTGAAGACCCCTACATTAAAGGATTCACCGCTGGAGACAAATGCTAAAAGCTGAAACCCCTGGGGCCTTTTTTTTTAAAGGGCAGGAAATAGAAATAAAATGAACCCAGGAAACATTCTCGGCCAATGCAGAAAAATGGTTCTGTCTGGTCCTCTTTTTCCACAGCCTGCAATCTGCTCGCAATCGACTTGGCCTCCCAGCCTGTCACTTTGGTCCTGGCAGGAGATGGCACCATAGTAGACGACGACGATTACTTTTTGGGTCTGCCCCCAAACACCAAATTTGGGGTGGTAGCCAAGAATGAGATATGGGCCGCCGGCAGCAACACAGGTAAGGAATTATTATTAAAGCCTTTAAGAAGCTCAGATCCACCAAGGTTTGTCCCGGGACAGAATAACTTTGCTCGTGATTCAGAGAATGAATTCAAGGATCTGTTGTGTCCTCTGAATGTCTTTTTATTGCACTTAGAAGTTTATAGATGGTTTTTGGGGGGTAGGAAGAGAAAGTTTAAAAGGCATGTGTATTTATTAAAAGGCATAAGCAGCTCACGGAAGCTTACGCCTTTTAATAAACCCTGTTAGAGTGAAAAGGTGCCAACAGGCACTTTCTGATGTTGGGTGTGATGTTGGGTGTGAAATTACACTTGGGTTCATCTCTTCATTTTTAATGTCTAGTGGACTCAATTTTGTCCGTGTCAGGTGAGGGCACAACTTGGCTAGAGGAAGAGGTCACAAACGCAAGCGAAGTGGACGGCGGTGGAGAAAAATGGCAAGTTTTGGCCAGGCAGCTGAAGAACGACTTGTCCACCATTGTGCTGATGTCTGAAGAAGACCTCCAGGTATGAAAAGGTCACTTCTACAATAACTATCTCTTGTTCCAGCCTATCTCTAACCCTTGTCACCTTTGTTTTATATACTGATTGAATAAATAAGATTTATTTATATAAGAGCCAAGGTGGCGCAGCAGTTAGAGTGCAGTACTGCAGGCCACTTTAGCTGACTGTGTTCAGCAGGTCAGCGGTTCAAATCTCACCCGGCTCAAGGTGGACTCAGCCTTCCATCCTTCCGGGGTAGGTAAAATGAGGATCCAGATTGTTGGGGGCAATGTAAATATATATATATATACATTGCTTACTGGTGTACACTGCTTAGAGAGTGCTTGCACTTAAAGCGGTATATAAGTCTCATAAATAAATAAATAAATAAGATTTATACGTCCGCCCAATTTCGGGAATCTTCCATGAGCAAAGCTGGCATTCCTTCTTATGGCCACATTTGATAATGGCTTCAAGCTAAGTGGGGGAGTCTTGAGTTTCTCTCACCTTGGCTGCCAAGGGCTGGACCCGCTCTTCTTCCAGGCACTCGTTGATGTCCCGTGCTCAGATTTGGCTCGAGAACTGTCAGAGAATCTGCTCCAAACCCAAAGGTTACAAGGGATCCTTCAGGAGACCCTGGACAGGCGGGAAGAGGAGCGTCGATCCCGTCAGCTTCTGGAACTTTACCTGCAGGCGACGAAAAGGGAGGATCAGGCTGCATACACAGCAGAAGGTAAGAAGGCCATTTGGAGAAGCACTGGGAAGGAAGGAAGGAAGGAAGGAAGGAAGGGAAGGAAGGAAGGAAGGAAGGAAGGAAGGAAGGAAGGAAGGAAGGAAGGAAGGAAGGAAGGAAGGAAGGAAGGAAGACAATGAGAAAACAGGAAGGTAATGAGAGAAGAATGGAATGGAGGAAGGAAGGAAAGAAGGAAGGAAGGAAGAAGGCAATGAGAGAATGGAATGGAATGGAATGGAAGGAAGGAAAGGAAGGAAGGAAGGAAGGAAGGAAGGAAGGAAGGAAGGAAGGAAGGAAGACAATGAGAAAACAGAAAGGCAATGAGAGAAGAATGGAATGGAGGAAGGAGGGAAGGAAGGCAATGAGAGAATGGAAGGAAGGAAGGAAGGAAGGAAGGAAGGAAGGAAGGAAGGAAGGAAGGAAGGAAGGAAGGAAGGAAGGAAGGAAGGGAGCAGACAGGTTAAAACTAATATACCTCTCAGGTCTATACCTCAGGCTGTACAAGTAACCCTCAACTTAAAGCAGTTCATTAAGTGACTGTTCATAATTACAACAGGACTGAAAAAAGTGATTTCTGACCGTTTTCACACCTACAATGGTTGCAGCAGCCCCAGGGTCACGTGATCAAAATCCAGATGCCTGGCAACTGCTTCATATTTATGACGGTTGCAGTGTCCCACGTGATCCCCTTTGGCAACCTTTTGACGAGTCAACGGGGAAGCCCGATTTCACTTCACAACTGTGTCACTAACTTAAGAACTGCAGCGACCGCTTAATAGCTGGGGCGAGAAAGGCCATTAAACGGGGCAAAGCTCACTGAACAAATGTCTCGCCTAGCAACAGAATATTTGGGGCTCCATTATGGTCGTTAAGTCGAGGATTGCCTATATACACCCTTCTCCTTCAAATAGCAACCGCAGAATTTTCATTGTTATTTACTTGCCCGCACAAGGCTAGATTCCTTGACATTATCTTAATTTGTGGAATCTTTTCAAGCAAGCCATGATGAAAGAAACGGCCGATAAAACTGGTTTCTCCCTGAGCCAAAGACAAAGGAGAATCTAAAGGGAACAAGCCATTCTGTGCAAGTTCCAGCATGTTTCAAATTAGAGTTACACTTGAACAGGGCCAGTATTTACACCTTACCAACATTATGACCTTGGGAGAGGCTCTGAAGTGATTAATAATTGCTGGTTTGGCAGCTAAAGCCGGACTGTGAACATTTATAATTCTGAGCCAAAATGCTATGTGTATCCCACTGATTGTAAGATTATTTTGAGTGGACATACTGCGTGCGTGATTTATTTATTTTCTTTCTTGCTTCGAATGCCTCCTTTAAGAGACATAGACTCTTCTCTTTGTGTCTAGCATCAGAAGCAGAGGAAAAATCCGTGGGAAGAAACGATACTGTGGACATGGGGAGCAACGGAACAACTTCAGTCCAAAAGAGTCAGTTGAGCACCCGCGTTGTGACTGTGCTGAAAGAAAAGCCTGCCCCAGAACTCAGCCTGGCCAGTCAAGATTTAGAGGTGAGTCTATTCTATTCTATCCTATCCTATTCTACATTCTATTCTATTTCTATCCTATCCTATTCTACATTCTATTCTATTCTATTTCTACTCTATTCTATATTTCGATTCTACGTTCCATTCTATTCTACTCTATATTTCTATTCTACATTCTATTCTATTTTCTATATTCTATCCTATTTTCTATATTCTATTCTATTCTGTATTTCTATTCCACATTCCATTCTACATTCTATTCTATTTCTATTCTATATTCTATTCTATTTCTATTCTATTCTGCATTCTATTCTATTCAACTCTATTCTAGTCTATATTTCTATTCTACATTCTATTCTATTTTCTATATTCTATTCTATTTTCTATATTCTATTCTATTCTGTATTTCTATTCCACATTCTACATTCTATTTATTCTATTCTATTCTATTCTATTCTATTCTACTCTACTCTATTCTATTCTATTCTATTCTATTCTGTGTTACATAGTCTGTATAATACGGTAGTCTGAAAAGTGATTTGTGAGAAAGAGAAGCAGGTTTGAAGTTCTAGAACAAGATTTATGAACAAGGCAGGAACATCTCTGGCTATGAGTTAGGGTGACAGCAAGCTAAAAAAGGGAAGGTTTACAAATCAGATCATGATGTAGGGCTGATGTTTCCCTCCCGACATTTTGAGTCAGAAAAAAAGAGCATTGCTAAATCTCCTGTTCTCTGTTACAGCTGGTTTGCAACGAAGATTCAGAAATTCTTTCTCGGGCCCTAAGCTGGGACAAGCACAAGATCGAAGCTTTAAAGAAGGCATGTGCCCAGGAGTTCTCAAGACGACGGCAGCAATTTCACTCTCTAAATTCACTCAGGACCATCTCTAAAGGCAAGAAAAAACTGTCAGAAGCTGGGGAGCGGTCCGGTTCTAAACGTAGGAAGTAAAAAGCCCTGGAAGTCGGACTTTTTGATGCAATTAATCACCCTTTTGGTTTTTCCTGAATGGCAATGCCGTCTCTTTTCAAACCAACCAACAACATATGAAAGCAAAATACGTTTGGCGACTCTGTAGTCTCTCACTTCACCAAACTACTTCTTTAGAGGAAGCGCTAGTCCAAGACAAAAGTATTTGAAGGCTTATGGTGTATATTGGAATACAAAGACAAAAATGCTGTTTTGAATAAGGCCTTTTCCTTGACGCTTAGAGGTAATACTACGAAGCTTGCCATGATGCAGAATTTTACCAATCCTGCTTTTAAATGATTTTGTTAATTTTACAGGGATTTTATATATATATATATATGTATATAAAGTATCTGGAGCATGTGGTTTTGAATATGAATAGCTGCTAATGGATGCAGGACCGTGGGACAGACTCTACTATGTTAGTGATTATATGTTTGTTTGTTTTTAAAAAAATTACATTTGTATTTAAGAAGTAAAGGCTTTGTGTTATTGGCTATTATTTTGACTGCTGACTTCAATATTACATAGGCTTATCTTGGGATACATATTCAAGTGGGACAGCCCTCTACAAAATCTGTGTAAGTAGCAGTAATTTGTAAAATAAAACTGGAAAAGTTGTGTTTCTACACACACATCCTTACACAATACAATGAACCAAGGTTCAGTCCAAACATACTTTACCTCAACCAGGGGTATTCCGAGCCACTAAATTAGGAATACATCAAAAAACACACGTGATATTCACTCTCAATTGAAGGAAGCACGAAGATTTAGGTACATGTAGTAATGTTTTATTTCGGCATGGAACAATTGTATGGGGAAACAACTCGGCACTGGCAAACAAAACAAAACAGGAAAGACAAACTGGCATACAGCATTCTTCGCTTGCCCCAAAGCATCTTTGTGGAACTCTTAAAGGCGTCTTACAATAGTTGCGTTTGTGTTGTTTCTCTTCCATTCAGAGGATGACAGTTTAAATAATGCTGTACATATTAAAGGGCGCAGAAAACCCTCAATTGGACAATGGACATGCTGGGGATTTTTTTTCCCCCCTAGACTTTTCTCACAACAGCACTTCAGAGGCTGTAACGCTGAATCGGAATAAATGCCCAAGTGGGGCTTCTGCTTCTGTTCCCTTGCCAACTGCTCTAAGTGGCGTGCAACAATTCTGTCAGTACAAACATGGAAACTGCGCTTTTAGTGACACTTACAAAAAAAATGCACTCAGCAAGGGTTTGAAAGTGGCTCTCTCCATTCTAGCACGCCTTCGTATATTTTTTAAGTTTAGAACTTGGCTTCTGGCGTTTTCAACACGTTTGCGAAAATGCAGTCAAAATTGTGAATACAGGGTAGCTTTGCAGAAGCCCCACAAAAACAGCCTAAAAGCATAACATGTAGGCTATCTTCTCTTTTCTGTATTTTATTTTAGGAAATCACATTCTCAACTTTTGGGATAAGAATGTGCCTGAAATTTGATGGTCTTCAGCCTGCATAAATCCCCGGGAGCTGAGATGACCACAATAAAATTGTCTTTGAGCCACTGAAGCAGAAGAAAAAAAGGGGTGCCAGCTTGCTCAGAGTTCTGAATTCTTTCTGTATACATCCTTCCTCAACTTTATAGTATGTGGTTATCCTGTTAGGTCTGCCTCTACTGTCTATCTGAACTGCTGGTACCACCTACAAGTAAAATTACGTATTTCACAGAAGAAGGAATAATTTCGATTTTTCCCTTTGGGAAACAGCTTGGATAGGAATTTTACAGATTTGAGATCCATACTTTTTTTTTTTTCTTGTTAAATTAAGCAGAAGCCTGAGGATGGTTTACGAGCCCGTTTTGCTGATGGGTGTTGTCAAACGGAAGAGCAACGATTCTCTTCATACAGTATATATTCTATATAGAACCAAAGTACATTTAAAACACGAGCAAGGTTTGTTTTGCCACACGAGAGACCCGGGGGGGGGACGGGACACCATGAAAGGCTGGCAGGAGCATCTGCGCAGGAATCAGGAGATCCCACCCTTATACAAACAACACTTTCTGTATGCAACGCTTCTAATACCAAGAGAAAGGAAAGTGAAATTGAATTACAGAAGCGTTTACACCCCAAAGTCACCAGTCAAATCCACTCTGAGTCCATCGGTGCAGGAAACCCATTTGCTAGCAAGAGGAGAAGGTTTTCCAGAAGAAGTTTTTACAGGGTGCTTTTTCCCGAGTGGCGGGCTGAGGAACAGGTGCTCTCTCTTCCCACGGGCTGGCTACGATCTTCTCCTGCCTTGACAGATGGGACACATTCCGGTATGATGCCCGTTCGGTCAGCCCCGAGAGAAGAACAAGTAATTCCTTCTTTTGTAGGTCTGCCGGCGCCTGAAGATACTTTGTAAATGAAACAAAAGCGAATTAAGCATTATTGTGGAAAGAAGTGAGGTAAACCGAGGCTTTAAAAGGGCCAGGAGATTTAAGCTGCCTTGGCAAGTCAATCCCGTTATGTCTCCGGACACGGAAAGGCTCAGATATGTCCTGTAAGAGCTAAAGATGTTTCAAAGGTTGTAATGTGTGAACCTGCGAGCAAAAGACTTGCTCTCCTTATCATTAATCCGAACCCAAGGGCTATTAAAAATGTGATGAAATGTAAACCTTGGGATTTTGATGCTTAGGGCATTTCTCTTCCCAAGTTCTCAAGAAGGGGAACTTAATCCTGTGATGGGTGTCAAAGGGTCTTCGTGCCCCTGAATGACTATGCCTTGATTTAAAAGCATCTACACAAAAAGTTACGGTGCTAAGGGAAAAGCTTCTGTCAACTGTAAATTTCTCTTCAGGTTTTGAGGTCTGGTGGTCTCGTATTCTGAAGTAGAAAATAAGCATGCAGGATTGACCTCTTCAAATGTAAATTTCACTCTAGTCCCTTTCATTTGAACAAACCGCTCTCTTTAAAGCAACTGCTGTCAGCTATTAATCTATTGGGCTGCCGTTCTTCCAAGAATTGGGAAGAAAAACAGATTGGTAATGGTAGTCTTTACGGAGTGATCCTTGAATCTGTTTCGGAGGAGAGTGGTGTAAATCAAACATCCGGAGCTGAAAACTTTTCAAACAAGCTTTTAAAATGATCTTTATGACAACCCAGAAGCAATTACTTTGATGAAGGTGAAGATGCAGTGGGTCTTTTTTTTATGAGAAATATACAAGGGAAATTCAAGGGAAGACTCACCAGCAACTCAAGAGCTCTCTAGCCTTGTTTCCGACAAGCTATTTCCTGATTCTTTGTATTATTTTCTCCCAATTTTTTGCTTTGAAACAGTATCACCTTAGCGTTAGTTATTCCACCCCCACCCCCAAAACAAGGGTTTTCATTAAAATGTTTCCAAAGCAAAGTGTAAACCGAAAGTCCCATAGGCACATTTAGGATACAAGAAAAAAACAAATCAATTAGCCAATAAGGTATCCCACAAACTGACCCATTGGACTTCAATTCAAGCTCATTTTAGAATACTCCAGACTGCAACCCAATGCTAACTCTATAGCCGATGAATATTCTGGCTATATTTTATCAGCAAAAGAACAGGATCTCTTCTGCCCTCAGCTTACCTTGCCCTGTCGCCTCAACGGCCCTTCTGGAACAGGAAGGGCAATCATACTGGCACCCCCCATGGACCTGGGAAACAGGATCAGCCCCAGAAGGAACAGACAGAGCGGGGAGACCGCTTGCCACGCCATCTAGCTCAGATGTATGTCTGAACGTCACCTGCCTTGCGAGTTATATTTTGTGCTTTTTTAGACCTGGGGAGGGGGAGTCTCTATTTTCCAATTTTATGAGAGGATCCGTTCGCCACCCCCTCATCCAACCGTCCTTTCTCTCCAAACTCAAGCAATGACGCATGAGCCGGGGCCGCAATTAAGTCTCCAAATGGTGCATTTTGTACAGCTTTAACCCTTAATTAGTGCCTCTGGGTGTCAATCCCATTAAAGTACATTCGCCATCCATTTAAGCTGTATGTGCATTTTTATTTGCTAAAAAAAAAAAACCCTCTCCATCCGACTGAACCTCATTTCCTCACCATTATTCCCACGATGATTAGGATGCTTTTGAGTACAAAATAGTGTGATTTAGCAAAGTAATGATTCACCGAGCAGAGGGGAGCAAGAAAGCCAACTCAAGAGAACCACAAGTCTTGCGATGGGTTTCATAATGAGAAGCAAAACTAAGTCGACTGTTAATAATGAAAATAGTCCAGACTAAAACAAAACAGCAAAAATAAAAATAAAAATCCCAAAGGGCAAAATGTTTGTCAAAATCAGGCAAGGTATGTAGTGCAGATGAAACATATTCAAAATTAAAATGAACCCCGGGGGACAAGATTCAAAATAAAGGCAAAATTTGACTACTAGTTCCCTGCAACAGAGTGGGAATAACAAAGGTATTGGGTAGAAGCAAATGAGAGGCAGTCTGTAAGTGGGGAAGATGTTACAGGTTGCTAAAATATTAAGGCACACACAAAAAATCAATAGACTTTGTTTTTCATAGTACTGGATTGCTGTATCACCCAATAAAACTAGTTGTCAGGAGATTCTGTAAACAACAAACTAGAGTTATTCCATATACAATGTAGAATTGATTGATGGCATTCACTGTCATAAGAGGCAGTGAAGGATACTTAGACGCCTAGAGTTATGAGAGGACAAGACGAATTGATGGAAATGTTTAACTTTGTTCCATTATTATTAATATGCTTTATTAACTGCAAAATAGAACTGTCCAGTTCAAAAGAAAATGCCACCCAGTGATGGGTGGAGGTACATGTATCACTTTGAACTATAAATGTGGTTTGATTCAATTTTGTGAAAACCTGAAAACCTTGTCTTCTTTAGCACAAAGAGAGCCAACTGTCTTATTCAACAGAACCCAGTTCTGTGGCTTAGTAGGATATGAAAAACGAAGTGTTAGTGCTGAGGAGCAAAATAATTGAGCTTTTCAGTAAGATGCTCATCTGAATATTTAGGATGATCCAGGACAATTCAAATGTGGAAATATGTCTAAGTTGTTTTCGAGAAGGGGCAGGAACTATTCCTGTGTGAACTGAGGAAAGTTCTCAAGAGATATATTTTTTTCCTTATTCTCCTCTGGTGCCTGTAGCTGTATTGATGGTGGATGCTATTACGTGTCCAATTTCTAGCCACTAACTTTTCTTCCTAAGAAAATTAAGACAGTGTAAAGCCCTGAAGATTTTCTGTTTGTCCAGTGAGAACTAAAAGCCCCTTTCGCTGTTTCTGGCGGGCCCTTCTCATCTTAAATAACTCACTCCAGGCAATCACCTAAGTTCCCCATTCAGGTATGTTTTTCTTTTCCCAATGTTTATTTTCCAAATACATTGTGCTTATTTAAATATAAAAAAAATAGAATTGTAATCTAGACAAGGTGACGCTGAGGACCTGGGTTCCACAATGAACATGAGAAATCCCCATCTTGAAACCAGCAAGGGTGAATTTTATGCCATGTTGGAATCTTCATTCTCGATTGCCACAGGTTCTTCATTCGAATTTCTTCCTTCTTTCTTAGCAGCGGATTTTTTTTTCTTTTTCTCTTTTTGTTCCAGGTTATTCAGAGAAAGCTCATCACTCTTCTGAGTAATATACCTCAACTAGAAATACAGAGAATGTCATCAGTCACCTACAGTGGCAGAGGTTTACCAGGCAGTCAGTGGAACACACAGGCAACGCACAAACACATTCAATGTGTAACTAAACATGAAGATCAGTAGGCAGGCTGACATCCAGTGGTTCTTCAGGCCCGGACAATACAAAGTCTGATAAAACAGCAACTAACTGCTCGTGGTTAATAGATGGCAAGCTGTGATTCAAGATAAAAAAATCTACTGATATGTCAATTATTAAATCTCTGGCTACAAAATACATGCCTTGAAAAGTCAATGCTATTTAATCGTTTCTCCCACCCAATCCAAGCAGAGTTATAACAGCTAATACATATCAAATACACAAAAAAAGAGAAAAGGTAATGTTTTCCTTCATTCGTTTTTATCTTCCAATGCATCTATTAGTTCAGAGGTCCCCAACCTTTTGGGCACCAGGGACCGGTTCCGTGGAGAGAGGTTTTTGCGCGGACCGGAGGGTGCATGGTTTTGTGTTCTGCCTGCATCACGCGGATGGGGTTTTGCTTGTTTGTGCGGCCCGGTTGCTGGCATACCGCGGCCCAGTACTGGTCCACGGACCGGGGTTTAGGGACCCCTATACTAGTTGCTTTTAGTCAGACTTTTCATTTGTTTTACAATGTTCATCCAAGGTTGAAAGGACGGTAGACCAGACTGCACAAAAATTTACTGTATAACTCTTTTTGCATCTTTAATTGCTTTAATTTGTTGTAAGGTGTAATTTTAAATGGTTATTATATAGTGGTAAGAGACCTGTTCCTAATATGAAGACCCCCAGCTTTTGGGGCAATGTGTAACATCATGAAAGTACAACTCTTGAATATTCTCTATCATCAGCCATGCTGGCTAAAAGAACATTTCAACAATGCTTGAACTTCTGGCCTGGGTTGGTTTAAGGCATTTTCCTAATTGTAAATATGCTTATGTCCTCTTCAGACATGTTGGCTAACTGCTGCTCAATTCATTTTTGACAAGACCTACTGAGATTAGCAAATTACATACCTACTAAGTGTGAGCCAGGAGTGTTTATAGGAATTTGGTTCAATTTATGACTCCCATGCATAGCCCGATCCATACACTTCAAAGCAAAATAAATCTCATTTTGTTTTTGCCATTTTTACTGATAAATCTGTTGTTAGGATGACTGCATCTTGTTTCAATTTTCTTCTGTGTAAAAATACAGCTTATTGGAGCCATTTGGCTCATGACAACTCATACGTTATTATTTTTTTCTCCTTTTACATTACTCCTGTTTTATAGCATCTATAGCTTCTCTTCCATTTTCAATTTATTTGCTGTACAAATGAATGATGGGGTAAGTGCAAATGAGTTCTATCAGGATATAATGTGGCACTATATTCTCAACAAAACGTAGCTTTAAATACAATAGTCCAATCAAAGGGTGCTGACTGAAATAGCAATTCTATATAAAGAATGGTATACTAATTTGCTCTCCGCACGCCAATTTCTCCAGCTTTACTAAGAATTACTTTCAAATTAATTTGCTGTCTTATGAAGAAGGAGGAGGAAGAGGAGGAAGGCTCAAATGTTACTTGATCCTCCACAGATTCCAGTACAGGTAGTTCTTGCCTTACAATCTTTTAGCCACAATTTGAAGTTATAACAGCACTGAAAATCGACATATCACCATTTTTCACACTTACAACCGTTGCAGCACCCCCCATGGTCACGTGATCAGAATTTGGATGCTTGGCAACTGGCATGCACTTATGACAGTTCCAGTGTCCCAGGATCATGTGATCCCCCTTTGCAACCTTGTGACAAGCAATGTCAATGGGGAAGCCAGATTCGCTTAACAACCTGGTTATTAATTTAACAACAACAATAATTCACTGAACAACGGTGGCAAGAAAAATGGTAACATGGGGCGATATTCATTTAAATCCGCCTTGGTCAGTAACAGAAATTTTGGGCCCAGTTGTGGTCGTAAGTCGAGGACTACCTGTAGAGGCTCTGAACATTTTTCTTCTGATATTCTTACTGGCCCAAATTCTTTGTGGAGCAAGAAATCCACAAACCATAAACAAGTGGCTTCGGTACAATTGTAATCTTGGAGTAGCTATTTTGCTCTTCCGTTCCACGTTCAATTAAATTGCTCTGCAGCTGTTGGCTCAAGGACACAGAGCTCAGCTGAACGCTTCAGCCCCACCCATCCTGCCTTTCCAAAATAGCTCAATATTGCATGGTGAGGAGGAGGAGGAGGAGAAGCATGCCTTGCTGGGGTTTAAAATTAGCAGAAACACTGGCTCTGTTCATTTGAAGCTGAAGATCTACTTTAAATAAGAGAGACTGCATATCTCAGAAGCTTATAGGGCAGCCTATAGAAGAGACTGGACAGCCATTTGTCTGAAATGGTATAGGGTTTCCTGCCTTGAGCAGGGGGTTGGACTAGATGACCTCCAAGGTCCCTTCCAACTTTATTATTATTATCGATCATCGCACAGTCAGCCAGATGTTCAGACTGGATTTGGCATTTTGTCTACCTATCGAGTCCTTACCCAGGACCTGGGATAGGCAGATGTGGCTGGTATTATTATTATTATTATTATTATTACTATTATTATTATTAAAGAAAAAATTATTAGCCCCAAATGTGAGATATAAGATTTAGAAATTGGGATCATTTAAAATATGGAAATGATAAAGATTAAATGTGTTAAACTTAAATATCAATGAGAAATTAAAGTTAAGAAAAACTTACTAGGCTATTGTCTAAAAGGTGGAATGTCAAATTAATTAAGATATGTATAGACTGAAGATTATTGATGAATATTAGAAAGGTACTTTTTGTTTGATTGATAGAATAAGAATTGTATTGGTTCGAATATGACAGTAGATATTACGGGGGAAAGAGGGAATTAGTTGTTGTAATACTTTTGAGATTTGTACTGATGATATTCAAATGTAATGGAATTACTGTGCTCAGCCGCCACGCTACTTTTCAAACACGTAAATGTAATATTGTAAAATTAATAAAAAAAACTTGAAAAAAAAAAAAGGAAATGAGGAGAGTGTGAAGCAAGGCATCCATCTCTGGGTAGGTACTGAAATGCTACCTTTTCAGCCATCCTGGCTAACCTGAAAGTCACAGTTCTTTAGATAAATCCAAGTCAGAGAGACATTCCAGGATGAAATGGCTGAAGCAGAATTGACCCCTGAAGTGTAATTTCCTGCCTTATGAGTCAACTGAGAGGCCTTCTATATTTATAAGTTGCTATTACAAAAGAGGGAACATTGTACTTTTCAGCCAGAATTAACATTACAGGATCTGAGCTTAAAGCAGAACGTCAGAAATATAAGCCACTTATATTCCATGGCTGTTTTTGAAGCCCAAGATGGCAATGAGTAAGGCAAGAAAAGAGGCTTTTCTTCTTAAAGCTATAGCAGCATAAAAGTAACATAATTAAGACATATTTCCGAACTACGGTTTGAGGTGTTTGGTGCACTACAGAGAAAAATACATTATGTTATGATAGTTCGTTAAGCCTGTAATACAATAAGTTGTTGTATGTGTAATCCTGTAAAGTCCACCAGCTTTTCCAATATGGTGGCTTTCAGCCAGATTTCCAACTGTTCTAATATCAAACCACAGCCCCAATTATTCAGAGACCATCACACTCTTGTCCTCCAAAGCTTTGTTAGCAACTTCCACCATTTGAGAGGCAAAGAAACAGTTCAAACAATTAAACCCAACATGGCAAGAAATTTCTGCATAGATATGTCCCCTAGGTCAGTGGCATCTATGTATGCATGGATATGAAAGAGGCAAAATGACAACTGCAGCATTGCAATTGTCACAAAGAGCTAGAATTTTAATTGCAATGCTGCAACCACCATCTTGCCTGTTTTGACCCTTCTCTGGAGATGCCCGTCTAAAGATACTGGGGAACAAATTGTTTTTATGACACTTTATCTATACTGACCTATTGGTACTTCTATTCTACAGACGGTCCTCAACTTACAACAGTTCATTTAGCAATTATTCAAAGTTGCAACAGCACTGAAAGGGATCATTTTTTTTACACTTTTGTCTGTTGCAGCATCCCCGTGATCAAAATTCAGATGCTTGGCAAATGACTCGTATTTATGACTGTTGTAGTGACCCGGGATCAAATGAACATCTTTTGTGACTTTCCGACAAGCAAAAGTCAATGGGGAATCCAGATTCACTTAACAACCGGGTTGCTAACTTAAAAACTGCAGTGATTCGCTTAACAACTATGGCAAGCAAGGTTGTAAAATGGGGCTAGAAGAAACGTAACAGTAAACAAGGCTTCCCAAGTCAAACAACAGACCCAGAGGGGAAGGATCCAATCTCACCAATGAGTTGCTCCTTCGAGCCAAAAGTTTCACATCTTCAACATTAATGGTGCTCCGTTTTCCATGCCTATGAGAAGGAAGAAGTGATCAGATTACAAGAAGGTTGCAGTCAAATTATCCAATGAACAAATCTTAAAACCTTATCAGAAAAGCTGCTTAAGTGTAAATTGTTCAAACTTTCTCTGCAGCTGCTAGATACATTAACAAAATGAAGCTTTTTTTATGCAGCGGCAAGTAGATTACGTTGAAATGCTTTTGGGAGTTTGCTTTGGCTAGAGGACCCCTGATTTTGCCAGCCCTTCTAGACTTCTTTTCAAGACTAAATTGACAATTTATCTATCAAACGTGGGAATGATAAATAGCAGGGACATTTTGTTCCTTCCATTTTGATGTTCATGTAAAATGAAATGTTTCCCGTAGCAACTGATACACTGTAGAGAGAGTTATTAAATTACTTTTCTCTATTACAGCAATTTTCATTGATAATAGGAAAGTGATTGTATTACTTTGTAATTTTGTAATTGTATTCTATATACCAGCAACATTGTTGGAACCAAGGGAAGGGCAGCCTTGAAATATTTCCTGTGTAATAGTACAATGTTTCATCTGATTGTCTCATGGTTCCTGAGACTCTAAAATACAATTATGATAAATGGAAGTGAGGGGGTAGAGAACGAGAGAATTATCTCAGCAAACTCTAGGGGGAAAAAAATCCCAAAAGCTGGACAAAGGTATCACTGGATATTAAAAACCAGGTTCTTTGTGCGTCATTCAAGCCCCACTTGATTTATATATTAGCACACTTGCCCATTATATAAAGACATTGATTTAGAACTGTAATTTGCAAAATGAAAATTGACTTCCATTAACCCAGAAAAATGGACACAAAAGCAAAATGTAAGTGGAATGAGATAACAAAAAAAGATGAAATTATGACTAGCTAAAAACAGACACTGCAAGTAGAGGTCTGATCTTCTGGCAGTCTTGTGTTTTTAGACAAAAAAAAAAACAACCCCACAGATGTACAATTTTTCTACCAGTAGCAAATAGAAGAGAGCAACAGAAGAGGCTAGGCAAATACAAGAGCCTAGGACAGGTCTCAACCTGGCAAAAAGATTAGAAAAGATTACAACACTTTTGAATCCAAGCATCATCCAATTAGCTCACTGAAGCCTATGGAATATTTTGCTGCTAAAATCTGTGGCAGTTTTTAAACCCACTTGAAACATAACTACTGGGCTCTTGAGCATAGAACATGTGTAGGTTGGGTACCCTCAAGGCCTGCAGTTCCGTGAAATGTGACAGTTTCTGGACGCAGTATGGGATGCTTTTGGAGGGTTTGGGAGAAAATACATACGCTTGTTAGAACAGAATCGTCATTACGTACAATCTGACAATCATCTGGGATATACCAGACCATTCAGGCCTAGCTCTGATGGTCATTTCTTTCTAGGGTCAGCTAATTCCAAAATTGTCTAGTTTAATGTATGTCTAGTTTAATGAAGAGGACGAGGGGGGACATGATAGCAGTATTCCAATATCTCAGGGGCTGCCCCAAAGAAGAGGAAGTCAAGCTATTTTCCAAAGCGCCTGAAGGCAGGACAAGAAGCAACGGATGGAAACTAATTAAGGAGAGAAGCAACCTAGAACTAAGGAGAAACTTCCTGACAGTTAGAACAATTAACCAGTGGAACAACCTGCCTCCAGAAGCGGTGAATGCTCCAACACTGGAAGTTTTCAAGAAGAGACTGGACAGCCATTTGTCTGAAATGGTCTAGGGTTTCTTGCCTAAGCAGGGGGTTGGACTAGATGACTTCCAAGGTCCCTTCCAACTTTACTATTATTATTATAATACAAAAGCATGTTCTCTGTCAGTTCATTAACTACCCGTAGCACCCTTCCTAGTCCACTCTTTTTACAAGAGCTTGGCGCCAGTTACACAAGTAATTTAACAGTTATTAAATAAAATATGAATTAATGCAGGGAAACAGAGTGCCAGAATTAATTTTAGACCATCCTTGCTAAAAGCCAGATGGCTGAAAGAGGCTAAGAGTGTACAATAAATATGTTGATATGACACTCAACACCAATGTACTTAAAGTCACTAGCAACCAAGTTATCGAGGTCTTGTGTGAGCCACTGATTGGTTCCACGTCACACTAAGCCACGATGTGATTTGGTTGCTGTCCCCTTGCTGCTCTATTTGTTAGCTGCAAACTGTTTAACAAACCAAGGTTTAATATGATGTCAGAACAGAGTCACCATTTCTGCATGAGTTCCTGAGATGAGCATAGTTGCTAACACAAAGAAGGCAAACGTGCGTGTGTTAAAACAAAGTCAAAAAGCTTCATCAAATAGTACCACAAAAATACATTATCACCAGCTCAAATTTGACAGACAGGAGCTCCATTGCACATGAGGACACCTAACACACGTGTCAAACTCACCACGTCATGTAATGTGTTGTGAAATATCGCTTTTTTTTTTTTTTGCATTGCTGGAGCTAGGGTGGGCATGGCCTCCGCATGATGCAACTGGCCCACAGGCCGGCAGTTTGACACCCCTGACCTAACGTAAGACATTTTTCTCCAAACAGCTGAAAACAAGCCATCCCACTTACAACTGCTCAACAGGATGTATCTTTAAAGGAGACCTGCCAACTATCTGCAGGGCTTAGATATACATCTGCAAGAAATACTTTCGACAAACTATGGTTTATTCCTAAACCATTTGTAGGAAACAAGACTCAAACAAAAGTTTTATTTTCCTGATAGCAATTTTCTGTACAATAAATTGGTTTTCAAAGCAATTATGAAAAATGAAGTATGTATGCAGATCAACAATATATACAAAATTTGGCAACTATCAAATATCAACAATATATCAGAAAAAGAGACTGAAAAATAAAAAAAACTGTTATCAGATTGAAAAAATGCTATCCATTCTGAAGATCAAATATTAGAATTTTTGGCTACAACACCTACATCAAGTCCATGCTGTATATTTTTTTAAAATAGTTTTAAGTGGCTTCCAGGAAAACAGAAAACAAAACAAAAATATTTTTTTAGTTGTCTTATCAGATACAGATACACGTTGATTATTGTTAAGTATTACCCCTTTCTACAGTACTTACTTGGCAAACATTTCAAGGTCCTTTGCAAAAATTTCTGAAAAGGAAAAATAAAAATTATCTTAATATGTTTTCATATTTAGCAGAGCTATCTCTAAGTTTATTTGCAGTTCCTTTTTAAAGAAATACTACAATATTGAAAAGCTAAGGAAAAGTACCGCATTGCCTAAAGGTGATCTCAGAAATAGCTGCAATGGTCTGTCTGCTAAACTTTATGTTTTTATCTTCAGCAACTTCTTCGCACAAGCAGGCAACAGTGTAATGAAAAGCTGCTTTCAACCTCTAGGAAAAACAGAGTTAAGAAGGAAAAATTACAAAATTATTTTATACACTAATGTGGGTATATATTATACCAGGTCTTCAAACTAAATAAACAAACAGAATAAATAATAAATAAATGAAGTATGATGATCAGGTCAAGGTTTTTGGACTAAGAAATTTAAGGGGGGGGGGGGCAAAGTGATCAGAAATTTGGGATTTCTTATCTCCTTCAACATGTTATAATGTCATCCATCTCTGAAAGCAAAGGAAGAAAATATTTTGTCTTCTAAATTTTAGCCAGCTTTGCATTTTTTCCAAAAAAAATATCAGTTTTTACAAGTTTAACTGCCTTGTGTAAGACACTTGAAAAACACACATCTATGTAAACGTGTATATGTTTACACACACACATATTGACCATTTATTAGATTAATATTCAATATTTATCAAATTTCTATTCTGCCTGACACTTGCATGGCTCTGGATGGTTTACAAGTAAAACAGTAATTTTGTTATCATTTTCTTCTCAATCTTTCTTTACTCATTTGAGGCCCAGTCTAGGAACATGCTTAAAATACAGCAGCATTTTTAATTAACAGAATAAAACCTGACTCTGTGTGTGTGTGTGTGTGTGTGTGTTTATATACAATATAGTGTATGCATCTGTGTATATTTATCTATGTATACTGCTCACAAAAATAAAGGGAACACAAACGTATAGGATCCTATACGTTTGTGTTCCCTTTATTTTTTTTGAGCAGTATGTGTGTGCGTGTGTGTGTATACATATGTACACACAGTACATATGTACACAATATATATGTACACAATATATAAATATATTAAGGGGAAGAAAATATCAGTCCAACAACCCTCATTCCCGATATTCCGCCCTAAAAGCACTCTGTCCATGCTCAGAGGAGATAATGGCAGCAGGATTGTTTCCCCCCCTCCCCCGGAAACTCCCAAAAGGCAGACCCTTTGCACGTGCTCAGAGACCCCTTTCCCCCCCCCGCTTCCTTCTCCCCCCTCCCCGGTCTCGTGGAATGTTTCAACAGCCCCAAGAAAAGGCGCTCTGCACGTACTCAGAGGCACTTTGTCTCGGGGGGTGGTGGTGGTGGTGGTGACGGCGGCAAGTGAGGTTCGTTCCCCCTCAGGTCCGCCACCCGCCCAACTCCCTCACGGCCGCGGCGCGTAAACAATAAAAAGCCGAGCTAGCGAGCAGAGACGGAGAGAGTAAAGGCCGCAGCACACTTTCAGCCGTCCCTGCCCTCTGCACATGCTCAGAGGCGCCTTTTACCGGGCGCGGGGAAGGGCGGAGAATGGGCGCTACCTGTTCCTCAGTCTCCATGGCGGCCAAAATGGCGGCCGCGTTTCCCGCCTTTTTTTCGCCTCGGGCGTCGTCGTTGAGGGGCGGGGCGAGGGGCGGGGCCGCCGGGCGCATTCTCCTCCCCAAGGAGGGCCGGCCACACCTCCCACCCACCCGGTGCTTTCAAGCGTGGGACTCTAAGCCCCATGAGGAGAGGGGAGGATGGGGCTAGTGGTCCCGCTGTGGAGAGCAGCGGGGCGGGGCTGGGGTAGAGCGAGGGGACGGAAAAGGGTCCGAGCCGGCTGGAAAACGACATGAAATGGAAATAAAATGAAAATAAAAGTGTAATAACAGGCAATAGAATAAAGATTGGGAAGGGACCCTAGAGGTCCTCTAGTCCAACCCCCTACTTCTGAATGCAGACGTGTGTAAAATAAAAAATAATTAAATTTGCTTTTGCTTATTATTTTAAAAAATCCTTTTTTCCCCTCAGATTTGCTCTGGGAATAATCTTTGCCAGTCTCCTTTATAAATAAAGTCAAATAATGCCTTTTAATAGGATCAGCCATCAAAAAGGCAGGTAGAGACCTCGTGGTCCATAGAGTCTGCCCTTTGAGGGTTTGTTTTCTTTTTAATTTATTTACTATTCTTAATTATCTTTTATTTTTAAATTTTTTGTTGGACGATGGGCATGTGTTTATCCCAAGCATGTTACTATTCAAACAGTAGTAATTATTTTTATTAGTATTAGTTTCTTTCAAGAAACCCGATTCCTATTTTTTTAATTTTGCTTGGATGATCCCATCCAAGCAAAATAGGGGTGGCAATACATGTCCCATCATCCTGGGCCACCACTGGCAATAAACGGAGAGCTGTAGTCCAGATAAAAAGGATCTGATATGGTAACTGATACGCTAATAAACTGATAGGCTAATAAAACAAGCCAGCCAGTGCTGGAGGGGCTAACTACAAAAAAGGCTAACTACAAACCCCATCATCCCTGCCCCTTGGCCCAGCTTTAATTCTTGCTTCGGTACGACAAGGCCTTCTTCCAAATTGCTACGATCTCAAAGCTGATTTTATCCAAGCAAGGGATTAAAAAAGCGAAGATGAATTGGAAACGAGCGTTTATTTCAGCAGAGTTTTCACATTTATTCCATCCATTTTATTCTGGCTTTTTGCACAAGACACCATAAGAAACTCCTTTACCAAAAAAAAAAAAAAAAAAAATAGAAAATAAAAACTAAAACTGGACATCTACAGACATGCCCAAAGTATGGAGACTCCCTTCTATGTAGTTCTTACGGGGTTTCCATCGTTTAGGCGTTATAAGACGAAGAGGAGACGGTGCCCCCGTGCCCCGTCCAATTGGTGTGAACGAATTCGCCCGGTTTTGACAACAATTCGTAGGTGTGGGCGCCAAAATAATCCCTCTGAGCCTAAGAGGAGAGAAAACACAACATTTTGAGTGGACAACATGAAGCCTGGAAGCTCACGACTAAAGAACGACTGCTGATCAAGATTGCGTTCACACAACTACTCTTGCAAGCCAAATTGACCACATGGTGGCTTCCGAGAGGCTGATTTCTCTTCCCAGGATTCTCAGTTGGTTAAGGAATTCTGGGAATTGAAGTCCACACCTCTGAAGAATGCTCTGTGGTTTATGCAGCTTTCCCAATGGGGCTCTAGGTTTACTGTGCTATTATGGGACTTTTTACCATTTCCCATTTTCTTCAGGATAGCAATTAATTGGGTATGTCTAGTAATGGGAGATGTCTAGTTTAATGAAAAGGAGGACAAGGGGTGATATGATAGCAGCGTTCCAGGGGCTGCCCCAAAGAAGAGGGAATCAAGCTGTTCTCCAAAGCACCTGAAGGCAGGACAAGAAGCTGATCAAGGAGAGAAGCAACCTAGAACTAAGGAGAAATTTTCTGACAGTTATAACAATTAATCAGTGGAACAACTTGCCTCCAGAGGTTGTGGGCCAAGACTGGAAATTTTTAAGAAGAGAGTGGACAACCATTTGTCTGAAATGGTATAGGGTTTCCTACCTGAGCAGAGGGTTAGACTAGAAGACCTTCAGGGTCCCTTCCAGCTCTATTCTATTCTATTCTATTCTATTCTATTCTATTCTATTCTATTCTATTCTATTCTAATTCTATTCTATTATATTCTTCCCATATTCTATTCTATTCTATTCTATTCTATTCTTCATTCCTTCTATTCTATTCTGTTCTGTTCTATTCTCTATTCTATTCTATTCATTCCTTCTGTTCTGTTCTGTTCTATTCTATTCTATCTATTCTTCATTCCTTCTATTCTATTCTATTCTATTCTATTCTGTTCTCTATTCTATTCTATTCTATTCTATTCTATTCTATTCTTCATTCCTTCTATTCTATTCTGTTCTATTCTGTTCTATTCTATTCTATCTATTTTTCATTCCTTCTATTCTGTTCTGTTCTCTATTCTATTCTTCATTCCTTCTGTTCTATTCTATTCTATTCTATTCTATTCTATTCTATTCTATTCTATTCTATTTCTGTTCCATTCCATTCCCACAAAGATACACTACAAAGAAAACAAAATCTCCCAAAATACAATTACACTTCTAGTGAGAATCAGACTTAAGCTGGGATTCAACTGGTAACAAGCAGTGGACAGAAAAATAAATTAGGAATCAAAGCAAGTTTAAGATCAGACTCCATGCATTCGTTACTCACCTGAATCAGGTTAGCAGGCAAAGTGCCATGTCTGTATCCATCATAAAAGGCTAGTGCTGTGGTGAAGCAGGGCATCGGGATTCCCATCTGGACCCCAGTGCTAATTGCACGTCGCCATGAGTCCTTGCAAAAAGACAAAAGGTGCAGGAAGTTAATTTTCTGGGCAAGATTCCTGGTCTATTTAGGCCGGTGTTTCTCAAATCTCTGCCACTTTAAGATGGGTGGACTTCAAGCCCCAGAATTCCCAGCCAGAAAAGTCTTCATGAAGTTCCCTTACCTGACAATCCTCCACTGCCGTCTTAAAAAAGATATCTAGGAGTAAATTTTGTAGATCGGGGGTTCGGTCAAAAGCTTCTTTAATTTTGCCCAAGAAAACACTGCCCAGGAGAAGAGATTAAAAAAAATATCCTTTGAGAAATATTTAAATGAATAAATCAGAATATTATACAGGTGAGGAATTTAATTTCAGCCGGCGTTCGGTGCTAACATGAATCCGAAAGAATCCATTCTGTATCGATCTAGAAACATTTTCTCAGAATTCCGATTTATTCAGGACTATAAGGAACGAGGCTGCGCTATTTTTTTTTTTTAAACACACACTGCTGTGTATATTAATAAAAATCTGTTCCTGGATTTGCATGTTCCTTTCTGGGTTCTCGACTGATATAAATAGTATTCATAGTGAAGACTATTTTGACAGCTTTTAAGGATTTAGAATTGTGAAAGCAGAGGTTGTCAGAAACGGAACTTTGGCGGTGTTCAGTCTAGCTCTCTTCAATCTTTTTTACTTATTTGGAAAACTTATATCGCCACCTACTCACATCCGGCAACTCTTTGCTTTTCTTTAAGCCTTGTGGAATGATGTTGGCACCATCTTGACAATATTTCCAGAATATTTGACCAGAATGGTTAGTCTGTGTCGTGTTCAGAGCTTTTGCCAATGAACATCCATGCATCCTCCAATCTGTTTCCTGCTTTTTGCTTACCTTCTGATGATGCAGCCTCCACGCCACATTAATGCAATTGCGCCGTAATTTAGGGTCCAGCCAAACTCCTTGGCGGCTTGCCTCAGTAACATGAAGCCCTGGGCGTAGGAAATGATCTTGGAAGCATAGAGGGCCTATAGGAAGGAGTGAGAGAATGGCATGCATGCACAATATTAACCACGGTGTGTTTTAAACCATGATGACCCATAACCAAAATAAAGGACTTTTGATTCTGAGTAATTGCAGTTTGCTAAACAAGCCATCCCTGAATGGTTTGCACATCTTACTAAGAAATAATAGATAAAGGTACAAGTAATGCTGAATTAAAAAAAAAACAAAAACCAGAAGCTAGTCATCTTATGATTCAGAGTGATGGCAAACCAAGATTTAGGAAGGAAACTCAGCAAAAGTTGGGTCTGGGCTGTCTTCAGATCATAAAAACGTTTGTTCTGTAAAACAAAAGAACTTGCTGATCCACAGACCAATATGGCACCCTTCAGATAGTTAAGATTACAATCCATACTTCAGTTTACCACTAGATGGTAGCAAAGAGCTGCGGAAACATCTAGTTACTGCCACCTTGTGGTCCTTTAGAGTTCTGCAGCTGAGATAAAATACGCCTCTAATTTTCCAGTGTATTATGGAATCAATGAGTTCTGGAGAAAGCCATATTGAGGAAGGTTGGTCTGCTTTGTGATCCAGCCCAAGTCCTTCTTATACCCACTTTGATAAAATACCAAGGCTCCAGGAGGGATCAGGCCCACTGATGGGAAAAGCCGTGCACTCACTTTACGAATGTCCTCCAGGAACGTTGCCTTATTCCCACTAAACGCCTGCGCTTTGGGACCACTCAGGAGTTTGCTGGCTTGCATCCTCTCGTCCTTGAGCGAAGACAAACACCGGGCAAAAACAGCCTCTCCTTTTGAAGGACAAACAAACATTCAAATTATCCCTGACCACTCCAAGCAAAAGACCAAAACCCGGTTGCATGCACCAAAGGCAATTCCAAACAGAACAGAGCTGGATTTCAAAAAAAACAAAAAATTACACAACTCAAATTACTCTACGAAGGAACAGCATGAAAAGAAATTGGAAATACAACCGGGCCAGAGAATACAAACAAATAACGAATGTGCTTTCTTGCTAAACTCTGGAATTATTTTCAGATTCATTTGCAGCTGGAAGGATTTGTACTCCTTGCAGACAGCTGGTCATTTGCTTTCTTTTAGAGAGTCATTGAGACCACTTGGAGGTTTGTCTGTGTCCTCAGGGTCACCTGAGTGGTGCCAATGACCAGGAATATAAATATAAATCCTTCCATTCCTCACCATCCAGTCAGAGCTGAAGAAGCTTCTTGGATGAGAAGTGGAACATCTTCAACGAAAAACAAGAAAGTCCAGGTGCCCCTTGAAAAAAGCACCTTTGGGACAACCATGGCCTAGATGAGTGAGAATCTCCATAGACACTTGCAACTATGAGAAATAAAATCTAGCTTAATCCTTCTTATAAATTTAGAATAATCATAGCCTCCGGTTAAAATATACACACAAAAAGGGTGGTTTACACCAGGGGTCCCCAACCACCGGGCTGGGAACCAGTACCGGTCCATGGCCTGTTAGGAACTGGGCTGCACAGCTGGAGGTGAGCAGCAGCGAGCGGCGAAACTGTGCATGTGTGGGATCTAAGTTGTGTAGTCCTGCTTCCCACCCACTCCCAGTCCGTGGAAAAATTGTCTTCCATGAAACCGGTCCCTGAATGCCAAAAAGGTCGGGGACCACCTGTTTACAGCACTGGCTCAACTGCGTCATTTTAAAAGCTAAGTCAGCTCTTCCAGGTTAAGCTAAGCTCAATATTGTTAGCTTTCATTGGCTTTGTCTTTTGGGGTGATTTACAATCCCCCCCCTCTCTGGTGCATCAACGTAAGGGGTCAATTCAGCATCCGATGGGTAAACATGTCCTTCCATCTCCCTAGATCAAAAGTAAAAAATCCTGCAGATTCTTTGTTTAATTTCCTCCCGGCTCCTTTGCTGAGGAAGAATGAGTCAGCACCTTCCAGGAACTTGCAAGTCATGCTGATAACAAATAGGAAAAAAAAAAGACAATAGAAATTCACCTGTTTGGCAGCCCACTCTCTCAAAAGTGCAGCATTCTCTTCTCAAACAGGCCAGAATTATTTTTTTAAAAAATGTATTTTATTAGTTTTCCAGTTTTACATTTGAGCATTTGGAAGGCAAATGGGTTAAACCATAGTTCAGTAACAAAATCTTTAGTAGGTATCTCAGATGACATCATCAAATATTTCTTCTCTGTTTCCCTTAACATTTGCTAATTCATATTTGAGCTAGTAAATTTCTAATTGTATCAAACTCAATAAAAACTTCATTATCGCATTTATAAATACTTTTTTTTTGCGTGTACGTATCTTAATAAATCTCGATAGACAATCCATGTCCTGTTATTCAGTTTTACCTAATTTTTAGTTTTTCATTACAGTATTCCAATTTGACCTTTAATATCCATAGTATTTAACTTTCAGGTAGCCCAAATTTCCTTTATCTCACTTCATAAAAACTATAATGTCTAAAATACACATATTAGTTACTGAAATACAATCTTAGTCTATTTCGTAAACATTTTCTATTTCTTACCCTAGCACATCATCACCTTAATAATAGAGTATCCTTTATTAGTTCAAATCCATCATCTATATTATCTGGGTCAGTCAATAATTCAAACCTATTATTTTGGAAATATTTTGATGAGGGCAAGAGGGAGAAAGTAACCAAATAAAGCTCCCCCCAAAACTGGGCATGTCCCCCAAAGAAAAGAAGGATGCAATGTTAATCAGAGGAAGATTTAAAAGTTTATAGGAATCTCCTCCCTGAACGGCACGAGAAACTTGCAAAAACAGCAAAATATACAGCAAAAGTCAGTTACCTATGAGAGTAACGGGAACGCCGTATTCCAAAGCGGAAATCGCTGTCCATTTTCCCGTTCCTTTCTGCCCGGCGCTGTCCCTGATTTTAGGAAGCAAATGTTTTCCATCCGTGTCACGGAATTTCAAGATCTCGGCTGTGATTTCAATCAGGAAGGAATCCAGCTCGGTCTTATTCCATTCCTGAAACACCTGGGAAGAAAAGAGAAGGTGGGAAGGGGGAATCGGTCCTGCATTTGCTGGGCCCAAGGAAACTTCCATCGCCAGTGCTTTTGTGGAAAGGATTTTGCCCAATTTGGAAGAGGTATCTAAGGACACGATGGGGCCATGATCAATCAATTAAGCTATTGTAGAAATATGGGGGTGGGGGATTGGACAAGAAGATCTCAAAGGTCTTCCAACTCTGTTATTCTGTTGTATGCTGGTCTATGATCATATACAATCTTTCTTTCCATCCCTTCCTTCCTTCCTTCCTTCCTTCCTTCCTTCCTTCCTTCCTTCCTTCCTTCCTTCCTTCCTTCCTTTCCTTCCCTCCCTCTCTTCCCCTCCATTTATTCTTCTCCCCATTTATCTTTCCTTTCTTCCCTCCCTCCATTTATCTTTCCCCCTTCCTTCCATTTAGTCCTCCTTCCTTTCTAGTGCCAGGTTTTTTTGGGGGGGGGGGGTGTTAGCAGACGGAGAAGACGCTGCCTAGGGTAAGATCAGATAATAGAGGCCGTAGCCCTCAGCTGCATAATGGACTGAGAATGAAGCTGAGAAGTTCAGCCCCTTAAGCTCTCAGCCTGTAAGTTTTGCCATTTCGGATTTGCAAGGTTCTGTTAATGCAGCCTTAGAATAAACTAAATTAGCCAAACTGGTTGTGCTTTCTCTTTGTGGTCTACCTAGGAAGGCACATACTACCCATTTATCCACCAAGCCACATCATTCCAGAATGGCTTTCCTTTCTCCATTTAGACTTTACTATCCACTTTGCTCCGGACTCCACCGTGTTTGACTCACCTTGGACATCTCGTCGTGGTCCATGGCCAGCACGTCCTTCATGAGGTGGTAAGCCTCACAGATCAGCTGCATGTCACCGTACTCAATCCCGTTATGCACCATCTTCACAAAATGCCCAGCTCCTTCATCTCCCACCTGTTGGACACAACGGAGAAGGAACCGCGTCAGAGGGCATAATAATTTTGGGATTTGCTCATGAAGAAGGGACAAGTTTTAAGAAGTGGATCAACTCTGGAGAGCACCAGCCACACTCGCTGCCCCCCCCCCAGAAATGCCGCTTGACCAAACTTGAATCTTTTCTCCTTTTTTTCCAGCCAGTATCACCATCTTGCAAAAAAAAATGCAACTTAGCTGGAAAAAAAACAGCAAATATACAGCAAAAGTACCAATGAGAGTAATGGGAATGCCGTATTCCAAAGCGGAAATCGCTGTCCATTTTCCCGTTCCCTGAAAAAAGTTTCGCTTTAACTTGGTGATACAGTGGTGTGTTGGTTAAAACGCAGGATTTCAGGCTAAACTCTGCCCACTGCCGGCAGTTCGATCTTGACCGGCTCGAGATTTGACTCAGCTTTCCATCCTTCCGAGGTCGTTAAAATGAGGAGCCAGATTGTGTGTGTGGGGAGGGGCAATAGGCTGACTCTGTAACCCGGAGAGGGCTGTAAAAAAATTGTATAAAATTGGAAGGGCTTCAAAGGTATCGGTAGAAAGACTCACCCAGTCACAACACGGTTCCCCGGTTCCTACTTTGGCTGCGATGCTCTGAAATATTGTCTTGATGTGAGGCCTGCAAAGGAAGGATCAGGGACAGGTGTTAGCCAAGTGCACCCAATTCCTGCCAGCCTCTAATTCCTATCAGCCTTAAGATAAACAACGGAGGAATAGTTATCCCAACCGTCTGAACTTACGTACCAGGCTTCTTTCGCTCCACCTGGCATCAGGGAGGGTCCGTATCGGGCTCCTTCTTCACCCCCACTTACTCCACTCCCCACAAACAAGATGCCTTTTTCCTTGAGTTCCTTGCAGCGTCTCTAAAAGGGAGGGGGAGAAAAAGGGGGGAGAGAAAATGAGGAAAAAAAAGGATTGCAAGGAGAAAATAAATTTACATTTCTAATTCAGAAGGAGGCATTTGTCTTGATAAACTTCCTTTCTGAACTTGATAAATTTGATAAACTTCCTTTCTGAAAGGGGGCTGAGATCCTGCTCGTCTCCCATGTTCCTCAACAGTCTGTTGGGCTTAAGGAAAATAAACTTTTGTAAAAAAAGAAAAAAAAAAGCAGCTCAAATGCCAAGCGTATATTGAATTTCCCGAGCTTGGCTTAGTGGCCTCAAGGCTGTTCCCACAAAAGCAGATTCTAAACAATCTGATATTTTTCAATTGAGACTAGCCCAGAACACAGGATCGTTTCTGAGAAGTTTTCCCCCCACGAAATCCACGGAAGACGAACTGGCTAGCAGACACCTACCGTTGTATCTCTGTATTCGGAATTTCCTCCATCAATAATGATATCCCCACGAGAAAGCAGCGGCACCTGAAAACACAAGGAGGACATTTATGTGGATCAGCCAAAAGACCTGCCTTAGAAGCAGCAAGTTCCCACTGCTGCCAATCAGTAACCCCTGGCCAACAGCTGGAGTGCCTCGGACTATGGAGGTTCCATTCCAAGCTCCTGTTGTGTCGTGAAACATCTGTGCGTTTCATCTCGCCCAACCAAGTTTAATAATCTTTTCATTTTTTAAAAAAAGTTAAAATACAAAACACCAGGAAACAAAAAGAAAAAAAACAAGACATTAAAAAGGTATATATTTTAAATAGATGAAGAATGTATTCTTTGGAATAATAGGTTTATTTGTATAAAAACTATTATGGAATGGAATGAAGAAAACTGAAGAGGCGTTTTAGATCTGGATTGATTTAATCACTAATTGAGTATGTTAAATTAGTAAGATGATGCTCTTGCCTGACAATATGGACGTTATTAGGTATGATAATTAACTGGATGAAATTTGAATTTGGTCCAATGGGTTGAAATGATTTAAGGTTTGATATTACTTTGTTATGTTGTTACCTTAAAGAGATTGATGGATGGATGGATTATATATGTATAGGACAGACTAACATTTTACTTTAATTAGGAGATATATTGTGTAGTGGAAGAAGAAATAAATGAGATTTGTGATAAAATTAAGGATTTAAGAGATTGAGATCTAGAATATATCTGGAAGGGATACCTGAATTGATAATCTGTTTCTTTAAAGTCAAATTTGATTATGCTAATTGTAAATGCACAAAGCTCTAAAACAGGTTTAGGATTGTTAGAAATTTAAATTAGAAATGGATTATTTTAAATGTATTAGGTTGAGGGAAATAGAGAGGGAATATGTAATGTATTGATTTGAGTTATTCATATATGGTTTTATTTCTGGATGTTTGATTACCCCAGCACCACGGTGTGTCTTAAGCATTTTGTTCTAAGAATCAAAAAAACCAATAAAATTTCTTTAAAAAAAAAAGGTGCATTAAAAAAAGAAAAAAATATATTGTCCACATATTGTTTATCTCACCCAACAAAGTTTAATAATCTTGAGCTTGACAAGTCGGGGGGGGGGGGGGAATTAAATTTCACATCCAAGAAAAGAGCTGAAACCTCACAATGGCTGACAACAGAGGTTAAATTTCCACTTTAGTGTTGTGAAACGAAAACAGAAGTAATGCTTTTGATCTTTTTGTGTTGGAGAAGACTCCTAGGAATACCACGGGTGACCAGGAAAAGGAACCAGAGATCAAAGAAGAAATTAATTCTGAGTCCGCTCTCAAGGCACCAAGGAGTAGGTTATTTTGGATGCACACTATGAAAAATGGACCCCCTGGCGAAGTTCTATTGCTGGGACAAATGGAAGGAAAGAGAAGACGAGAACCACCAGCAGAAAGATGGAAGTATTCAATTACAGGAAGATGGGGACAGATTATCCTGGAGGAAATTCATCTACGAGGCCGCTCAGAATCACCACTGATCTGGTGGCACATAACCAGGGATGAATTCGGCAATAAAGAAGTGTATAGGTCAGCCTTGACTTACAACAGACCATTTAGTGACTGTCCAAAGTTACAACAGCACTGAAAAAAGTGATTTATAACCGTTTTTCAGACGTACTCCTATTGCAGCATCCCCATGTGGTCAAAATCCACACGCTTGGCAACTGGCTCATATTTAAGACGGTCGCAGTGTCCTGGGGTCACTGCATCCCCTTTGACAAGCCAAGTCAATGAGGGAAGCCAAAGAATAGGAAGAAGGTGTAACACGTGTAGAACGAGCCACAATTGCTGATCCCAAGCTGTCCACGCGGCCTCTTTCGGCCACCGCTAAATAGCTCCTATTTATTTGCTAGCTTGATCAAGCCCAAACCAACTTTACAACTGGGACAGCTGTCATCTCCGAGGGGTCTCCTTACCAACTTGTTGATGAAGTCATCCACGGCGCTCCCGGCCTTGACCAGCATCATGACCCGGCGGGGTTTTTTCAGCTTTGAAACCATTTCCTCTAAGGAGTGAGCGCCGATCACTTTGGTGCCCTTGGCCTCGTTCGCAAGGAAATCGTCCACCTTGGAGACCGTCCGGTTAAAAGCGCACACCTGGGCGATGAAAGGACAAAGAGGTTGGGAAAAAAAGCCAAAAACTTCAGCAATGCAGTTATTTAAAAACATCTTTCCTGACTGCATTTTTCTATCTTCTCTTTCCCCTAGCCAAAAATATTGCTCATTTGCTGAATTATATTTACTGAGGTGTTAGTTACACAGAAATAAAACTACTGCTTTTTGCATGATTTGTGCCCTCTGCGTCACAATCACACTACGGGCTCAGCTGCAGAACGACTGATTGAGGAGAGCGCTCAAGGAAGTGAGTCAAGTTACACTTTACAGATAAATGTTCCAAGACAAGAGAATGAAAGCAATCCCCTTTTAAGGGTTTCCTCATTGTGTTTCTTGAATAGCATCCTGTTTATTATAAAGGCAATAGGAGGCTGATTAATTGCACAGCTTATAGTCTTTAATCTGACCCTAACAATGCTATCAGATGCCTAAAATCAAGGTCAAAAAGCTACAATTAACAAAGAAAAAATATTTTTTTATAAAAGAACAACCTGTGGTGGGATGTATCACAACAAATTCTTGAAGCCACATTTCAGACATCTGACCCGAGGGATGTCCAGTTTTACACCAAATCTTTGCAACTCAGGGTTTACTCACCACAAAACCATGATCGTTCATATTGAGGATGAGATTCTGACCCATGACTGCAAGGCCAATCAACGCAATATCTGCTCTGCAAAAAAAGAAGGGTAGAAAAATAATGTTTAGATGGCAAATTTGGTTCCCAAAAAGAGATCTCGTCCCTCTGTGGCAGGCAGCCTGTGAAATGTCCTTAGGTTACTCAGGTAAGTAAGCCCGGCCACAAAGGAAACAAAAGTAGCAGCACTGGAATTAGTAGCCAACGATTCATAAATTATCTTTTTTGCAAGGTGGCCAGAAAGGATCTGTCTCCCCAGAGAGGACATATCAGTCCATCCTATTTGGATGTTAAAATTATATATTATATTATAAGCATTGCTTCTCATTTTAGGCTTCCAACAGCAATCTGAACCTCACCCCAAACCACAGATCATGGTTTGCAAGCAATAAGGGGGGGGTAAAAAACACACTAGGCCAAACCGACCGAGTTGCATCAGAGGTTGCAGAGGGGAAAAAAATGAGAATGCCTATAGGAAGCAGTTCAAACTCAGGAAGGATGCAAGTCAGCTTTGCTAAATGCTCACATCTCCAAAAGGCGGTGATGGGTTGCGACAGCCTCTAGCCTCAAAGAAGAATCAGGAAGTAAATAGGATTTCTTAATCCAGCCCATTTTTCTCTCTCTTCAGCCCCGGCACCCAGCTTGAATTGCCAAGGAAGAAACAGGTGGTGGTGTAGCCCTCCAGAACCAAACTTAAGTCAGCTTCAGAAATCAAGGAAGTGATGGGAAAAAAATATTGCAGGGAGGAATTCTTTACTTCCCTGAAATCAAGGAGATGATTTGCAGGGCGTAAACTATCGTCTTGAGTTCAGAAAACCAGGAAAATATTATTTTTATGTGAGAGAACTTTCCTGTGCCTACTCCCACTGTTTCTGCTTGGTGTTTCTTCTTTTCCTCTCAAGAAAATCTTAAAGTGATTTAATCCAGAGGCCTACCCAACCAACCATGGATTGGTTGAAAAATTGATTTGGGTTTTCCCAAGGCCAGCTCCACATCTCTGGGATCTGGAGGAAGAGATCAATCTCTCTTTGCTTGCCTTGCAAACTCCATTCCAGGGAGCAGCCATTACAATTTCTTGTGGCAACGAGTTCCACAGGTTCACTGTTTGAAATCATGTTCTTAGAGATTCTACTTTGATCTTTGCTTTTTAACATACAATGATCCCTGGCCTACTACCACGATTCCTTAATTCGATAGGAAACTTGAGTTTCCTCTAAAAGAATTCCTTCTCCGTTCCTCTCCATTCTTACCAATCCTGACATTTTTTTTTTTTTTACCTCAGGTTAACTAGGTTTGCTGAACAGGCCTCAACTTAACACCCACATTACTAACCTATCCAAACCATGGTTGATGGACTATCCTGGCTGAAGGCCCACATGTCCCAAGCCCAGCCAAACCAGCGTTTCTCTTTAGCATCTGAACCAAACCATCATGGCAATCTTGTGAGGAAAAAAAAATTGGCCTGAGGTAAATTTATTAATTTGACAGCTTCTCCCTCGGTTTTTTTTTTTTTTTTTTTTTACATTGAACGATACATTTGAAAATTGGCTTTACCTCAGCCAATGGGAAGTCGGAGGGAGAGCCAATGAAAGGACCCCCAAATTGAACCACCTATCAGGTGAGAGCGGAGGTTGGAGGGGGGAATGGTATATAAGGGGGACCCCAGCTGATACCCGGCTCAGAGCATCGGGAACGGAGCCCCGAGGAGGAAGGAAGAAGGGAAGGAACAAGACAAGTGGGAAGTGAGGAAGGAAGAAGGGAAGGAACAAGACAGAAGAGGGAAGCCTGGAAGAAAGAAGGGAAGGAAGAAGACAGAAGAGGGAAGCGAGGAAAAAAAAAGAAGGGGGAACTAAGCAGGCTGAGTCACTGAGGCAAAAAGTCACTCCTCCACTCCAGAAATCTGGGGCAAAGTAGCCTCCCTAAAGCGGGGGAGCGAAGCAGGTGGAGTCCCTGGAGCAGTCACTGCTCACCCCAGAAGTCGGGGGGGCGAAGACGGCACCAGAGTCCTGAGGCGGCTGCCCACAAGGGGGACGCCGAAAGAGGACCCCCCCCCAATTTGGCGCGCTCCCTCAGGCCGCTGCCAGCCCAATCGCCCCGGCTGAGCGCCGTCTTCAAGACCTAATAACACGCTACAACACCCGCGTCCTTGGCTCCGTCTGGTTCTTTCTGAAGGGGAGGGGGAGGCCTCCAGAGGAAGCGCCTTCTCCTTGCGCGCCGGCTTGGGGGGAACTTGGCGGGGGGGGGAGGAGGATCCGGCGCTGTTTTTCGCCTCAGGAACGCCTGCGAGGGTCCAACGCGCCTAGGGGAGGGGTCTCTGCGCATGTGCAGAGCGCTGCCTCGCCTTCTTACCCAGCCCCCCGCTTCCTCTCGGGAGGCAGCCCGGTGCTTAAAAGCGCGCGTAAGCGACGGCGCATGTCTGGGGAGAGGGGAGGGGGTCTTCTTCACGCCCCCCCACCACCACCACCCCTGGGCGCAGCGAGCGCGACTTACTCGGCCATGGCGACGGCGGAGAAAGGCTGCTGCTCTTCGCGGGCGAGGCTTCCCTCGGTCTGGGCCGGCTCACGGCGGGGAGGACGCGGCTCCGGGGCGCCTCGCCCTTGAAAGGCGGCGCGGGCCGGCTTCCCTCCCTCCGTGTCGCCCACGGGGGGGGGAAAAAGGGGCTGGGCGAGGTAGAGGAGGGCCCGGCATCGGCTCACCTTCGCCCCATCCCTCGCCGGGGCGGGGAAAGGCGGTCCGCGCATCCACGAATGGATGGATGGATGGGAACCCGGATCTGCAATGGGCGTCACGTCTCTTTGCGCGGCTGCGAGGGGGTCGGGCGCTTGGCTGCCTTTTTCCGGGGAAAGGAAACGGGTTGCGCGTCCTGCTTTTTTTTTTTTTTTTTCGCCCTTCTCCCTCCCGCCCCGCTGAAAGCAGGCAGGCCCCGAAAACCGTCTCGCCTCCCTTGGCTTGCTCTTCGGAAAACCGCGGCCCGGGATGGACTCCAGAGCTCCTAAATCTTGGGATTCGGAATAAAGCATCCTGTCGGTTGCATTGAACCTGTCTGTGTAGTACAGCGGTTCTCAACCTATGGGTCGCGACCCCATTTGGGGTCGATCGACCACTTTTCGGGGTTCGCCAAAGGCGGCGATCCGCCATTTTGTCCCCTCCGGGGGCGGCGGCGCGCCTGGGGGGCCGCCGCGCATGCGCTGCGCACGCGCAGGGGAGGCGCATGCGCATAGCGTTTGAGAAACGCTGGTGTATCTGCCTAAGAGTCAGTGTTTCTCGACCATTTTAAGGCACGTGGACTTCAACTCCCAGAATTCCACAGCCAGCAATGCTGGCTGTGGAATTCTGGGAGTTGAAGTCCACGTGCCTTAAAATGGTCGAGGTTGAGAAACACTGGAACCAGCCACCCATCTCGATCTAGTTTCCCTTTTCACCATCCATCCATCCCTTCGTCTCATAATTTGGAAGGTGGGAATAGGATGCGAGACTCAATAGAGCAGGAGAAGCCTTTTGGAGGGGAAGCGAAACGTCTTCAAACTTCAGTTACTGCCTCTTGAAAAAGCACCTTTGGGACAACCATGTCCTTAGATGAGGGAGGATCTGCACAGACTTAATAGTGGCTTTTCCTTGTTTTGGCTGCCATGGCCCCCTCTCCCCTCCCGTCTCCTTGGAAAAAGGAGAAATACACCAACTTGTAAAGTCTCTCTTTTTTTTTTTCAGCTCAATCCAGGGTGGCACAAACCATATTGCCTCCTGTGCTTTCCTTTTCCTGCCCTGTGTGCATTCTGTCTTCTAGGGCAGGGGTCTTCAACCTTAGCAACTTTTAAGACTCGTGGACTTCAACTCCCAGAATTCCTCAGCTAGGCACGCTGGCTGAGGAATACTGGAAGTTGAAGTCCACAAGTCATCAAAGGGCCAAGTTGGAAGACCCTTGTTCTAGGGCAGGGGTAAGCAACCTGGGCTCTTTTATGACTGGTGGACTTCAACTCCCAGAATTCCTGAGCCAGCATGGCTCAGCTTGGAAACCTCTCCCTTTCCCCTCCGCATGCCTGGCTCAGGAATTCTGGGAGTTGAAGTCCACTAGTCATAAAAGAGCCAAGGTTGCCTACCCGTTCTAGGGGCTCCATAGAGGCCAGTACGGAAACCTCCAGGGATCCATGCCTTTGTAAGAAAACAAGACAATACAAAACAAGCACACCCTTTGCTCGTACGCTAGTTGTATCTTTATTGTTTTCCACCTTGCTCACTAACAGTTCAGTGGTGCAGTTACCGGACACAAGAGTTAGATTAAAGAGTATCTGCATTGCACACCTAAAGGCTATACAGCAAAATGGTTCCAAATTAGTACAAATACATGAAGTTTATTTACAGTTTGTATACCCAAGCTCCGAAACATCAGTTATATTTACAAAATAAAACATGGGTTGCCAGGGGACGGAGGGTGGGGTGGGGGCAAAGGAATCGAAGGAGCAGAAATTAATCGTCAGGTTAATTCAAGTGTTTTGAATGGATTCCTTCCACCGGGATGAGATTGGTTCCAAAAGGAAAAAAATTGGAGAATTGGGTCCAAAAGGCCACTTCAGTTGAGCAGCAAAGAAGGGGGGGGGAGTGTATGTGGCAGGTCCCTGTTAAAAAAAAATACATCTGCAAACGTACAGAGTGAGTGGATCCTAACAGGAGGCAAAGTGCAAAGCACAAAGGATTTGGGACACCCCCCGATTTAGGTAATCAATAAATAAGGAATCGGGCTGGGTGCGGCAAGCAGGTTGGAATTCCACCGATGCTGCTCCAGGAAGCAGAGGAGACGCAATCCTTGTTTTGACAAAACTTCAAAACTTTAGACCGGCCTTCACCTCGGCCGGTCTAAAGCAGGCGGCTTCTTCAGCGGTGCTTGGATGGATTTGAACCCCACACCGAAGTGGCCTTTGGAGCCAAAACTGAAATTTTCCTTCCTGTCCCCCCTCCCCTTCCCCAGGCCTAGTGAGGAAGCACAGCGTGAAAGACATTCCTGACACTTTTTTTTTTTTTTAAAAAATGTAAACTGCTAGCCACCAACGAGGAAGGAGGAATGGTAAGTGGATGACTGTTTTTCCCCTGGACAAACTGAGGTCCTGTTTCGGATACATTCAAGGAATCTTCAAGCAGCAAAGTTATTATTATTATTTTTTTAAAATATTCCCCTGTTATTCAAAGCAGCATGTTAGAAATAAAAAAAAAGGGAAATAATCTGTACCGTGTGATGCCTGGGCAGACACAGGATTAAAATCCATGACAACATAACAGAGGGAGGTTGAGGTTTATGTACAAGGAAAGTGAGCACAAATACACCTCCGTTTACACACACACAAAAAATACACATTAAATAATCCCTGTAGTGCCACCGGGTTAAACAAAGCGGAAGAAAGAAAAAACATCTTTGCTCGGAAAACATCTTCAGGAATTCTCCTGGTTTTTTGGCAGCCCTTTCTAATTTAGCGTAATTTAATGAGCAAGGGGAAACCAGGCAGAAGAATTAAAATCTGCTGTTTGCAAAGATCGATCGATCGATTGATATAAATGAAAGGATGAATCAACTGCTCCGATTGAACAGAAGGAGTAGATCAGGGGTCTCCCAACTTGGCCCTTTGATGACTTGTGGACTTCAACTCCTAGAATTCCTCAGCCAGGCACACATGCCTGGCTGAGGAATTCTGGGAGTTGAAGTCCACAAGTCATCAAAGGGCCAAGTTGGGAGACCCCTGGTTTAGAAGATTCTCAGATTACAATCAGGGCCACATCTTCAGCTTCCGCTTCTGTCATTTCCTTAACTGCGGACTTTGCAAAAATGTCCTCGGTCCTCGCATGGAGCCGCAGGGCATGCACAAAGGGTTGGCTGGCCCGTGGCAGCGGCCTGCAGCTCCGGACAGCGGCCCAAAGAGCTGGCTGGCTCCGGACCCTGTCGGCTGGTGAAAGCTTTCTAGATCCGGCTTCTGCTGAAATTCAGATTATTATTATTATTTTAAAATGAAGCACAGAGGCGGACTTTCTCTGTGTTGCAAGAGGCAGGGCTGGTTAATTTTTAGGATGTGGAAAGAGGGATCCCCTCGGATTGGATCGAGGGCTTCCAAAGGCAAAAGCGACAAAAAAAAAATAATCTTAATTCCCCTGGGTCAATTTTACGTCGTCCGCCGCACAATCAGATCCAGAGCATCTAAAATAAGCACCGGAAGAAGGCTTTAAGACTTACACCTCTGGCTCACGCAAAGATTGGCCCAAGGTGAGCGGGTGCGTTTGCGTAACCTGTGGCTGTGCCCTTAATGCTCCTATAAAGCACGATATGTAATTCTTGTTATATACGGTGTGGTTTTTTTTCCAGAGCAAATTTTCCAACCAGCTTTGTTCCGAGCTCAACAAACAAAACAAACGAAACAAAAATGTTATTTTAGTGTAGACACCCTATTGCCAGAAAACTCCCTTTTCTGACGGCGGACAGTTTTTCCCCACCATTTTATTTCCACAAAACTGGACTGACAAGTGTCTTTTGTTGTGCACAAAAAAGAAAAAAAAAATCAATTCATCATTAAAGTCACTGCAACCTCCCCCCCCCCAACTTGGCTCAACTGGCAGCCTTATAATTTGGGGGTTGTGTAGTGTCGTCACAGGGCTGAGAGTCCCGCTATTAGACTCACTTTTAGTGCAATAAACCCAAACAATCAAACCAAATGCATAACTTATGCCTCATTTCAGGATCCAAGTTCCTTTGCTTTAAGCCAGAGAGGGTGTATGTCCAAACTTGGCAGCTTTTTAAGACCTGTGGACTTCAACTCCCAGAATTCCCCAGCTGGGGAATTCTGGGAGTTGAAGTCCACAGGTCTTTAAAAGCTGCCAAGTTTGGACACCCCTGCTCCGCGGAGAAGTGGCACAGAAAATGCTCAGAAAATCTTCCCGACTCTACGTCACGGCAAACTCTGTGGAATTCCACGGCAGAATTAAGAGTATTCCCCACCCCATGTGGATAAGACACCCCCCCCCAGGGCCTCTAGCCAAGGGGTCTCACTAAGGCAGTGTTTCCCAAACTTGACAATTTTAAGGCATGTGGACTTCAACTCCCAGAATTCCACAGCCAGCAATGCTGGCTGTGGAATTCTGGGAGTTGAAGTCCACATGCCTTAAAATTGTCAAGTTTGGGAAACACTGCACTAAGGCATTGATCTAAAGATGGAGGGGAAAAGCTACACACGCACACGCCTATCTATCCAATGGGACGAATGCAAACATTCAATTTTTGTGTGCGGGGAAAAATCAGATGTTTGCCTTTTGTCTAGACAGATTGCCCAGACTCCTTCTGGGCCCGTCAGTGCCCAAGTGCTAAAAAACGAGAGAGAGAAAGACCAACCATGGTTTGGAGGCTGGAGGAAGCTTGTTTTGAAAAGCAAAGGGGGGGGGTCAAGCTTTTCCTCTCCGCTTCCATCGTGGAAAAATAATGCCCTGGTAAGCGAATGGAGAAAGGGGAAGGCTGGCTGGATACAAATCTGTCTCTCAGAGGTTCTACAAAAGAGGTTACAGGAATCTCTAGAAAACCCCCCCGCCAAAGGGAGAGATGCCTCCTGCCCGCGACAAATGATTGTTTGTGGAGTGTTTCAGCTTCCTTTCTGACTCAGGAGTGCCCTGGGTGGCAGAGAGGGAGGAAAGGAGCTGGGCTTTCAAGCGGGCATGTTTCTAAAATAGGTAGAAATGATCCTTCTGCTGCCGTGGGACGCGGTGCTGCCCCGCAGACCCAATGCTGGTTCCATCTCCCCTTTCACTGGGGCGGGACTGGGCAGAGCCCCGTGTTAAACAGGGCTCCACCTTCTTCTAGTTCAGCGGTTCTCAACCTGTGGGTCGGGACCCCATTTGGGGTCGAACGACCATTTCACGGTCGCCAAACAACGCAGTCCGCCATTTTTCCCCCCTTTTCCTTAGCTGTGCTACTCCCTTTTATTCTATTGGCTTTGGAAAGCCAATAGAATAGACTCTCTTGAATAGAGTCTAATTCTATTGGCTTTCAAAAGCCAATAGGAATTGTCCAGGCTGTCTCTGCCCTGCTGAGCCCGCCAAAAGTCCCATTCTGCAAACGGTGCTGCACCAGTTGAGTAGTCCTCGACTTACGACCGGTTGAATAGTCCTCGACTTACGACCGGTTGGGGGGTCGCGGCATTAAAAAGGTTGAGAACCACTGTTCTAGTTTATCCTGCTGATGGACAAAACAGGGGTGCTACATTAGGGCAATCCTCTCCTACCTTTCCATTGTATCGGTCCTTCTGGGATGGAGGCGAGATTCCCGGCCTTCCACAGGGGGCTCGGGGACTGAGAGGCAGGCAGATCCCGCAGCCAGTCCCCCTTCCTCAAGGTCTGAAACCTTCTCCCCTGCATCTGCTCCAAAGAGAAGGTGGCTGGCAGCCATCACTGGCCAAGCCACAAGGGCTGAGTTTAACCAGGCTATGCCGGCGGCTGAGAAACGAGCCTGGGTTAACTGATTCCTAAGCAGCGATCCAAAATAAATAAATGGGAAGGCAACATACGCTGGGAAAGGGGCGCCCCAAATGGAGGGGCAGGAGTCTTTCCTGGAGAAACACAGTCTGGTTATTTTTCCAAGACGAAAAATCAAACTCTCGACATCCAGACAGAGACAAACACAGCGCCGGACAGGCGACATCACTTGGGGGGGGGGGGTGAGGAACCAAGGGCCCAAATTAGGGTTGGGGGTGGGGGTGGGGTTTCTTTCAAAAGAAAAGAAAGTCGTGCATCTATAAATATGAACCCCCTTCCACCCCGCTCACCCACACACATTTCCCCCCCTTCCCGTCGCTTCTTCTTCCGTTGGGCCCCATGCGATGAACAGTGTTTTCAACACTCGAAAAGGAAAATCGTTAGAATAGTATTGTTTTTTTTTTTTAGAGGAGAAAAAAAAAGGAAAGGAGGGAGAGAGAGAGAAAAAAAGAGAGAGAGAGAGGAAAGAAGGTGGGAAAGTGCTGGAAGTCAGCCAAGTTAAAGCCACAGGGTTAAATACAAAGAAAAGGGGCCACTCAAGTATCACAGAGAAAATGAGAAGGGAGGGTTTTATCTATAGCTGAAGGTGGATTTGGGAGAAAATAAAAATTGCGTGAGAATTCCCCAGGGACTCAGTACTTCAGCTGTCCGGAGAGTCTTCGCGCGAGTTTGGACCTGCAGAAGGAAAAAAAGGACAGGAATTGAGAGAAAGTGTCACGGCTGGAGGAACCGCACCCGGCACTGAGATGGAACACAACCACAACCACACAAGACTGCGTCTATCCTAACCGACAGGACCCAAATTCACGTTTATCCCTCAAAAGCCGCCTCTCCACTCTGCCCATGGCCAGGAAGCTAAAATTAAGGCCGGGAGAGAAAGGCACCCTGCAAAAAAACAGATTTTGGACATGCTGGAATTGCGTTCCTAGAAGTGGCAGAATGAGAATCCCATCTTTTATGACGGGTCGCAGGGCCAGCCCAAACGTTCAACATTAAACTAAACATGTTCTCTAAAAATTATCGGAAAAATAACCAAGCCAAATAGTAAGATGAATAAGGATCTTTAGCTCTCTAGGTGTTGTTGTTGTTTTTCTCTCTTATGATCACCAAATTTGGCTGCTGCACAAGTGCTGGCTGGCTTTGAATTTGGGGATTTCTAAGCTGGTGCCTTTCAGTAAGACTTGTTTAGTCTAAAAGAGGCAAGCGGACTCTTCATCTTTAGTGTCCCATCCTCTGCTAGCAGTGACAAGGCTTTTTTTTTTTTTAAAAAAAAAAAACCTTCCTCTTTGCTGGTGAACGTCCTTTTTCTAACCCTCGCTTCTCACCACTTTTGCAACACTTCCTCTTGAAGGAAACACGCCCGCCACTTTTCCTTACAGACCTGAAATTGACACACACACACACACACACACACATGCCTTCCCAGCCCCTTCCCCCCACGAGGCTGCCGATGCGTGCCATCCCGTTTCAGGATTTTAATCAGGTTTCTGATGGTTCCCCGGCCTGTGCGCTTCTTCTGCGAGCGTCTGCAGAGGAACGCGGGCCCACTAAGAAGACCCATCAGCCCCGGCGGCATCTCCCTCTTACCGTATCGTGCCAGCAAGGAGGGGGTTGAAGGCGTACAGCCAGTCGCTCATGTCTTTGTCATTGAGCGCTTGAAGGAGGACGCCGCGGTGTCTGGTGCAGACGGCAAAGGTGTTTGGTGTCTAAAATACAAAAATAAAAACGTGCCGGCATTTATTTATTTTTTTAAAAAAATGTTTTATTGATTTTCTAATTTTACAGTTAAGCATTTGAAAAGCCGCGCGGCGGCTGGGTTAATCGATAGCACAATGACAGACAAGTGTCTTTAGTACAAATCTCAAGCTGCTACGTTAAGTCCCTTCCAGCTCTATTTTGATTGACTGGTTTTAATTCCCTCCCTTTGCTTTCTGCATCCAAGACAAGGCGACCCCTTTGCGACTTCCTAGGGGATCAGGAGTCTTCTCCCAGCTTCTGGAGCGGCCCACTGACCTTCACCATGGCCTGCTGATCCTCGCTGTACTCCACCTGAGCCGTGGAGAGGTTGATGATCCCCCTCTCCACCGGATCTTTGTCGCTATTGTAGATGAAGACGTACGGGCGGCGCACCACCACAAAATGCTTGGCCCACGAAGGGGAGAGGGGCTCCTTGAAGTGCAGGTAGCCTTTCTTGGAGACCACGGATCTGGAAACAGAAACCCAGCGTAGAACAGACCCATCAGGGAAGGGAGTGAGTGGTTACAGCACCAGGAGGACCCTCCCCTTCCCGATGGGAGGAAAAGCCATGAATTGGAGCCCTCTAGAGCAGGGGGGTCTTCAAACGTGGCCCTTTGATGACTTGTGGACTTCAACTCCCAGAATTCCTCAGCCAGCATGAGGGAACTATGGCCCTTTGATGACTCGTGGACTTCAACTCCCAGAATTCCTCAGCCAGCATGGGGGAACTATGGCCCCCTCATGACTCATGAACTTCAACTCCCAGAATTCCTCAGCCAGCATAGGGCACTATGGCCCCCTCATGACTCATGGACTTCAACTCCCAGAATTTCTCAGCCAGCATGCCTGGCTGAGGAATTCTGGGAGTTGAAGTCCACAAGCAGGGGTCTTCAAACCTGACCCTTTGATGACTTTGTCCAAAATGGTATAGGGTTACCTGCCTGAGCAGGGGGTTGGACCTGATGACCTCCAAAGTCCCTTCCAACTTTATTATTATTATAGATCATCGCACAGTCAGCCAGATGTTCAGACTGGATTTGGCATTTTGTCTACCTATCGAGTCCTTACCCAGGACCTGGGATAGGCAGATGTGGATGTTTGATGGTATTACAGATATCGTCGCAGGATGGAAGCAGTTCCTAATAAGGCCGCCTTTTGCAATTGACTAATAGCGAATTTGTCAATGCCAATGGTGTTCAAGTGGTGCTCCAGTTGTTTTGGGATTGCACCCAAGGAGCCTATTACTATTGGTATTATTATTATTATTATTATTATTATTATTATTATTATTATTATTATTGGATTCAACTCCCAGAATTCCTCAGCCAGCGTGAGGGAAATATGACCGTTTTATGACTTGTGGACTTCAACTCCCAGAATTCCTCAGCCAGCATGCCTGGCTGAGGAATTCTGGGAGTTGAAGTCCACAAGTCGTAAAAGGGCCAAGTCTGAAGACCCCTGATCTAGAGGCTGGGATAGAGCGACCCATTTTCAAAAGAGGGGGCCCTGATTTTTCTCCCTGTTGCGAATGGCACCTTCCTTCCAATAAGGAGACCCTTACCCAGGCCGGATTTCCTCAATATCCGGAACGAGGTTCAAAAACTCATTTTTCCCGGCTCGCGCCAAATAAGAAACTTCAGCAGGGGGTGTCAACTGGAACGGCTCTGCCTCCAGTCCAGGGCTAGAGGCCCGAGAATTTGCTTCGGGAGTTCTTTGGTTTTAAAAAGAAAAGAAAAGAGGCCAAAAGAGAGAACGTGGTTAGTGTAAAAAATCAGGCACTGCAAAAAGCAGAAAAACACCAAAAACCTGGTTCGTGAATGTCTCGTGATTGGTTCAGAGTCAAAAAAAAGAAAACAAAAAAAGCAGAACAATCAACTTAGTGTCAACGCTGCTAACATTGGATGTTCTTGCTTTGACAACGTATGGAGATGCAGCCTTTTTCTTTCTCATGCTTTACTCTTAGGATTAGATGATACTGGGGAGAGGGGGAGGAATGTGATGGGAGTTAGTTAGACATACAATATTGTAATAAGGGATGATAAGGAATGGCAGAGAGGAAGAACTGGGCGGAAAGCCTGCATTTCAAACTAATTGGAGAATGTGATTTATGACTGTTAGCTGTAGGATGGAATTGTGCTTTGATACTATGTGCTGAGGGGAGGGGAAGTCAGATTTTGGCTTCCACCATGGGTGGAATTTGAATCTTTATTTGAATAAAGATTCTTTAGGGTAAACAATGCCTCGAAGATCTTTGAAGAGTAACATCTGTCGGAACCATGACACTTAGTTTGGGAGAGCTTTGAAGTTATTTATCTATGCTTTTAATAAACCTGGATTCAACCATGACACTTGTCTCCCCCCCCCTCCCAAAAAAAAGCAGAGTTTGCCTTTAAAGCACGCATCCATCAGGATGAACAGGGCTGAGAATGGGGGTAGGGGCAGAGCAAGTTTCTTCCCAGCCCTAAGAGAGAGAGCTTGAGGGGGGGGGTTCTACCAAGGGACGGGCGTCAACTCGGTCCCACTCACTTCTGATCCACAGAGTTGTACCTCGAATCGGACAGCGAGGGGCAGGTGGTGGACGGGGTGAGGGTGGAGCTGCTGAAGCTGGAGACCGAAGAATCCCGCCCGATCGGAGAGATGTCGGACAGCTGGAAGAAGGAAGTAATAACTTTCAACTCAGCCCCTGCAAGGGAAGGCTTCAAGGGGGAAAAATAAAACCTGGTTAAGGTTCGGCTTACCTTACAATCGCTGATGCTGTTGTAGACCTGGTTAAATTCGCGGTTGAAAGAATGAGTAAGAAGCTGAAGGCACTGGAAAGAAAGTGCGGGTTAGGATGGAGGAGGTGGACAAAAGGAAAAGGGGCTGGGTGTGTTTCTGGGAGTGGAAGCCCATCTTCAAAGTTGTCTAGAGACACTGATCTAGTCTGGGCCCTACCACATTTGGGGGAGAAAGGGGGTGAGGGAGAAGGCAGATTCGCAACCATCACCCCCCACGATCATCAGACACGCTACCTTGGTAGCTAGCTCCTTCTCCCGCTCCACCAGACTCTCGATGTCGGCCGAGTCGTAGCCGCTGCTCTCGCTGGGGGTGATGGCGCTCTCAAAGGTAGCGGAGGAGATCTGCGAGGAGATACTAGTAGAGGTACTGAGGGTGCTGCTGCTCAGGCTGGGGGAGAGCGAGTCACTTAGGGACTTGGGCAGGCCGTCGCTGATCTTCTCGCGCAGCAGCAGGAAGTGACGCGTCTTCTCCACCTGGGCAGCAAGAGAAGAATCCGGAGAGTTTCCGTCCATGACTTCTAAACTGGGATGTCCTTCTCTGCCCCCCCCCACCAAAGTACAACAAGCAGTGTGTCAACGCTGCTAACAACAGTTGGAAATGCAACCATTTTACTTTTAGAGTTAGAGGATGCTGGGAGGGGGAGGAATGTGCATGAGAGTTTAGCTAGACATAACAATGCTGGACCTAGCGTGAGAACCAAGGTTATTGAAATAAGAAAGGATAAGAATTGGTGGGCTGGAGAACTGGAGGGAAGGTCTGTGTTTCAAACGAACTGGAGAATGTGATTTATGACTGTTAGTTGGAGGAGGGAATTGAGCTTTGATACTATGTGCTCAGGGGAGGGGAATTCAATTTTTGGCTTCCATTGTATTAGTGCCGATGCTATGCTTCTCAAATAAAGATTCTTTAAGGTAAACAATGCCTTAAAGTTATTTGAAGAGTTTCATCTGTCGGAACCATGACACATTGGTTGGGAGACTGAGATGAGCCCAACAAGAAAGGACAGATGCAGAAAGAGGAAGAAGGAGAATTAACAACTTTGGCAGCCTCAGGGAAAACCAAGTTAAGGAATCCCAGCCCTTCCTTCCTGTTCCTGCTCCTTTGGGCCCCCACCTCATGCAGCAGCTCCAACTTCTCCAGTTCCCACTGGTGCTCCAGGATCAGACTGTCTCCTCGGGGTCTCCACCCTGCCAGGTTTTCTTCCCCTCGGACGTAGGCCACGGAGGTATCCAGGACTTTCCGTCTCCTCCTCTGCATTCCTGGAACATAAAAACCGGATTCAGGTCAAGTCAGTTTCCAACGCACCAGGAGGGAAGGTCACCAACTTCTACTCTGCAACCAAAGAAAGAAAGTCTAGTTGCCTTTTGAAAAAGCATCTTTGGGACAACCATGACCTGGATGATTGAGAATCTCCATGGGCAGAAATATGACAAACTAACAAATCAACCCAGGATTCAGAAAAAAATATGGTGGATTTTTTCTTTTTGGCATATTCACAAAAAGGGGCGTCTTCTGACCTGGGCTTCCGGTGTCCGACATTTTGCACAAGCTCAACTCGTAGATCCCAGTTACTCGGTTGCTGCTTGCAAAGAGGGAGGTAGAAAAAAACAAAACGATAATTTGAGAAAACAAGGCAGTCTCAGGAAAGGGTTGAGTTCGTCAAGAATCCTTACACTGGCCCAAACTGGAGCTAATTCGTCAAACAACAAATATATATATATATTTACCATGTACAGAGGAACACTTGCTTGCCTTTTTTTCTCAAGTGAAGGAATCTTTGACTGATTCCTGGTCAGCCTGAAATCAAGAGTCCTCTGCTTGAAGATTTCAAGAACCAACTCAACCAATCTTTTTAAATTTCATGAGGAGGTTTGCGAGACACCGAGAGACAGCAAACTAAGGTTAATCCACATGTCTCGTGGCCCTTGACTAACTCAGCGGATGATCTGACTTACGAATCTGGGGTCTTCGAGTAGCCACGTCCAAAGAGACTGCGCAGCGAGCGGGGAGGCGAAATCTTGGCGTCCCGGGAGTAGAAGATCATGCAGATGTCTTTGGTGATGACGGCCGGTTGGATGCAGTGATCCAGCTGGAAGGGAAGAAACAGCTGGATCACTCCCACGTTCCATTATGCAAACAGGTGGCATTGTCGCTCTCTTTGGCACAGGTGTGTGGCGCAGAGGTGAGCACACATACTTCTAACTCCAGATTTATTATCCTCTACATCAAGGGTGTCCAACCTTGGTAACTTGAAGACTTCAACTCCCAGGATTCCCCAGCATGGAGAGTTGAAATCCACAATTTTTTTAAAATTGCCAGTGTGTGGGACAACCCAGTTCTATTTACTCCTCTATTTAAAATCATATGAACTCACTTAACAGGAAGAGGAAAGACATCTGTCACTTAGGAAATAACACTCTAAAAGGTCAAATATGTACTTTGTAGAGGCCAGATATATACTTTATACTTGATTTGCAGAGCTCTAGAACTTCAGACTGTTAAGTAAATAGGCAAAAGTGTTAATCTTGGCTAGTTTTGAGCTTTCTGGTAGAAAACAAAAGTTAGAAGTGAGTCGCATTCTGAATAAGCATAAAAATATTGAAGTTTGATTTTCACTGGTCGTTTAAGGGTTCCTAAAGTCCTAACTCACAATGCAGGGAGGGATGTATCAATTGAACACCAAAAAATCCCTGCAGACAAAAAGCTAGCATGGAGGGAGTGGTCGCAGGCTCTTATTCCCGAGCGGCTTGCTTTCTACTTTCCCGCCGACAGAAGAGGTACCATCTGCAACAATCCAGACCAGTCCCAAGTGGTCATCTTGGTGAGAAATAACCTTCTATCTGTAGTCCACATTCTGGACTACAAGAGCCTAACTTTGGCCAGTGAGTTTATTTTGGGTCCTTTCAGAAGTTCTAGATTTAAAAACTGTAAAAAAATACATAAATGGAGCTTTCACATTCTGCTTCGCTTAAAGAGATCCCTCTCCGTAGTTCAGTCCAATTGCTGCTATTATGCTCCTCTGGATGGGTTAACTAAATTTTATAGTGTGGGTTTGTTTTTCGTCGCTGCCCGGTGGTCAGGATTAGGGCTGCGCAGATACAGCGTAAAAATTTAAAAATGGCCTATCAGCTTAAGAAAAGGGGGATTCCCTCCAGGGATCCCTGTTATTTTAGAGCAGCCCGACTTCTCCTTTCGCCCTTCCGTCAGGCTGAAGCATGGAGACCGGAAGAAGCCACCTCACCTCCAGGTAAGCCGAGAGGGTCATGTAGATCTTCTCAGCATAGGGGGTCACCCGGTTCAAAAGAAGAGAGTTGTGCAGGGAGCTGTCCCAGACAGCCTCAAAGCGGTAGAAAGTTCTGGAAAACAATAATAATAATAATAATTAGCGCAGAGGCGCTTCTCCCAGTTGTGGGCTGGGCAATAAGCTTAGAGCGAGTCTTGGCAGGTGGAACAAAAGCAGACCCCCTTTCTCGATTTCTACCGACACCCTCTGACTTCTACCTAACTGCAAACCTCACATTTGTCAGTGATGGGTGTCACAGTATCAAATTAACTCCTGATTCCTGGCTCGGGGGTCAGGGTGAGCGATCGGCATTCAGAGCTAAGAATGAGAAAGGGGAGGAATGGCGGCTATCTTTCCACGGACAGACAAGGAACAGGGCCTGGGTTTGGTTTTTGTTAAACTAGCAAATTTCTGAAGGTCTTCTTCCCCGTCACACCAGCTGAAGAAAACAGGATTGAGTGGCCCAGCCCTGCCCTACAGCTATTCTAAGCTTTTTTCAGCTCTTCTAAATCTGGACAGACCTGCTTTGCCCGGTGAAAAGAAACTAAATCTTGCACAGGAAAGCCAGAACGGCAAAAAAAAGGAGGGGAGGGCAGATTAGGACAGGGTCCCGGGAGAAGCTGAAGCAGCAGCAAATGAAATCCCCTTTTAACTAGTTTCAAGCAAGGCGCAGAAAGGGTGCAAGGTCTAATTCTAGGTCAGGGTGGGAAAGATGGAGAGGACAACATTAAAATGGCATTTCCACCGTGCAAGAACCGAAGACTCAGCACAAGAGAAGTCAGAGTGAGTAAAACAGGAAGAAGCAAACGTTACTGGATATAGATTGGGAAGTGTGGGTCAAGACACACGGGAAAGGAAACACCCGTTTCCGGATGTTTGAGGACGGGATTAAGGAAAAGAGCAACAAGTAAAAATTAAGGGGAGGGAAAAAGAAAGAAGCGAAGCACAAATGGGAGACTTGAACGCGCAGAAAAGCTTCTAGCTAGCAGACCCAAATGCTTCGCCAAACGTAGATGACCAAGTCTCTTTTTGCAAAACCCCTAAGATTCTCAAGGCATGCTGGGCAGGCCTGTGAGAACGGGGCGAAGGGGAGACTTTAAAGCCACCCCCAAAACAAGGAGAGGTGCCACGGCGCCAGGCAGCAAAGAGGGAGGGGCTGAAAACTCTGCTCGCCCGCCAAACTGGGACTAGGCAAAAGGGGAGGACAACAGGCTGTGCACTAGGCCGGGAGCGCTGGGGGGGGGGGCCCAAGGAAGCAAATGTGAAAATACCTAGGCATATCCTTATCAAGGAAGAGCCTGTGGAGATACAGAAAGCTTTCGTTAAGTCAGCCCAAACTTGGAAGGACGAGCGAGAAAGGAAAGCAGCGAAGAAAAAAGCAAAACTTCGAGCCAAAGGACAACGCAAAGACACAAATGCAGGGACATGAACACACACCCACACACCCACAGAGAGAGACATGCATCATACACGTGTACTCAGGGGGGCCCTTTATGTGACTTCCACCTTCTCCTGCCAAGGGCAAGAGCTAAGCAAACCACAAGCAGGATGAGTTTATTTCACGACCTAAGGGGGCATCATCACAGCCGTAAGACGGAAGCCTGGTGTGTGTGTGTGTGTGTGTGTGTGTGTGTGTGTGTGTGTTAAAAAACCTTTGTGGTGGGTTATAATATTACATCATTATTTGTCTATTACAAAAGGCTCATTTCAGAGGTCCAACAAGCCTGACTTTAGTGTATTAAAGCTGTTCCATTTCTCAGCTCTTGATGGAAGACAACCCAGTTCGCGCTATTTCGGCAGATAAAACAGGGTCAGCGATTCTTAAGTGCCACACAACCCTCAGGTCTAAACTCTGCTTCGAAGCTATCCTAGTCGGAGCACGGAGAAGCCGCTCCCAATCCAGGGCCCCAGTAAATGGGTCAGAATTCCCATCGGCCGGGCTGTCCGGGGAGCATGGGAACTGGAGTCCACCCTAAGCCGGGGCTCCCAGGCTGGGGAAGGCCTCTGACCTGTTGGAGCTGTGAGAAACCCTCAGGTATTTTGCGGAGATGATGTTGAGCGACAGGACGGCATCCACGGCCGTTTCGTCCACTTCGGCTTTGTTCCGGATGCGCCCTGTGGGAGGCAAAAAAAAAAAAAAAACACTGATTGATTCGGTGTCACTTCGCAGGGAATACTCGTTGTTAAGTGCCCGGAGAAATCAGGAGGTTCCGGGCAATTCAAATGGGTATAAAGATTTACTGCCAGCTTGAGCTCTCTACAAGAATCTGAGCTACTAACACCCAAGCAAATTAGCGGTAGATAAAGAGTCCGTGGAATTCAAGGCAGGCTGGGCTTAGATCTGTGGGTACGAAGGGACTCGTGACTGATGGCACGTTTGACGCCTCCCTCCCTCTCTCGTCTCCTACGTGTAATTGTAGAAGGATTTGGGAGGGGTGGGATGTCACCCGACCCGAAACCACTCATCACTTCAAACAGCCTGTCAAATCTTTCTGGAAGAATAACTTCCTGCGAAACCCAGTCTCGGGTACAGACCCTCCCAGCCTGTAGGGTCCCTGTTGGCCCCTGAGGTCTCATGAAGGATCATAATCACCCCCTCCTCACTGAAGACCCCCTGGGCCAGATAAAGTGGGCTGGGCACTCTGCAGTGAGTGGAACGGTGCTGAGAGAAGGGAGAAGGAACTATCCGGAAGCCGGGAAAAGGATACCTACCGACTACCAGTTCTCTCACATCTTTCCAGTGGAGCTCGTTGCCTTTCTCGTGGATGATGGTAATGGTGATCCTCCGCTGTATTCCCTGCAGTGATGGAAAGAGACCCGCTCTGTGGCTTCTTCCCCTTAGCATTCTGCCTCTTCAAACACAGCCAGCTCCAAACGTTAGGCTTAAAACCGCCCAGATCTCCTGACATCTGGACCAGCAGAGAACTGAACTGAACTGAGCCGAGGAAGCCTGCCAGATGCAGGCGCCAAAGGCACTGTCTCGCTTCAGTGCCGGCCATAAAAAAGGGGAGATCAAATTCACCAAGATGAGGTGTAAAGGCAGATCCCCAAGGAACACGGTTAATTTTTATTTCAAACAGTCCAGCTTTGGGGGGGGGGGAGCAGCATCTAATAGTCCCTGTCTGACCTCAGGCAGCAGAGTCTGGTCTGAGTTCAACTTGGATAGAAGACTGCTAGAAATAACAGGATGGTAGGCCGGAGCAAATTGGAAAGGAAAATCACAAAAAGGAAGAAAATGACCATCGGCTTCTCTGTGCACTATTGTCACTGCCAAGAAAACCGTCTTCCTGTAGTAACCAGAATCAAGCCAGTTTCAAAGGAGAGTTTGTGGGGATCCACCTACCTGGTGAAGCAAGAATGTGCCTTGGCAGGGGAGACCTCCAGTGTGATCAACAATGGCCGGGATGTACCTGCAAGTGAGAGAAAATCTAGATGAGGGAGAGATTTAATTTCCCCACGACTCACAGCTACTTCCATCCCAACCATTCCCCCCGCCCCCATTAAAAATACAACTAGACTAATTGCTGGGAAGGACCAAGATCTTATCTTATCGATAGATAATGACATTTATTAGAGAAGGCTTTGGGGAATGGAAAGGGGTTCTTAAAACCAGCTACGCGGGAGGTTCAGAGACAGCATCTGCCTGTTCCTTTCTTTCATTCTGGGAAGCAATTACAGAGCTGATTCTTCCAGCGTGGAAGGAAAGCAAAGCATCGCTTGAAAAATCTTTCTTTCAAGACCGAGCTCCCCATCCTAAACCCGTTCCGACACCCCCAGATACTCCACAGCGTCAATCTCTCTCGCAAGGCAATCTTCTGAATGGCCAAGTGAGTCTGAACGATGCTCCTCTGGGTCTGCAGCAAGGAAGGAGGTCTTCTCCTTATCGGCCCGCTTTGGCCACTGGTTCTCCGTGCTCCCGCTTAAATCCACCCAGCGCCTTCGGATGTTCCTCGGCGAAAGGATCTCGCTTTGCCCATTTTGATGTAAAGGACATTAACTGCTCCTGTCACCCAGTACTCCACCAGGGACCAACTTACTCTCCCGTCGGTTCCAGTTCGCTAATCTCAAACCAAACCAGGAGATCGTATTTGGTCATGCTCTGCCCCAAGTTGGCTTTGTTCATCGTGTTGAGTTTGGTGGCCGGGACTGAAAAGAGAGAAAAGGCCTGGCTTAAAAATTAAGAGGAAATGCAGTCTGGAGAGGACATAGGGACACTCCCAATGCTGCCTGGGGTTGAGGAAGGCAGTTTTTGTGATGCTTAAAGGAAGCTTTTTCCAGCCTGCTTTCCCTGATGGGTTAGGACTCATAAGCTGCAGCCTAAAATAATGACGTTACATTACAATATAATGGTAAAGGTTTCTTCTGCCCAGTCATGTCTGACTCTAGTTTCTTAGCCGAGGGAGCCAGCATAGTCCAAAGGACCTTTTCCGTGGTCATGTGGCCAGCCTGACTATATAGCGAGGCGCACTGAACGTTATTACCTTCCCATTTGCATGCTTTCAAACTGCTAGGTGGCAGGAACTGGGGCAAGTAACGGGAGCTCACCCCGTTGTGCGACGCTCGGGTCCCAAACCCAACTGTCCAACTGACAAGGACAATGAGGACAATCAATCAGTGGAACAGCTTGCCCCCAGAAATCGTGGGCGCTCCATCACTGGAGATTTTTAAGAAGAGACTGGACATTCACCTGTCTGAGATGGTGTAGGTTCTCCTGCTTGAGCAGGGGGCTGGACTAGAAGACCTCCAAGGTCCCTTCCAGCTCTATTCTAGTCTGACCCAGTTCAGCATCCTTAACCACTGAGCCCTCACACACACAACCCATTCATGATAATATGATATTATAATAAGAGGAGCCATTTTCCTCCTGTCACTTGTTAACAAGCCACAATTCATTAAGTCATATTATTATTACTGATCATCGAACAGTCAGCCAGATGTTCAGACTGGATTTGGCATTTTTGTCTACCTATTGAGTCCTTCCCTGGGATAGGCAGATGTGAATGTTTGATGGTATTACAGATCTTGTCGCAGGATGGAAGCAGTTCCTAGTAAGGCCACCTTTTGCAACTGACTAATGGCAAATTTGTCAATGCCGATGATGGTGTTCAAGTGGTGCTCCAGTTGTTTTGGGATTGCACCCAAGGCGCCTATTACTATTGATATTATGATATTACTATTATTATTATTATTATATTATTCACAGAAAAGGATCCCAGGAACAAAAGAAGACAGAATATAGATACACAAAACAAGGTTTTCATATAGCAAATCAGGAACATGGACACAGAAGGACCGTTCTGAACAAAAGTATCCAGTAGGTTTTTTTTCTTCTCGTCTTAAAAGAGAATCTGGATTGTCCTTAAAGCCCAGATTCAACTCCTGGACTTGAATGTGGGGTCACATTTTTGATTCAAGTCAGGCCCCAGCCCACAACGGGGTGAAAGTGGTAACAGAGGGCTCAGGAGAATGCCCAGGTGCCTGAAGAAAGAATCCCGAGGGCTGTTCCTACACGGATCCCCAACTGGTTGTTCTACTGACCATCTTGCTTGGGGAAGCGTTGGGCCTGACAGCTGGGGACAGGCAGAGAGAGAAAAGGCGGAGGCGACTGGTCAGCGTCGTCTCGGAAAGTTGCCACGGCCGAGGTCGCAAGCACGTTGGCATGCTGGGACATGGCGTCGAGCACGGGCACGCTTACATAGCCAGACATGAGATACTTGACCAGTTCAATTTTTCTCTCATGGTCTGGAGAAAGCAACGGGGAGGGCATGTGGGGAGGAAAGACGTGGGGCAAAGAGGCGACCGGTGAGAAAAGAAAGGCATGAGAAAGGGGGAGGCAAGGAGGTCAGAAGGGAGAGAAGGTGGGGGAAAAAATGGAATAAATGAAAAGAATTCAACATGCACAGCCGAAAGCTAAACCAACAAAACCATGGGTGGGTGGGTGTGTATGTGGCGATGAGCGAGGGGGATGATTACTGCGAAGAGAGCAATGGGTGAATAGAAAAAGGCTGATCAACAGGAGTCCAACACAATCTCCAGGCATGAAAAGAACATCAATTTGTCTTCATCTAGTCCTCCAATCTATTTTATTTTTATTTGGGGGGGGAAGTGGTCCCAATAAGACCTCTCCATTTGCAAACAACCGGTAGCCCTTTGGCAGATAAAGGCTGGCCCACAATTTGATCCATTTGAGGCGGGTGGCCCCGTCAGCCAGATGGTTGGGAGGTGGCCTACTGGTCCAGCTGTGGAGTCCAGCTGTTGAATGTTGCGATTTAATAACATTAACGGTATCGCCACAAGATGTGACCAGTTATTGTTACTACTACTAGTGCGGAGAAACTAGTAAAGTTTGTGTCTGTTCCTTTTCATTTCCAACGATGAATGTATTTGTGGGGTCCCTGGCGCTCTCTGAGCTTGGGGGTTTTCTTGCAGATGTTTCATGACCAAACTAGGTAGCATCCCATGCTGATGACGGTACCCAGTTTGGTCATGAAACGTCTGCCAGAAAAGCTACCAAGCTCAGGGCGCACCCAGGACACCACAGCTCCATCCTGAGCTACCAATATTCCCATCTGCCGGTGCTAATGCATTTTTAATCTTATTTTCCATTTGATGCCATCTAACTCCAAATGATTCTGAGTCCCATTGATCAATGGATTGTTCTTGTTATACTGGATTCGACGCCACCCAATTTCACCCGACCCCCTACGGTCTTCTAAACATCTCCGTGTGCTAGGAACTTTGTTACTGAGAGGGGGGAGAACGGTGTCTATTTCTTGTCCCAAGGAAAAACAACCCTTACCTGGTTTGGAGAGTGGCATGGGAGGAGGGAAATATCGCCGGGATGGTTGGGCAGGGCTGTGGAGAGAAGAGGCAGTTAGCGCAACTGGTGTGTACCTGAAGGAAAAGGGGGTGACAAGGACACCTTTGAATTCAGCACCACAGGGAGGATAGACCAGGGGTAGGCAACCTCGGCTCTTTTATGACTTGTGGACTTCAACTCCCAGAATTCCTGAGCCAGCCACGCTGAGGGGAAAGGGACAGGTTTCTAAGCTGAGCCAGGCTGGCTCAGGAATTCTGGGAGTTGAAGTCCACGAGTCATGAAGGGGCCATAGTTCCTCCATGCTGGCTCAGGAATTCTGGGAGTTGAAGTCCACGAGTCATGAAGGGGCCAAAGTTCCCTCACGCTGGCTCAGGAATTCTGGGAGTTGAAGTCCACGAGTCATGAGGGGGCCATAGTTCCCTCACGCTGGCTCAGGAATTCTGGGAGTTGAAGTCCACGAGTCATGAGGGGGCCATAGTTCCCTCACGCTGGCTCAGGAATTCTGGGAGTTGAAGTCCACGAGTCATGCATAGTTCCCTCACGCTGGCTGAGGAATTCTGGGAGTTGAAGTCCACCAGTTGTGAAGGGGCCAAAGTTTCCCTCATGCTGGCCCAGGAATTCTGGGAGTTGAAGTCCACAAGTCATGCATAGTTCCCTCACGCTGGCTCAGGAATTCTGGGAGTTGAAGTCCACGAGTCATGAAGGGGCCAAAGTTCCCTCACACTGACTCAGGAATTCTGGGAGTTGAAGTCCACGAGTCATGAAGGGGCCATAGTTCCCTCACGCTGGCTCAGGAATTCTGGGAGTTGAAGTCCACGAGTCATAAAAGAGCCCAGGTTGCCTACCTCTGGGATAGACAGATCCCTTTGTACGGGTAATCCAGCCCCACAATTTCTGCTCTTAAGTGGCTCTTGCCCCCATTTTACGACCCTTTTCGCCACCGTTGTTAAATGAGCGCTGCAGCCGATAAGTTAGTAACCTGCTTGTTAACTGAATCTGACTTCTCCATTGACTTTGCTCGCCTGAAGGTCGCCAAAGGGGATCACGTGACCCCGGGACACGGCGACCGTCATAAATGTGAACCGGTTGCCAAGCATCTGAATCTTGATCACGTGACTGTGGGGATGCTGGAAAGGTCGCAAGGGTGAAAAATGGTCCTAAGTCACATTTTTTTCAGTGCCGTTGTAACCTGGAACGGTCACTAAATGAAGGAAGCCGCGGACTAGCTGCGGTCTTTCTGTAACCTGCAAAGATGGCAGCAATCTGGACCTCTGTCTAGGGAGGAAAAGAGGGCAGTGCCGTATTCAAGATAAAAGAGATTCTGAATTATTTGGATTTGGTTTTCCTCCACTCTACAGAGATTCTGAATTATTTGGTTTTCCTCCACCCAAAAGAGATTCTGAATTATTTGGATTTGGTTTTCCTCCACCCTACAAAAGGGGAGAAAAGAAACCCCTTTGGCTGTGGTTTGTTCTCCAAGCCGGTTTCGATATAATTTCTGGACGTTTCATCACCAAACTAAGTAACATCATCAGCAGGATTTTCTTGTCCTATTCTCCTTATAAATAAAATGTAAAATCCTGCTGATGATGTTACCTAGTTTGGTAACAAAACGCTCAGAAATTATATGGAAACAAACTCAGAGAACAAACCACAGCCAAAGTCTAAAACCCGAGCTACGAGTATTTCCTAGTATTTCAAAAGTAACCCTTAATTCACCTAGTAGTGGACAACCAGTAGGAGAAGTAAAGGAAAGAGGGCGGTGGGGGTGAGCGCTGTTTTGCTTCTGTAACACGCCAGACATTCTTCCTCTCCTAAACAGAGATACAGGTGGTCCTCGCTTTATGACCACAATCCACTGCTAAGCCAGGCAGCCCCGTTTTACCACCTTCTCTGCCAGTTGTTAAGCGGATCACCGCACTTTTTACGTGAATCTGGCTTTTGCCCGCTGACTTTGCCAATTGGGAAGGTGATAAATGGTAAACTACGTGAGGCCGGGGATAGGGCAACCGTCATAAATAGGAGTCAGTTGCCCAGCCTCTGAATTTTGATCAAGTGACCCTGAGGATGCTGCAACGATCTTGGACGTGAAAAACCAGTCATATGTCGCTTTGTTCAGTGCCGCTGTAATTTCGAACGGTCCCGAAATGAACGGTTGTTCAGGGCCACCTGTGTTGTTATCCAAGTACCTGTTGAGTTCCTGTCCCTGCAGATGTGGTGGATGGAGCTGATAGTGTCCAAAGACTTCAAAGACAATGGGCTTGGTCTTGATGTATTCGACAAAGGATTCGGTCACTTCCACGGAGATCTGTCAGAGGAGACACGGAACAGCCCTCGGAGTGAGCGAGAAAAGACTTAAAAAGTAAAAAACAAAAATCCAGCCAACCAGCAAGAGGAAGAGAAGGTGGGCTTGCCTATCTGGAAACAAGGATGAAACTTGTTTCCTTGTTTCTTCTGCCTTTCAAATTGTCTTTAGAATAAGGGGAGAGAAGGGTTACTTTCGGGTGGGTTAGATGGAAAAACAAAACTTCTGCGATTAAGCTGAAGACCACGAGAGCCTGAAACCTTTTCAAGGACACCGAAACGGGTGTGGATTTCAAGCGGATGGTTCCCATAACAAAGTGAACTTGTTTACATGGACTAGGTAAGACGCTGGGGGTTTGGCTGGGAAAATCATTGTTTAATTATTATTGCTTAATGAACTGGTGTTAGTTTTGCTTCGACATTACCATGCAGTGTATTCAATAAACAGTAAAGAGTTTGGAGGCGGAATGAACCCAGAGTTTTATTTGGATTTTCGAACTGGATGTTGACCGCCACTTCGTTGCTTTCACTTACGTTTTGGACATGATAAAATCCAAGTGGGGCCCCTCGGCCATTATTTTTCAGAGGCTCAGTGGAGAAAGCCTCATCGTGCCGGTGGAGAAAGCTAGGAAAAGAAGAATAAACCAGGTGAAGGTAAGTAACTACATCATTGCCTTGCTTAGCAATGTTCGTTCCGGTCTCAATGATGGCCGTGAGTCAAGGACTGCCTGTATCCCTGACATTTCCCACATCATTATCAATCAGAGGTTCTCACGGCAGACATAATACATTCCTCAAAGAACATCCAGCGTGGACAATGATAATCAGAGGTTTCCTGCTAGACCAGGGGTAGGCAACCTTGGCTCTTTTATGACTCGTGGACTTCAACTCCCAGAATTCCTGGGAGCATAGCTGGCCAAGAGAGCCAAGGTTGCCTACCCCTGTGCTAGACCTATGTATTCCATTTGTCAGCATCCTACATCCCAACCTGCGTGTCTATGCAGATTCTCCATCATCCAGGTCACGGTTGCCCCAAAGGAGCTTTTTCAAGAGGCCACTGGATTTTCTCTGCTTTTCCTTGTAGACATATCACTTCTCCTCCAAGAAGCTTCTCCAGCTCGGACTGAAGTTCTGACCGACTGATCCGTTCCCATCCTTCAGTCTGAACTGAAGAAGCATCTTGGATGAGAAGCGAAACGTCTTCAAGGAAAAACAAAGGCAGTCCAGTGGCCTCTTTAAAAAAAAAAAAATTATCCTACTCATTTGCTCACACACTTTTCTTTCTTCGGCTCATCATTTTCTACAATTCATCCCCCCCCCCAAAAAAAAACAATTTCTCTTCACTGCTTGCAGAAAGCAAGTCTCCTGACCCTGTGCTGAGAAAGCCACCCCATCCCCCCCCCAGCAGAGATTCACTGGCCATGAACCAACCACTGCCTTTCCAGAATTATGCAGATTAGGCCGGGCTTATCTCTGACTTTCTGCCATCACGAGGACTAGGAGCTTCCTTCGACTTACTTGAATTGGCAGAAGATGTCTGCGTATTCTGGGAGGATCCCGCTGGCCTGGAGCACCGTCACCCGGAACGTAAAGACACTGCCCAGTTTCAGGTGGTCCCCCATCTCCTCAGTAAACCCTTCCATGGCCATCTTGCCATCCAACAGGGGGGTGGATTTCAGGTCTGCCGAAAGAAAGAAAGAGGAATTTTTTTTTAAAAAAGGAGCGGCTGTCTCCGGAAGGATTGCAACCCTCCTGAAAGCATTTTCACTCGGAGTTCAGTCACATCCCAAGTTGCCTGTTCTTTGCCCAGCCTGGCTGTGGTCTTCGTTCTGCCCTCACTGCTTTTAGAGAGGCCTCAAATCCAGAGGTGGTATCCAAAAAGCCATCTCTAAGTTTCAAAAAAAAACAAACCAAAAAACCCAACAACAACCAGGAAACCCTGAAAAAGCAATGTTGGGAACTACTCCATTGCAGACATTGCAAGTTACAAAGCTTCTCTCCCGCTCAAGATATTTTAGGATCTGGATCTAGCGGAGCACGCTACAGCAGCAGTGACATGGTTCCGAAAGAAAGCAGATTTTCAAAGAATTTTGAGGCTTTTTCCTCTAAAAGAATCTTTTATTATTCTGCATAGCTTCCGCACTAACAAAGTTAAGCCAGAAACTGAATCCTCCCTCCCCCAAGCATCTGTAACAAAGCATAACTCACTCCTTCATTTTACAGTCATCAATCACATTCTCCAATTAATGTGAAGCGGAGGGTGAGGTGCCCCTCCTGTTGCAGCTGAGCTGACCTTGGCCACACTGTGCCCAGACATTGTTATGGTTAACTTGCATACTTTCCCACCCCTTAAACTACTACTATCTGCCTTAACTCTAGAAATGCTATACAGGCTAAATAAAACAGGTTTGCTTCTTCATATATGGCAAGCAAGAACATCCGATGTTAGCAGTCTTGACACGCAGCTTCATTTGACCCGTCTCCAATTTCTCCCGGACCTCAAAGAATCGGAAGAGGCCTCCTGCATACAAAATCTCTCAGGGAGGCCTGCTCGACTTACCCAACTCATTGATCCTGTTGATTTCTTCGGGGGGCGTGCTAACGTCCGTGCTCTGCCCTTCTCCCTCGACGATCCTCAATTCTTCCAAGGACAATCCGGAACGAGTCAGGGACACGGATGAAAAGTTGCTCTGGGGAACCACAAGGAAACGGGAGACGCCCAGTGAAAATGGCTCCCGCTTTCTTCCTACAGATTCCTCGTTGCCATTTGGATGCCAAGGCTTACAGTAAGACGTTACCTTGTCAAAATACTCGTTATGAAATGAGATCTTGGCGGTGCCAGACTGCCGAACGCCAGAGCCGTAATCGGGGGCTTCCTCGTCGGCTGTCGAAAAAAAAGAGAAAAAGGATATTTGCAGCGCCGGGTTGAACTCTGGGGTCCTTGGTGCTCTTGTGAGTTTGATGGTTTTCCTGCAGACGTTTCGTTGCCAAACTAGGGAACACTATCCGTGCAGAGCACAACATGATCATGTTACATAGTTTGGTAATGAAACATCCGCAAGAAAACCACCAAGTTCAGAGAGCACCAAAGACTCCTTTTAAAGGGAAAGAAAGACGCAAAATACAGCAGTTAGAGAAATGAGCTTTCAAACATCCTGATTCCCATCTTTAAGAGGTGACAATTCTGCTACTGGCCCAAACTGTGAACAAACCAACAAGGTCAGGAACAAACCAACAGCTACACTCAGCTCCTCGGCAAGGCCTAGCTGCAACTTACCAGCTATAGCTTGGACTGCCACACGCAGGAATCCGCGTACTTCTCCCTTCTCACTGACAATAGCCACTCTGTGGATGAGGGGGACTGGATAGAGAAGATTGCTCAAGTAGACAAATGCCCTGAAGGAAAAGAAGGATGTAAACCAAATGTTAGGCCATCGTTCATACAACAAGAGAGTTACTTTTGACTAATTGGAATAGAGATGGCATTTGATTGAGGACAAACACGGTAAGAACTCATCTATTATCCTGAAATGAAACGCAGCTAGACTTGTTTTGATCCTTTAACAAATCACCGACGATTTCATTCGTCTCACGGTGGTTACATATGAACACTTACAAGAAAAACTTGTGAAGACAATTACAGAACACAATTACAGAACACGTCAAATTTTAGCCCTTCTTCGTTTTAAATTTTGAACAGACCGGGATATTTTTAATGCTTTCGAATTTTAACCAGTTACTATCTCTTTTGTGGCAATTTCAAGGTTGCTGTTTACATTTAGAAGTCATAGTCAGCGATGTTTAAAGGCCATATATTTTGCATCCAGAGGCAGAAACAGCCTACTACTGTACAGTTTATATGAAAACTTACACATATAAGTCGCAATTTAAATATTGCGTTTTTGTGCAAGTTAGCTTTGCCAAAAGAAAAAAAAAACAACAACCTGGTCTTTGCAGCAGAATAAAATAACATTTTCAAATTACATTTTCCACCTTCCAGCCCCTCCCAATAGGCTGTCCCTACAGCCTATTGGGAGGGGCTGGAAGGGACTCTCTGTCACAAATGGCCAAACAAAAGGCACGTATGAATAATTCAACTAGGAAAAACAAACACTGTGGACTAGAAAGATGAGAAACTTTTATATCAGTGGTTCTCCACCTGTGGGTCGGGACCCCATTTGGGGTCGAACGACCATTTCACAGGGGTCGCCAAACAACGCAGTCCGCCATTGTTCCCCCCTTTTCCTTAGCTGTGCTACTCCCTTTTATTGGCTTTTGAAAGCCAATAGAATAGAACCACTGTTTTATATGGTCATGTTCATCTATTCTGCCATGCCCATGTGCTTTCCCCCACAAGCGATGAGGATTTCCTGAAATGAAGAAAAGGTAAGCAACGCAAAACACAAGCACAAACGGTCTGTATATTTTACAACCCAAAAAATGTCAGTGGGAGGCAACATAAAAGGGAGGAAACACTAGCAATATCAACACAAGGGATACACAAACAGAAATGGCTTGCAACTCAAGACTAAGACAAATCGACATCCTTTTTTCCAGCCTGCTTTGCAAGTTTATTTCGGAGGGAAGCGAATTCTTTGAAGGCAGCAGCAACAGGAGAGTGAAAGGAAAGGGGAGTTACAATAAGCCCAAAGACTGGTGAGACAAAGCAGCATCTTCACGTAAAAAAAAAACAAAAAACAAGTCAGATGAGAAAATAAAAGTTTAACGTGAGGGAAAAAAAAAACCAGGAGGGGATTGAAAGATGACAAACGGGACGCAAAGAATGTCTGGGATGGGTTGGAAAACATAATCCATGCGGAGGGGGAGACCATTTCCGGTGCCTTTCCCCGGAGCAAATAAATATCCATTTCACACGGTGTGCCAAAAGAATTGACTGCAAGGACTGGCGTTTTTCCTCTGAGCCACAAAGTGGAAGCCAAACCAGCATCCAGATGTGGGCCACTGCACGGCCTACAAGCTCTCCAGCTTAACCAATGGGGCCAGGAAGAAGAAGATAAGATGGGAACTCCCTGTATTGCCTAGAGTGGCAAGTTGTCATAGCCAAATGCCGGGCACTCTGGCCACAATCGTCAAAACACGCTGGTGCGAACCGAGTGCCATTTCTATCTCTGGTTTTTAAGAGGCCTGCAATGCCACAAGCCTGGCTGGTTAATTTCTAAACGGTGGTAAAAGAGTAAAAAAAAAGACAGAATGGCTGAGTTCTCCCATTGTGGGAGCTTTGTACTGATAATGCAAAGCCATAATGGTGTCCTATTACCAGAAAATCAAATCACCTTAGGGCTTAATATGAGCCCTGCCTTCAGAGGGACTGGGAAGTAAAAATTAAGAAATCTTAACTGTGATTTTAGTGTGATGTTAATGTTGCCAGTCAAGAAATCTTTAAAGTTTTTGGAGAGCGTCAGCTGCTACTCTGTATATCAGTGGTTCTCCACCTGTGGGTCGGGACCCCATTTGGGGTCGAACGACCATTTCACGGGGGTCGCCAAACAACGCAGTCCGCCATTTTTTCCCCTCTTTTCCTTAGCTGTGCTACTCCCTTTTATTCTATTAGCTGTGCTACTCCCTTTTATTCTATTTGAAAGCCAATAGAATAGACTCTCTTGAATAGAGTCTAATTCCATTGGCTTTCCAAAGCCAATAGGAATTGTCCAGGCTGTCTCTGCCCTGCTGAGCCCGCCAAAAGTCCCCTTCTGCAAACGGTGCTGCACCAGTTGAGTAGTCCTCGACTTACGACCGGTTGAGTAGCCCTCGACTTACGACCGGTTGGGGGGGGGGTCGCGGCATTAAAAAGGTTGAGAACCACTGCTGTATATATATCTTGACAAAATGGAACCCTACAGAGAAATGAAAGCTCTGGCTTGAAGGTCAAACGAGTATTTAGATTTTGATTCATGGTTACAAAGGAAAATTTTTTGACACTGCCGTTTTTAGTCTTATGTGCAACCTTCACATCTGTTTATCCACTGGGGACATTTCAACAGGCTGGATTTTTGCTTTCTGACTGATGATTTGAGAGTTACTGGGTTTTATTGCTGTGGGTCACCCAGAGTTGTATTTTTTGATGGGTACCCATGCAAATATGGAAAAACGACCCACAATTAATTCTCTTTTAAAACCCACAACACACAAACTAATTTCCACCTGAAGCTAAAGCAAGCTCCGTTCTATGATGCAATTTAGAAGAGGGCTGAAAACTACACTTATCCAAGACTCCTGAATCTTGGGTCATAAGCTACTGTTTTAATTTAGAGTGCTTGGAATTTTTTTTTATCAATGGATGCTTTCAGAATTCTTCTTTCTTTTTTTTTCCCCATTGTGTTTTTGCAAGCCTGCCACAGAGGCCAAGATGGCTGGAGATATACGGATTTTTTAAATCAGCAAAATGGAAGAACTGAAGGTTCTTCGTGTAACACTCACAGTGGTCTTTGCCCAGAGATGAGATAAGGCCACAGACTTTAGGGTCACTCTAGAATATTACGCAGGCTAAGAGCGAAAAGAGATGAAATTAAAATTATCCCGAAACAAGAGGCTGGGGAAAATCAGCCTGGGATTTGCCTGGACTGGTTTCTCCTTGATGGGAATGACAGGCAGCTCATGGGAAAAGCCAGTCCCTGCTGGTCATTCATACAGTCGACCTCACCAACCTTCCCACCAAAATGAACCAAGGGGACCGGTCGTAAAACGGGTCCTGCCCATCACTGAAGCAGTCCAATCCCTCCTCGGTCCCGACGTCGGAGCCCGTGTCGTCCACAAAGGCCTCGTCGTCAAAATCCGTCATCTCGTCCTGCTGCTCGTCGGCCAGCTCCGTGATATCGGAATCGGCGGTGGAGAAAGTGGGGGAGGGCGTGCGGTCAGCCAGGCGCTCATTCACACAGCCGTGGAAAATGGGGGAGCTAGATATATCGGTTAACGGAACACTTTGATTAACGTGGCAAGGGAGGAGGAGGAGGAAGGGGAGGGGGGGGAAGAGAGAGAAAGGAATAGCTTCATTGGAGAAAAAAAAAGGGGGGGGTCTGTGGCTGAGCCCAGCGCACAGCCCACCAGAACAACATCAGAAGGCCAAGCTTTGGGGGGGGGGCAGGCAAAGAGGGTGCGAGACAAAGCACAGGGCAGAAAAGGTTTCCGGCGAGAGAAACACGCATTTCCTAAGCTGTCAAAGCAAAATATTCAACCCACTCTGCAAAACGAGCATCTCGAATCCAAATGCAAAAACTCCCTAAAGTGTCAGGGAGAAGACAGTTCTTTCTTAGCTCACTACAGGCAAGGGGATAATTCAGTGGGGTAGGAGCGGATTGGCATCCCACGGAATCCCCCCCCCCCCGGGAACGGGACAATCTGAATTTCCACCAAACTAGGAAATACATTGGGTGGATTTCAGGAAAACCAGGGCAGTGGTGCGATTTCTCACGCACCGAATCCGTTTTTCCCCTCCCAGTGGAAAAAGTTGTGTGGGGCTGCAATTATACGCAAGCTGCTACCCAGCCAAGGAAATGCACATGCGCACCAAAGCAAAGTTTGTTTTTTGTTTTGTTTTAAATAAGCAAACTAACAACAGTCCTGCTACTGAGATGCTTTTAAATGGAACAAAACTTCTCATTGTGGCTTTTTTACCCTCTCTTCTTCTAGAGCAGTGGTTCTCAACCTGTGGGTCGGGACCCCATTTGGGGTCGAACGACCATTTCACGGGGGTCGCCAAACAACGCAGTCCGCCATTTTTTCCCCCTTTTCCTTAGCTGTGCTACTCCCTTTTATTCTATTGGCTTTTGAAAGCCAATAGAATAGACTCTCTTGAATAGAGTCTAATTCTATTGGCTTTCCAAAGCCAATAGGAATTGTCCAGGCTGTCTCTGCCCTGCTGAGCCCGCCAAAAGTCCCATTCTGCAAACGGTGCTGCACCAATTGCGTAGTCCTTGACTTATGACCGGTTGAGTAGTCCTCGACTTACGACCGGTTGGGGGTATTAAAAAGGCTGAGAACCACTGTTCTAGAAAGAGATCTCAGAAGCAAGAGCGACCTCATTTAAACTTCTGGCTCTTTTCTGAAGTTAAATTTCCCATGGAATGTCACAAGGAAATGTAATCAATAAACTGAATTACTATTCAAGGCACGGGAGGTCAATTTTCAAGGAGAAACGGACCAACTCAGCTCATTCTCAAATTCTAAAAAGAAGACCAACTGGATGGCCGGCCCTTCACACAATGTCCTGTCCCAACCGTGCATCTATCCAGGAGGGGATAGGACAAAACGATGCCGCCACTTCAGACCCGCCGTGCCAGAGATATTCCCGCAAGGCCAATGGGGAGTCGTCTCTCTCCCGCGTGGGCGCCACTCGGAATTGGCCGCCGCCTACCTCCCAACCAGCTTGAACCAATGGAATCGGTCGTAGAAAGGGTCGCTGCCCGTCATGGTGCCCTCGTTGTCTTCCTGGGCGTCGGAGGCCATCTCTCCGGCTCGGTCGTACATTTCTCTCATCTGCTCCAGCCTCTGCCTGCAACGAGAGAGACGGCCAAGGGGTCAAGCGATCACACAATCCTGGGTCAGTGCAACCATCATAAATACACACGCTGCTTGCCAAGCGCCCAGATTTTGATGGCACGTTCGTGGGGACGCGGTGGTGGGTTGCGAGGGCAAGGAAGTCACCTTTTCCAGAGTCGCCCTTTTAACTTCAAACACTCACCAAACAAAGTCCAGGGCTACTTGACAGCCCTTTTCAGTTCAGGAAGGGGTGTGATGCTGAGCAGACTTTTAAGGATCAGAAGTACTAAACCAGTTGTTCTCCACCTGTGGGTCGGGACCCCATTTGGGGTCGAACGAGCATTTCACGGGGGTCGCCAAACAACGCAGCCCGCCATTTTTTCCCCCCTTTTCCTTAGCTATGCTACTCCCTTTTATTCTATTCGCTTCTGAAAGCCAATAGAATAGACTCTCTTGAATAGAGTCTAAGTCTATTGGCTTTCAAAAGCCAATAGGAATTGTCCAGGCTGTCTCTGCCCTGCTGAGCCTGCCAAAAGTCCCAATCTACAACACGGTGCTGCACCAGTGGAGTAGTCCTCGACTTATGACCGGTTGGGGGGTCGTGGCATTAAAAAGGTTGAGAACCACTGTGTTAAATGGAAAAGGCGAGGATTGCCTGGTCCGAGGGGCTGGGGAAAAGAATCAAACCCCAGGAAGGCTACAGGCTGCACCTGCTTGTTCAAAGCCCTTCCTTGCACACCTGAGTTTTTCCAGAGACCAGTAATGAGTAGCGCCGTTCTTTAGATCCTGGACCTCTACTGCCACCACCGTGCGAGGGAAGGGGCACTGGCTGCGGGGCTTGTCTGAGTCAGCGGGTAGCAGCTCCGGCGGTAACGGGGAGTAGAGCGTGTCGGTCAGCAGAACAAACTGGAACTGTACCTGGGAGGGCAAAAATAAGAGGTGGATGTAGAATAGAGGCTGAGCTAAACAACAAAGGCGTTTTGTCCCCTGCTGCGAAAGGTATACTGCTCTTGCTTATGGAGGTTCTTGGAAGCCCTCGAGGCTGATGGCCGCTGAGAGGCTTTGCCAATTAGCCAATCAGCCTAAACCCAGCGGCTCCTTTTTTCAAACGGCTTGATCGAAAGCTGTCTTTCTCCAGCTACGATGCACGGACTTCAGCTCCCAGAATGCAAGCTGGCTGGGGGATTCTGGGAGTTGAAGTCCACCCCCATCTCCAAGTGGCCAAGATGGAGAAACGCTGGTCCAGCTGGACCTTGTGATTGGGTTGGACAGCCTTCCTCCAAGATTCCCTTACCTTCTTTTTCAGCTCCACACTAATGGCGTTGCCTTCCTTCAGATAGACTGCGTTGCCCCACAGCTGATCTCGTAAAGAGGTGAATTGGTGGAACTTCCATTTGCGGAAAGCCCACTGGGCAAGGTCGTACTCGTGCTGAGTCCAAGGCACTGCAACAACAACAACCAAAAAAAAAATAATAATAATAATAATAAGAGGCAAGATGCAATGGTTAGCCCCTAAGGTTTACACCAGGGGTTTTCCAACTTGGCCCTTCGATGATTTGTGGATTTCAACTCCCAGAATTCCTCAGCCATCGTGCCTGGCTGAGGAATTCTGGGAGTTGAAGTCCACAAGTCATCAAAGGGCCAAGTTGGAAGACCCCCCTGGTTTAGAATAAAGAAAGGGTCTTCTCTAGGGTGGCCTCTTAGGGCAGCTTCTCAATCTTAGCAACTTTAAGATACGTGGACTTCAAATCCCAGAATTCCTCAGCCAGCAGGGGAGTAAAGTTGCCCTTACAGTTGCAGGTTGACAAACGCTGCCCAGGGACCAACTACTAAGGAGCGTAGCTTGTGGGACATCGCAACACTACAGTGCCTAAATCTCCAGATACAGGCAGCCCTCCTCTTACGATTGCAATTGAGCTCCAATTTTCTGCTGTTAAGTGAGACCTTTGTTAAGTGAGACTCGACCCGCTGTACGACTTTTCTTGCTACGCTTCCCAAGCAAATCCCTGCAGTTGTGAAGTGAAACTGGCGTCCCTGTCGACTTGGCTTATGAGGAGGGGATCACCAAAAGGGGATCACGTGATCCCGGGATACCTCCACCGTCATAAATACAAAATTCAAGCGTCTGAATTTTGATTCCCGTGATCCCAGGGACGCTGCCACAGTCGGAAGTGTGAAAAACGGTCACACCACTGTTTTCAGTGCTCTTGTAACTTGAATCACTAAATTAAGTGTTGTAAGTCGAGGACTCCCCGTGTTTTGAAGGGTCGCATGGCTTAGAACAGTGGTGCTCAACCTGTGGGTCGGGACCCCATTTGGGGTCGAACGACCATTTCATGGGGGTCGCCAAACAACACAGTCTGCCATTTTTTCCCCCCTTTTCCTTAGCTGTGCTACTCCCTTTTATTCTATTGGGTTTTGAAAGCCAATAGAATAGACTCTCTTGAATAGAGTCTAATTCCATTGGCTTTCCAAAGCCAATAGGAATTGTCCAGGCTGTCTCTGCCCTGCTGAGCCCGCCAAAAGTCCCCTTCTGCAAACGGTGCTGCACCAGTTGAGTAGTCCTCGACTTACGACCGGTTGCGTAGTCCTCAACTTACGACCGGTTGGGGGGTCGCGGCATTAAAAAGGTTGAGAACCCCTGGCTTAGAACTTGTGGCTGTTCAAGCTTCGGGTGGCCTTTTTTTTTCTTGAAACTCTTGGAAAGGAACATTGTTCTCTCAGCTTTTCCAAAAAAATACTAGTCGTGGCCTTTTTTTTCCCACCTCCCTTCAACTGCCCAAACTGCCAAATGAGGGCTAAGATAAAAGATGGAGATGCTTCCACTTTACAAATTCAGGATAATCATAATTATAATTTCCAAGTCTAATTGGACAAATCAGCCCCCTGTGTCCTACAGGAAAATAAATCGGTGGCGTATACTGGGGGGAGGGGGGGAAAGAGGGTGTAAAATTCAAAGAAGAGCCGCAAAAGTCTCCAGCTGCAAAAATCCCCTGCGGGAGTTGGTTCCCGGCCCGGCCCGTTTTCGACTCACCCTCCTCTTCCTCTTCTTCTTCCTCTTCCTCCATCGTCTCGGCAGCCAAGGAGCGGGTCTCCACCTGCTTCTGCAAGGCCTGGAGCTTGCTTTCGTAGTCCTGGAGGGGAACAAGAAGACACCGTGTAGGAGAAGACAAGAGAAAAGCGGGGATGGGAGGGAGAGGAGAGGAGAGAAAAAGGGAGAGGAGGAACACAGAGGAAGACTACTCCAGGGAGGAGAATCTGAGAAACAGACCGGGACAGAGAAACAGGCAGCAAAGACGCTGCTGCGTCCATAAGAGATTAGCTGCCTTTTACAACAACAGGCTTTGAATGTAGGGGATGAATCCGGCCCGTGGGCATTTTTCCTCCAGTTCAGCAAGGTAGAAAATAGGGCAAATAGATTTGGGCTTAGCAATAGCCAAAGGCCGTTGAGGAACATAACTACTCTCCTTTTCAGCTGCATGCTGGAAGAAGCAAATCCTTTTTACGGCGTTCGGGACTGATGGGCGCCGTTATCCAGGGCAGGTGGTGACCTGGATGCCAAGACTTTCTCCAGTATTTTGGTTGGAAGAGAACAGAGAAGACCAACCCAGAAGCTTCCAAAGGGTTCTCGATCTCAGAACCCAGCAACCGCTACGTCAATGGCTAAGAAGTCTTCGCAGGCTTATTGGGCTAGTCTTTTCTCCGAAGATGGCCCAGTTGAGGTGAGGTTCTTGCACACCCAGCATTGGCTACGTGTTCACTGGCTACGTGTTCACCGTGTGCTAAAAAAGCCACGACGGGGTTGGGGTGAAACCCAACGCAAAAATGGCGTTCCAAACTGGACCACGGGAGACTGTGTCGTATCTTGAGCGATGCAGTAATGCAGGGAGTCCTCAAACGTGGCCACTTTAAGACTTGTGGACTTCAACTCCCAGAATTCCCCAGCCAGCATGGGGCACACAAGTCATCAAAGGGCCAGGTTTGAAGACCCCTGTATGTGAACTTCAGCTCCCAGAATTCCTCAGCCAGGTACGCTGGCTGAGGAATTCTGGGAGTTGGTCCACAAGTCATAAAATGGTCATAGTTCCCTCACGCTGGCTGAGGAATTCTGGGAAGTCCACACGTCATCAAAAGGCCAAGTTTGAAGACCCCGGCTTGTGGACAACTCCCAGAATTCCTCAGTCAGGCACGCGGGCTGAGGAATTCTGGGAGTTGAAGTCCACAAGTCATCAAGGGGCCAAGTTTGAAGACCTCTGCTCTATGTACTCTGTACATTTTCAGGGGGACAGAGAAAAATCAACTACGGCATTAAGAATAAGGAAGAACTATTTTCACTGAGTATAGCTTTTTTATCCTTGTCGGGCAGAAATTGATCCAAGGTATGAAAAACCGAGTGGTTGGTAGGGAAAGGATTATGAACGAGACCCTCCAAAAGGCAGCATCTGATCAGTGAAAAGGATCGACCGATTTCTTCTTAATTCAACAGTCAAACCGTTTAAGCAAACAAATCACCTGGCTTCTCCAGATCCATCAAAGATATCTTGTCAGACCAAGCTTCCACGAAAAAGGAGCCCTTTAGCAAATAACTGCAGTTCGTGAATTTATTTAGGGTTACAGCTAGTCCTCCACTTACGACAACTGAGCCCCAAACTTCCCTTGTTCAGTGAGACCTGCGTTCAGTGAGTTTTGCCTCACTTTACGACCTTTCTTGCCACAGTTGTTGTTAACTGAACCGCTGCAGGTGATTACGTTCGTTAAGCGAACCTGGCTTTCCCATTGCCTTTGCTTTCCCGAAGGTCGCAAAAGAGGATCACGTGATCTCCCCCCCCCCCGGGATGCAGCAGCCGTCATAAATGCGAACCCGTTGCCCAGCATCTGAATTTTGATCACGTGATCATGGGGATGCTCCCCAGGTTTGTAAGGGTGAGAAACGGCCCGTTTTTTTCAGTGCCGTTGTTAAAACTTTGAACGGTCAATGAAAAACGGCCTGTCGTAAGTTGAGGACTGCCTGTACTTCAAGGCAGAGAGACTGCAAGTCAAGCTGAAGAGAGGAACTGGACAAAACAACCGGAGGGGCTGTTTTAGCCGTGACTAAAATGCCCCCGTGAAAAGAACTTATGGCTCAAGAACTTGGGCCGGATCCAATTTCTTTAGTCCAGCCCTTGACCAATAAATTTTGCGAACACCAGGAAGAGGAACAATCCAGAATGTTATCGTTTCCATCGGCTTCAACCTTTGCAATGGGTCCATCGATATGCAGTTCATTTCAGGTCATTAAGAATACCAATTTTTCTGGGGTAGGGGGGGATATGCAAGACCCACCCACCCTTTTTTTCTTACAGAAGAACTAACTGCACGTGAAAGTTTAAACTAAGTTACGTTCCCGGGCAAAGGGGTTACAAGGCCCGCGACAGCAGAGGGATTCACAATATAAGAACTTGGAAAAGATCCCACTGGATCCTGAATCTTATGCTCCCCCCCCCCCTTTTGATCAGCTTCCTCTAAAGGCTAATGTTAAGAGAAGAACTAACCTCTTTCGTTTAAAAAAAAAAAAAAAACAACCAACAAAATTAGCACCTTGGGTTTCCAAAAAGCTCCCGTTTGATTGCCCAACCAAGTGACATGACAGGCTTAATTAAGAATTTTTTTGTAATTTATTGAAATGACTTGTTAAAAAGCACAAGCAGCTCTGCTTTTCACAGGCTTGTTTTTTAAAAAAAAATCATCAAAACCACTTAAAAACAATAGATGGACAGATTTCTTTTTTCCAGATTCCGTCACTTCGCTGGAAGAAACCATTCCTCCTTTAAATCTATCTATCTATCTATCTATCTATCTATCTATCTATCTATCTATCTATCTATCTATCTATCTATCTATCTATTTATCTATCTTGCTTAACAATGAGAAGGAAAAGGCACAAAACGGGTCGAAGAAGAATCCAGCTGAAATCTATTTTGAGCAACACAAAACATTTCCCTGACAAACTTGGACAGATTCTTTGATTGAGGCCAGTTACAATAAGGATGATCACACGGCGATTGTGAAAGAATGAATGAAAGGTGAAATTAAAAGACAGGGATAGCTTCCTCTGCTGTCTGCTGCCCAACCCTCTTTTCGGTGAAACCATGTTCATAAAATAGGAGCAGTTTTGGGGGTCGGACTAGAAGACCTCTGAGGTCCCTTTCCAGCTCTTATGATTCTACGTTCAATCGGAGGAAAATTAGTGAGGTCCAGTTGGTGAGTTTATGCACGGCAGTGCAAAGGAACCAAAGGGGGCTGGCCTTACACACACACACACATTTAAACCAGCTTCAGGGACAAATCATCCATCACCTTGGGTAGCTCTGCTCAGTTAATCTGCCCACAGTTGAGAAGGAGGCAATGCAGGGGGTGGGAGAAAGGAAACTGAAATAAAACTTAGAAAGCAGCAAAGATCAAGGATCCCCACGGCCAAAATTTCACTAACGATCTCAGCTTCCCAGGCTGACGTGCAAGCTGAGAGACCCAGATTCTCCTCCTTATTCTCTTTTACGAGGGATGGATAGGATTTGGCATAAAATTGGAGAGGAGAGAAAGAGAGACATACGTGGGCTTGCTTATTTTTAATCCTCTTGGGTTCTTTCCCAAATCGCTCCATTAGCCTGTAAGACTCGGACGCAGCCACTCCTTATTCCCACCCCTAAATCCTATTCTACGTGAGAGAATTCCGGCTTTTCAAAGGACCTTTAAATTCTTTTGCTCCGTTTAGATCAGTGGTTCTCAACCTTTTTAATGCTGCGACCCCCAATCGGTTGTAAGTCGAGGACTACTCAACCGGTCGTAAGTCGAGGACTACTCAACGGGTGCAACGCCATTTGCAGAATGGGACTTTTGGCGGGCTCAGCAGGGCAGAGACAGCCTGGACAATTCCTATTGGCTTTGGAAAGCCAATCGAATTAGACTCTATTCGAGAGAGTCTATTCTATTGGCTTTCAAAAGCCAATGGAATAAAAGGGAGTAGCACAGCTAAGGAAAAGGGGGAAAAAATGGCGGACTGCGTTATTTGGCGACCCCTGTGAAATGGTCGTTCGACCCCAAATGGAGTCCCGACCCACAGGTGGAGAACCACTGGTTTAGGTAGAGCAAAATGGTGCTTCTGACTACGGATCCAGGCATCACGAGAAAAATTTGGTTCCAGAGAGGCTGGAAAAATCAAAGGTGCTTTTAATGTACCTGTCCTTTTTTTTAAAAAAAAAAAAAGGGGGGGGGAGTTTTAGCCGACCTGGAGAATCGTGCACCAAGTTAATGCTTTCGAAATCTCTGCCTGGAGTTTTCTGAAACTCAAGCCAAGTGCTTGTGTGTGTTTTTTTTTTTTTTTTTGCAGCAGGAAACCAAGGGGAACATACACCAGCTGTTTCCGCTTGCCTTGGGTTGTGTCTGCCTTGCAGGCAACGTACATTCATCTCGTCTGAATGTATGGGCCTCTGTTTTCTGCAAAGAGCTCAACAGGATGAAAATGTCAAATCCCCCCCAGTGGGACCTTTGGAAGAAACCACGGAGCCTCACAAGCAGCACAATCTGATTCCTGATTCTCTTCCTATGGAACCCCAAAGCAGCAAAATCTGCTTTCCTTGGTGATAGAACACCCCCCCGCCCCATATCACACGACTGAGAACTTTAGAGGAATCAGCCGCCCCGTCTTAATAACCTGCCCCAATCGAAAAGCTTTGAGGGGTGACTTTCAGAGGACTCTGGAAAGGGGAAAAAACAACAACAAGAGGTGTAGGAATACAATCCAAACACAATGCAAAACTCAGGCTCTTTCGCTTGAAGCGGGAAGCTTTGCCGGTGAGTCTTGCTGATTGTCCAAAGATCAAAAACACAAATGGGGGTTAAAATGTCCCCATTTGCGTCCATTGTTTCCTCCCCCACAAAATAAAATGATAACACTAACAGTTCCCAAACTGACACAGAGGCCAAAGTAAGGGATTTCCACAACTGAAAAAAACAACAACAACACAAAACACCAAGTGTTTCACAGGCAGTGAACAGATGGGTAGAAAACGTGCGGTCTTGTGCTTTGCGTTGTCGGTCGCCCACGGCAAAGGTCCTCTTGTGCGGCCCAAGCTCGGTTGTCGGCAGACAATCCCCATTTCCCCCTCCCCCATCCCTCCCTTTCAGGATGGGCAGGGCCCGGCGGGAGAGTCAAACCGTGGTTTCTCGGCTGGCTTTGAGGTTCGGGGCAGAGAACTGCCGCCTCATGCGCGGAGGGGTGACGTACTGGTTGCAGGGACTCGGCCGGTCGGCCGGTCTGCTTCGGCCCTCGAGGCTGCTGGGAGCGCCGTAGGACTGCCAGCGCTGGTGAAGGTGGCGCCTCTGGTGGAAGGCTTGCAGATCTGGGGCTTGGCTGGCGCCCGGGGCGGGCGAGGACTCCGAGGAGTCCGACAACTGGCGCCGGAGGCCTCTCTGCTGCCCGTTGAGGGAATGGCTTCTCCAGCGCACGGGAGTGGAGGGGCCGGGCTGCGGGTGGCAGGGCTGGGGCTGCGGGTTCAAGGGTTGCCTCTTGATCTGGATCGGATCCGGCGCCTGCCGGTGGGGCCCGGGCCTGTTCCAAAGCGGAAGAAGCTGCTTGGGGAACGCCGGGCCTTCGGCAGGCAGGCTTCGGGGCTCCTCGCTCTTCTCCGTCGTCTTCTCTTCCTCCTTGGGGATTCTGACCTCGATGACCTCGCTCTCGGTGATGATGATGTGGGTGCCGGGGCTCCAGGAGTTCCGGTGGGTGGGGTTGCTTTTGAAAGGAAAGCGGGGCTTGCGGTTCTCCGGCGGGATGAAGCGGTGCGGCGCGTTCTGCCGGCGGAGCTGCTTGGCGATCTCCTGCTGCTGCAGGTTCTTGAACCGGGTTTGCTCCTGCCGCATCCAGCGCAGCCGCCCGCGCCTGAAGGCGGGGTCCTCCTCCATCAACTGGGAAACCCGGCCCTCTTTCTCGCCGCTCCCCTTGCCGTCTTCGCCGGCGTTACCTTCCGCGTCGGGCGGGCCTGTGGCCTCCTTCGGTTTCGCGGCGGGCGGCCCCTTCGGGGCTTGGGAGCTGACCAGCGGCAAGACCTTCTCCATTTTGAGCATCTTGTTCCGGAGGAGCTTGATCTCCTCGTCCTTCAGGTTGTTCTGCTTCTTCACCTCCTGCAGGATGTCTTCCAGCTTGTCGATGTGGACCTTGAGGTCGTCCACGTCGGCGATGCCTTTCCCGCTGAGCAGGAGGTCCTCCATCTTCTCGTCGCCCACCCCCACCGTGTCCCAAACGTCCCGGGCCACTGCCCGCCACGAGTCGCGCTCGTTGGGGTCCTTCTTCCCGTACAGGGCACAGAGCTCTTTCATCTTCACGATGGCCAGGGCCTCGATCTCCTGCCGGGTGTGCCGGAAGTCGTTCAGCGCCACCTCGTAGCAGATCTCCTTCACGGCCTGGATCTTCAGATCCGAAACGGTCACCCACCGGGAGTCTTTGCTCAGGCGCCGGCGCTGAGGGATCTGATACATTGGGATGGGCTCTCGCTTCTTTCCGCTGCTGGGGAGGCCACATTTTTTAACAATGGTTTGCAACTTGCTGGGGGGCAGCTTCTCTCTCAGGGAAGTGATCAGCCGCCAGCTCTCCTCACAAGACCGCTTGTCCGAGTCATCCCCACTATCAGAGTCTGCGTCCTTGGGAAAACAAAAACAATCGAGAGGTGGCCCCGAAATAACCAAAATTAAAATTTGGAGAAAAGAAAGAAAATTCTGAACAAAGAAAAAAAAAAAGAAAAAGGACAACTCAAAATTAGGGGAAATTATTTGGGGTGGGGTGGGGGAAGCAAAAGGAACAAATGAAGGGGTGAACATCTAACTGGAGTCTTAAAACTATCCCTAACCGTCTTCGGTGGGTTTCTTTAATTCCAGACATATCTTTAAATTTCGTGGGATTTTTAAGACTCCTCCGAGAATATTCCAAGGGCTTTCCCAACAATCCAATCCGTGTGAAACTCTCACAAGAGTCAAAAATCAAGTACCTGTAGAGAGGAGGACGTAACACTTCATACTAGCGATAGGCAAAACCCGTCAAACATTTTTGCCTGGTTACAGCTGCCAAGTTATTTCATTGGGGGGGAGGGGGAAACAAAGAGATTCTTCTCTCCACGAGGAGTGATACCCGACAAGTCATTGCAGAATGATCAGATGGACAGCCAAGGTTAGGTGGAGTTAAACACTGGGTTAGTAAGTGCTGTAGACGTGGTTCAGACTGACAGTCCGGTCAACTAGAAAAGCAGCCAGAAAAGGGTTAGAGAATCAGAGACAAACCAGTTCAGAAGCAGCCACTAGTGTCAAGGTTAGAAATAGTGGTCATTAACGGTGGTTAAAATGTTGGACGGAGTAAACCCAAGTTAAAAGTCCACCCTCAATCATGGAAATTCCCCAGGTGGCCTTGGGCCAGGGGGGGCCCCCTCTCTCAACCCCCTCTATCTCACAGGGCTGGAGGAAAGAATGCTATACATGCCACCTGGAGAAAAAGTGGGTTACAAATCTGATAAAGAAAACAATACAAACGCCACCACAAAAATCTTTATTTTTTTTTTATATTTATTTTGCCAGCAAAAACAACAACAAAAAAAAAAAGCTGGCCATGCTGTTTAGATTTGCCAGCGATCCTTGGTTTAAAGGCAGACAGGCCTTTCGGTTATTACAAATTGTTCTGAGGATGCCCAAGATATATATATATATATATATATATATATATATATATATATATATATATATATATATATATATATAAAAAAGGGAATCTCGTTAAGGTTTTCTACCATTCCACATCTCACTGTCATGCCCAAGAAATTTATGAACCGACCCGTAAGTTGAGCCAGCCCGTCGCAAACTTCATGCTTTTTTTTTTTTTTTTGCAGCCACGTAAAATGCTTCTATGTTAATAAACTTGGTGAGAGGTAAGAAAAACATTCCAAACAAGCTTTGGATTAATTTTCCCCAGAGGTTCCAACAATTATTCTAATTTAAATCTGAAGTGTACTGTGACGGGCTCGGAGTCTATAATATTGACCCATTTAACCGAAGGTCTCCCCGCCAACTATTCCCTAGCCCATACTGCACAGCATTCTCCAAATCCCAGACTGCCAGAAACTGGAGCCTGGGAAGGCCCTGAATAACGCTGAAAGAAGGGAGAGGTAGGAAAACTGCTCCGTTACCATGAATCGTATTCCATTCATGGAAAGGAAGTTAGGGATGAAACCCTTTGATGGAGCTATTTTGGCACTACTGCGTATACTTTTTTTAAAAAAAAATGTTACGTTAAAAATAAAGAGCTACAGGCACGTTTTCGTTAAAAGGACGACCTCTGAGTGGGTCCGTGTTTCTCAAATATACAAACAGGATAATTAGATGCTGATCAAAGTGGGGGGGGGAGGGTTGGGGGAAGAACTTTTTTCTAATGATAACCGGAGAGACTAGAGATAGTACTCGACTTATAACCCTTCGTTTAGGTGATCGTTCGACGTCACAACGGCACTGAACAAAGTGACTGATGTCCATTTTTCACTCTTGCAACATCCCCGTGGCCAATTGATCAAAATTCAGATGCTCGGCAACTGGCATGTACTTAGGACGGTTGCATTGATCTCCTTTTGCGAACTTCTGACAAGCAAAATCAATGGAGAAGCCAAACAGCAACAGCACCGAGACTTCACAGTGCTTGACAGTCCTCACTAAGACTATGCCCCCCCCCCAGCCATCTGGGTCCTCATTTTACCAACCTCGGGAGGATGGAAGGCTGAGTCGACCTCGAGCCGGACAGGATCGAACTGCCGGCGGTGGGCAGAGTTTAGCCTGCAATGCTGCATTCTAAGCACGCCGCCACCAGGGCTCTTATAGCAATAGCACGTAGACTTATATACCGCTTCACCCTGCTTTACAGCCCTCTCTAAGCGGTTGACAGAGTCGGCCTATTGCCCCCCAACAATCTGGGTCCTCATTTTACCGACCTCAGAAGGACGGAAGGCTGAGTCGACCTCGAGCCGGACAGGATTGAACTGCCGGCGGTGGGCAGAGTTTAGCCCGCGATGCTACATTTTGACCACCGCTCCCCCCAGGGCTCTTAAGATTCACTTCACAACCTTGTTACTAACTGGATTAGTAAACGGCAGTAAACGGTGGCAAGGAAAGTCATACACTGGGGCAAAACTCACTTAACAACCTTCGATCTCAGCAAAGGAAGCTTTGGGCTCAATTACAGTCGTTAAGTCGAGGACTATCTTATACGCTCTTTTCACAGGCTAGGAATTTGGAAGGTCAAATTTTGTTTTGTGGCTCCCTCCTCATCGCCCTGTTTGTGGGAGGTGAGGATTTTTGTTGTGATGTCCGGCTACGTGAAGGCTTGATTGGCCAGTCCCCCCTAATCTCCCTCCCTCACCGGCGCGTTTCTCTTGCTAAGGATTCAGACTCCATGCAGGACAGGGCAAAGGCAGAGAGATTAAACGCATGCATCCCCCACAGCCATCATTCTGGAGATCCTGGCGGGGGGCAGATCAAAACCTGGCAGGCAAATGTATCTAGGCACCTCTCCTCTGGAGGACCCAGTTAGTACTTGGTGACTCTTAAAGAGACACTCTCCACTGTGATTTCAGAGAGGTCTGGAATTGGGTGTGAGGTGCGGAGGGACAACAGATCAACACCTGAGCCTGTTTGTTCTGTCTGCTGAAGAAGCTGATCTTGGTGTGGATTGGAGAGAGACAAACTCACTGGATGGTAACCATGTCAAACCAAAATAGCACCCTTAACAGGCAAAGGGCAATTAATTCTAGGCACTAAGCAGAGAATCTGCTTAAAATCGGTCTGGGTGTGATAGGGGACACCTACCAGCCTCTGCTGCTCCAGTAAGAGATCTGCTTCTTCCTTCTCCTTCTTGTACAGAATCTCCATCTCTTGAAGTCTGCAAAGAGATACAGGAGTGGCTTATAGGGAATCCTCGACTCGCAAGCCTTAATTTCACAAACATTCGAAGTTACAATGGCAGCGAAAACAACATTTGACTTATATTCAGACCACTGCAGCATCCTCAGGGTCACACGATCAAAATATGAGCACTGACTCGCTTAACAGCAGAAGCCTGGCTTAGCAATTCTGGTTCAAACTGCAGTCGTAAGTTGAGAACCAGCGGACGCGTCGATTTTCTGCCGAGCCTAAGAACCCTCCTTCGGAATTCGACAGATGCTCCCCTTTTCAGACCATCTTCACAAAGGATCTCAAACGGGTTTTGGGGGTGTCTACGGCTAAATCGCCAGCCGGGATGAACAATTTGGGGAGATGGGGCTAAAGCTGTAAATGTATTTCTTGAAGAAAAGCATTCAAGACTCTTCTAAAATTACAGAAGGCAAAGCTCTGGTAAGAGAGCGTTAGGCTGCATTAACAGAGGGATAGAATCAAGATCACGTGAAGTATTAATACCACTTTACAAGGCCTTGGTAAGGCCACACTTGGAATACTGCATCCAGTTTTGGTCACCACGATGTAAAAAAGATGTTGAGACTCTAGAAAGAGTACAGAGAAGAGCAACAAAGATGATTAGGGGACTGGAGGCTAAAACATATAAGGAACGGTTGCTGGAATTGGGTCTGTCTAGTTTAATGAAGAGAAGGACGAGGGGGGACAGGATAGCTGTGTTCCAGTATCTCAGGGGCTGCCCCAAAGAAGAGGGAGTCAAGCTATTCTCCAAAGCACCTGAAGGCAGGACAAGAAGCAACGGATGGAAACTAATCAAGGAGAGAAGCAACCTAGAACTAAGGAGAAACTTCCTGACAGTGAAAACAATTAACCAGTGGAACAACCTGCCTCCAGAAGCAGTAAATGCTCCAACACTGGAAATTTTTAAGAAGAGACTGGGCAGTCTGGAATGGTATAGGGTCTCCTGTTTGAGCAGGGGATTGGACTAGATGACCTCCAAGGTTTTTTTCCAACTCTGTTATTCGGTCTTTATCTATTGCCATGAAGACGGCTTGTATGATGTTCCGGTTAAAAGGAATTAAATGCTCTGCTTCCGTTTCACGGGTGATCATGCAAACTGACGTTCGGTTTCTCCTGAGAAAGTCCTACCTTTTCTCCATCTCCTGCTTCATATCGATTCCCTGCTTCTCCAGCAATTCTCTCTGGGCAAAAGTCCAGTCGACCGGCTCGGAGGGCGTCTCAGCCGACGGCGTCTTCTCTCTTTCGGCCCTGGCCTGCTCAGGGTGGTTGAAGCGGAAGACGTGGTTTTTGCCCATAATGATGCGATTTCCTGCAAGGGCAATAAAAGAGGTTGGCCAAGGGTCCTTTGGGGAGAAGGGCAAAGCACGTTTTCTAGGACGATCCACACCAGAAGACATAACAACTGTAATCTGGAGCAAGGAAGGGAAGTTGACGGAAGAGTGGTTGGTAGACCGGGCTGGGGAATTCTGGGAGTTGAATTCAAACTGCCAAGGTTGGGAAACACTGGCCTACGTGCAGGAGGGCCTCAATTCAATGCTCAACATCTTCAGTTGCAAAAAGATTTGGTAAGCTCGCAAAGCTCCTCCCAATGAGTAGCCGATGCTAATGACTGGGGACTAGACAGCCCAGCACCCACAGCTGGGATTAAAAAAAAAGGTGTCCTGAGCATAAAATGAAGCCAGATGGTCAGCATTCAAGACGCCTGTCCTCATGAAGAAACAGACAGGGTTACCTGAACGCAGCTGGACCGGCTGCACCACCCTCTTGCCGTTGACGTAGGTTTCTGAGCATTCGCACGGCTCCAGGCTAACAATCACTAGAAGGAGGAGAGGAAATACTTGAGTCATTGTCTGAACGGTTGATGAGAGAGCCAACATATATGAAGGAGAAGAGTTTGGGGAAGCTGGGAAGGGTATTAAAACAGCGCCCACCCCCTGGCCCCCGGGCCGTGGCCCGTTTGGAACTGGGCTACCCAAGTGTGTAAGTTGACCTGCGCAGGCGCACACATGCGTTGGCCAGCCAGATTCCAAATGGGCCGCAGCCCGGTGTTGTGGATCCCTGATTTAAAATACGGAGGATTTCCCCCCCCTGCTTACCACTGCCATTGGGGTTCCTCTCGCTGCGGAAAATGCAGTGCTCCTCTTTGATATGAGCTCCGCTCAGGACGATGTCTTGGCGCCGCTCGGCATCCGCCTGGCCCACCCTGTGACCGAAAAAGAGGATTTCTAAGGCATGGTGGTAAACAAGTTTCTAAAAACAGGTAAACCCGTCGTCTGCTCCAAGCCACAAATGTTTAACATCCAGACGGGATCGAAAACAATTCCGATCATGCCGCTGACCTGGTTATGCCGTCCTTGATGTAATAAAGCAGGCACTCTGACATCAGTGGATCCTCGTTCAGGTTTACTAGATGAGGGGTCTAAAAGAAAAACACGGCGTTCCTTGAATGACACGCCCTCTTTCCCCACGAAAGCTTCCCCCAGAAGAGCTGGCAGTTTCCCAATCCAAAGCTGCTTTGCCCTCCCAGGAGAAAAGCAATCAGTTCTTGGATGGGGTGAAATTTTATTGCAATACAGAAGGAGAACACCGGCAAAGGAGAATATTGGTAGCTCGGGTGGAAATAAGGGGTTCTTGGTGCGCGCTGAGCTTTGTTGCTTCCTTGTGGATGTTTCATTACCCAAACTAGATTAACGTCATCAGTGATGTTACGTAGTTTGGTCATGAAAGGTCTGCAGGAAAACAACAAAGAACGCACCGAGGAGTGCTCAGAAAGGGAACAGTATCCTAGGAAGAAGAAGAATCTGTTCAGAAGCATCAAAAATAATCTTTACACTGTGGGTGCTGTGGGCTAAACAGTACGTATTTTAACATGTATTTGTTTTAAAGCAGTGGTTCTCAATCTGTGGGTCAGGACCCCATTTGGGGTCGAACGACCATTTCACGGGGGTCGCCAAACAACACAGTCCGCCATTTTTTCCCCCCTTTTCCTTAGCTGTGCTCCTCCCTTTTATTTATTTATTTATTGATGAGACTTATATACCGCTTTTAAGTGCAAGCACTCTCTAAGCGGTGTACACCAGTAAGCAATGTATATATATATATTTACATTGCCCCCAACAATCTGGGTCCTCATTTTACCTACCCCGGAAGGATGGAAGGCTGAGTCAACCTTGAGCCGGTGAGATTTGAACCGTTGACCTGCTGAACACAGTCAGCTAAAGTGGCCTGCAGTACTGCACCCTAACTGCTGCGCCACCTCGGCTCATTGGCTTTTGAAAGCCAATAGAATAGACTCTCTTTATTGAATCTAATTCTATTGGCTTTCCAAAGCCAATAGGAATTGTCCAGGCTGTCTCTGCCCTGCTGAGCCTGCCAAAAGTCCCATTCTGCAAACGGTGCTGCACCAGTTGAGTAGTCCTCGACTTACGACCAGTTGGGGGTCGCGGCATTAAAAAGGTTTAGAACCACTGTTTTAAAGGAATGTGTTCGGTGAGTAGCAGCCAGGGATAGCGGGTCCTTTAGAACAGAGGCCCCCAACCTTTTGGGCACCAGGGACCAGTTACCTGGAGAGAAGTTTTTCCACGGACTGGAGGGGGCATGGCTTTGTGTGCTGCCTGCATCCTGCAGATGGGTTTTACTTGTTTGTGTGGACCGGTTGCCGGCATGCCGCGGCCCGGTCCCAGTCCACAGACCAGGGGTTGGGGATCTCTGCTTTGGATTATCCTTGGTTCAATAGCTGCCAATTTATTTGCCTTCTCTCTCCTCTTTCTATGAGAAATACCTAATTCTTCAGAAAGGGAGCAGGAACTGGGCAGGACGAAATTGATTTAAAAAGCATTTACTGGACACTTTCATCGCTTGAATCAAAAAGTCAGGAATGCGTCGTTCATCTCGTACGGAAATAGCTCGACGGAAGGAAAACGCTCTCATCCAATTTGGCCGGGAAGAAATAAATGGTGGAATTTCTCCTTAGCAACGTCCACAGAGCAAGCGTTTCACAGATCACAGGGATCACCCGTGCTTTCAAACCGCAGCTTTGCTGGAAAGTCTCAAGGATCTATCTGCTACAAAGGTTCCTAGTGGGATCTAAAGCTACTACAGCCACTCAACCAACCTTCTTTGGGGAAAACACCCCACTGGAACCCGCCAACAAATCACAAGGCCTTGGTGTGAATATCTGGCCAGTGAGTGCCAGTAAAACACAGGAGGAAAAACAAAATATTAGAACAGCCACAGAAACAGGAACTTCACCCTCCAGATTCCCAACAGGCAGCTCCAGCTTGTAAACTAAGGGCAGTTTCTCCTGAGCTACAGAAGTACTACAGAAGTACAAGAACTGCTACAGAAGTGCTACAGAAGTACAAGAACTGAAAGGAACAGATTACCAAGTTTATTTGTTTGTTCATGTCAGAAGCGTCACAATTCAAATAAGGCATACTCTATGACGTAACATTTAAAATATAAAACACAAAGATTAAAATCTATACAAGTTAAACAGATCCTGCCCCAAAACTAGCAACATTAATTACGTTCTGTCACGCTGCCCAGTGAGGTCTTCAGGTGTACAAAGGGCAAGTATGCATAGGTGTTGTTGTTTGCGTGTCCCCACAATCGCATAGGGAAAAATTCACCGGATAGCCCCACTTGTTCTAAGTGTCTCTGTTGCACCCATGCGAGATTAGGGGAAGTAACAGCTAACCAGGATGGATGTAAAGGGTACGGAGGAGAAGCATGGATTCCTCTATTCTACTTTCACAAGTTGCAATCTCTGCTGAAGCCTCTGTGTCGGCACAAAGGCTCGTCAACTGCAAAGGAATCAAGAGAATCATCAAACCAAGTTGATGATCTCTGAGAGAAGATCTACAAGGGAAGTTCAGACGATGAGAGAAAGAGGGAAAGGAGGGCTTATTTATTTAACAAATAAATTTTTGATATCCAGCCTACGAAAAAGTATGCACGCACGCCTCTGAAACGATTGCTTTTAATTGATACTGTCATTTTAACTTAAGCCACCTCGAAACCCTATGTTAGGAAGCGAGTCAAACACAGTGCTGCCATCTCTGCAGAAAAGTGACCATAGATGGTTGGACCGGATAACCACTGTACAACGCTGCCTACCTTTTTGGGTGAGAAGACGCCAAGGGTGCCCCCATCTTCTCGGATGGCAACTCCCATCTCAGCTAAGAGCGCTTCCCTGTGGAGGAAGGGACAAGAGATTGTAAAGAATTCCTCGACACACGCTTAAAGTTCAATTCGTAAATTTGGAGAGGAGTGGACAAGAGGAATTTAGTTGTTGTTTTCAGTGTGGGAAGTTGCACTGCGCAGAAAGAAGAAAGAGTAAGAAGAGACAGTATCATGAAATGTAAATCAGAATGAAAGGCATTTTTTAAAATGTCCCAGTTTGTACAAAAGACAGTTTTGATTAGAACTGTGGTGGGGCAGAATGCAGTATTGCAAGCTAACTCTGCCCACAGGCTCAAGGTGGACTCAGCCTTCCGTGCTTCTGAGATTGGCAAAATGAGGACCCAGATGGCTGGGGGCGATATGCTGATGTTGTAAACTACTCAGAGAGTGCTGTAAAACACTATGGGGCAATATGTAAGTCTATGTGCTATTGCTATTGCTGTTGATTGTCTTCTCCTGATATTGTGGAGGATAAAAAAAAAAACAACCCAAGTAAGATAGAGGATCAAAATAACCCCAAGCCAAACTTCTTTTGCAGAAGTATCTGGGAACCTTCATTTCCTATACATATATCTGAATGAATTTAATTTGATCTGACTATGATTAAGGAATCAAAGAAGAGGGGGCCACATTATTCTTCAAAGCACCAGACGGCAGGACGAGAAACCATGGTTGAAAACTGACCAAGGAGAGAAGCAACCTGGAATTAAGGAGAAACTTCCTGACAGTGAGGACAATCAACCAGGGGAACAGCTTTGCCTCCAGAAGTTGTGGGTGCTCCATCACTGGAGTTTTTAAGAAGAGACTGGACAGTCACTTGTCTGAGATGGTATAGGTTCTCCTGCTTGAGCGGGGGGCTGGACTAGAAGACCTCCAAAGTTCCTTCCAGCTTCTATTCTATTCTATTCTATTCTATTCTATTCTATTCTATTCTATTCTATTCTATTCTATTCTATTCTATTCTATTCTTCTAATTCTATTCTACTCTATTCTGCATTCTAGTCCATTCTCTGTTCTATTCTATTCTATTCTATTCTATTCTATTCTATTCTATTCTATTCTATTCTATTCTATTCTATTCTTTCTCTCAGGATTATCTCAATGCTCTTCTATTGTTTTGAACGGTCTATCCACAGAAGCAACCCTTCCCCTTCTCGAATCGTGCCTGGCTGAGGAATTCTGGGAGTTGAAGTCCACAAGTCAAAAAAGGGCCACATTTGAAGACCCCTGCTCCAAGGCAGTGTTTCTCAACCTGGCAGCTTCAAGATATGTGGACCTCAAGTCCCAGAACTCCCCAGCCAGCATGGGGAATTCTGGGAATTGAACACACATCTTCAAGCTGCTACGGTTGAGAAACACTGCTCTAAGGTAATGATAGAAGATGATAAGGGGGCACTAACCTCTCCATCCGAATTGCTTCGGTCTTCCTCAATTTCTCCTCCCAGGTTTCATTCAGCTCTGCAATGATTTTCTCAGATTCCTGAGGGGGGGGGGAAGAGAATGGAGAAATAGGGTTACATAAGACAGAACGCCAGTTTCATTCTAGGCTCCCCAGCCCAACAAATTAAAATCTAGCCAAATCGAAATCCAAGAACGGTCAGCGAACAGACTGATTGTCTGGAACCCAGAAATCCTAAGCGTCTGTGAAGCTTTGGATTCTGCAACAGATCCTGCGAGTTTCAACCTATATTTTTTCCCTTTTCTTTCATCAAAAGCCCTAGTACAGTGTTTCTCAACCTTGACAATTTTAAGGCATGTGGACTTCCACTCCCAGAATTCCACAGCCAGCATTGCTCTCATAAAATAGTTTTGTATTTACAAAGCCAACGATTTCTTTCAATATCCACTTGATCGGGCAACCGTCTCTAAAAAAGAACTGCAGCAGAATCCTATCGGGTGCCAAAATTAGGCAAAGATTCGGAACAACATTTTGGACAAGGCTTGGTTGAAAAGCCTTGATAACCTGTTATCTTTCCACATCGTCTTACAATGTAGAATCTGAAATGTTAGTCTTTTTTGGTGGGGGGGGGGTTACTGCAAGGCAATCCAACTGGTCAGTCCTAGAGGAGGTCAACCACAACTGCTCTTTAGAAGGCCAGATCCTGAAGTCGAAACTCAAGTAGGTTGACCGCCTAATGAGAAGGAAGGACTCACTGGAGAAGAGCCTAATGTTGGGAAAGATGGAGGGCAAGAGAAGAAAGGGACGACAGAGAATGAGATGGCTGGATGGAGTCCCTGAAGCAGCAGGCGTGAGCTTAAATGGACTCCAGAAGATGGTAGAGGACAGGAAGACCTGGAGGAACGTTGTCCATGGGGTCGCGATGGGTCGGACACGACTTCGCAACTAACAACAAAAGAAGTTTCTAGAACCACATTAGCATTCTGATACTTTAAAGTGCTGAAGCTTTTTCTGCAATCACCATCTTCAACCAGCCATGTAACAAAGAGTTGTTTCTTTCCTCAGGAATGGAAATTTGGGGGGGGGGGAAAGATTCCTCTTTTGAGTCAACAGGCTTTTTCTTTGCCACTGACAGCGCTTAAAAAAAAGCTACACTCCCAGACGGATGAGATAAAACGTTACAGTGGGGTGGGAATGCTTAAACAGAAGAAGAGTCAAATGCCCACCAAGCCTTTTCTTCCAGGATGGACAACTCCAGTAGAACAGGAGACAATGTGCTGCTCGCCACACATTCATTGCCTGGGAGTTTTCATGGCATTTCACAGCTCACTGCAGAGGTGCCGCTGTGAATACTGATGACAACAGCAAGCCTATCCCAGACATTTAAAGTTGCAAATCAGAGACCTGGAGCTGTCACCTTGAGCCAAAGCAGGATCTAAAAGTAGGGACCTACCTTGGAGAGAAACCAGAACTTTTTTTTTTCCCCTTCTACCCCCTTTTACTTTCTTTTTTAAAAAGGCATACATTTTGTATGCCTCCAGCCCATCCAAGGGGAAGAAAGGGGAGTGAAAAAAAAAAAAAAAGGCAGCATTCAAAATCTACAACCCAGCCAGCTTGTTGCTTCACAAGCCTAAATGGGGGTGGGTGGGTGGGGGGAGGGGGAGGGAAGCTCTGGCAAGGCCAAAAGAGAGAAGTCTTCTACTGTTGTGCCCTTTGGAGGCCACACAGCACACAGATGCTGCACAAAAGGCTCCACTGTCTGCAGATAACAGGACGTTTTCTGCGCCACACATTTTAATGAGCGGCCTCGGGCGTTGCAGAGGGTTAACACTGACTCCTAGAGAGAGCGACTAATACAGGAATTTTAACAGTTGCTTTTAACTTTTGGGGACATTCTAATTCTGTTGGTCACACTGAGGAATCCCTTAAGTAGAAAGGGGGAGGGGGGGAATCTCCATCAAAGAAAGATTTTTTTTAAAAAAAATCAGAAGTCACTGAAGCGCCTTCGCAATTTCAATTTCGTTTCCGCTGATGTTTTTAACTTTGCTGCCTGTTCAAATTGTTTTATTTGTTGGGTGTTTTTTTTTAATTATTTTCAAGAGCAATGCTAGTGGAATGACTTTATATCATGCCTTGGTATCATGCTTTTCCTCTTTTTTTCTGATGGGGTGTCATTGTTGTTACTGTTACGTATCAATGACAACAGTTGAAATCACAGCTGCCGCTTCATCAGCTGATGTTGATTATTGTTCGCACTGAATTTTTCCGAAATTATTTTTATTATTATTATAGTTTTCTTAAAATTGCCAAGGTTGAGAAACCCTGTTCTTTTATATACACATATATATTATTAATTTTTATAGGATTAGGAATAGGGTTAGGGTCAGGGTTAGGATTTTTTAAAATAACATTCTTAATATTTAGCAAACAGCATGTTGTCTGGGTTCATGTAATTAAAAAAAAAAAAGAACAATAATTATCATAAACAATATGTTAATGAACTGCTCAATAGTCTTATTAATATATATTCAATGTTACATATCACATTCCCTTCTCTCTAACTCATTTTTCTAGCCATTGATAAAAATTGTCCCATGTTCTAAAATACACTGAGTCTTCTTTCTCTTTTATCTTTAATGTCAATCTGTCCATTTTTGCACAATCTGAAATTTTCTTAATTAGTTCCTCTTCCGTTGGTTAGGTTTTCATTTTTTCCAATATCGGGCAAATACAATTCTTGCTGCCATTAGTACGTGTAAAATTAAATATTATACAGTCTTTCTCATAGTTTCCTCCTATTATTCCTAACAAAAATAATTCTGGCTTAAAATCTACCGTATATTCCGGCGTATAAGATGACTTTTGAGAGCGTCGAAACAGCCTCCGAACTCGGGGGTCGTCTTATACACCGAGTCGTCTTATACACCGGAAATAAGGTAGTTTCTGGCGTATAAGACGACTTTCTAGGCATGCGACTCGACATCGATCGTCTTGCGACCCAGCGTCGAACTAGGGGGTCGTCTTATACGCCAGGTCGCCCTATACGCCGGAATATACAGTATTTGTTTTTTTTTGTCATTGTCTCCCACCGTCAGTGTATTTTTGAACCAAAATCTTTTAGCTTTAGGGCAGGTCCATCAGATATGGAAACCCTGTTCTAAAGGGTGATATATTTGTGTTGCACTCTAACAGATGTTAGGCAGATGTGGTTCTGGGCTAAAGCAAGATAGGTTTCTTTGGGCATTTGACACTCCAGCCGCCGTACCTTCAGACGTTCAATGGCTTCCTCTCCTCCAGGTGTGGACATGATCCGTTCTTGGATGCTGGAGACAGCAGTTAAGCCCACCTGACTACTGAGAGAGCAGGAAGATGGAGATGCAGTGAGCGAGCCCATGGATGCTGTGGAAAAATGGCCAGGACGTTGATTCTCGGAGGCTAACAAGTATCTGTGCTTATTGTTCTGAAAATCTTTCAGATCTGAGAGGAAGAGAGAGACAGACAGACAGAAAGACAGACAGACAAGCAGAAGGGGAGAGGCAAGGCAAAGGAAGGAGGAGCAGAAGAAAAGGGGGAGAACACAGGGAGGAGATACCAGTATAAGAGGAAAAGGCACCAAAAAAAGCAAACCGACAAAAGAGATTTAATCGTACCAGGATGGCAGTTTTGAAACATGCTTCCCCCAATCTACACCTTGCTGCAAATTTGTCAAGAAGGCAAAATAACCAGATCATCGACATGTGAATTAGCCACTTCATTGCTCGTGCCCATTTCACAGGCATCTTCTCGGGCTGATAGTTTGCACCCGAGGCAGGCTAGAGAAGGTTCAGTGGCATTCAAGGAAAGGTTGGGCCTTGCTCTCTGATGCCTATGTAAGGATTCCAGGCTGATTCCCTACTTGACTCCTCCCCCTGGCTCAGCTAGTTCCTTGAAAAAATTCAAGAGAGCTCCTGGCCTGGAGTAGCATCTGACGTCCTCAAGGGTCCAGCCTTTTAGTATCCTGTTCTTTTATCTGGGTCTGGTTCAGGGACGGAGTGCGAGCTTTGCTATCATCCGTTAACTGACCCTTTCAAACGTTAATACAGTGGTTCTCAACCTGTGGGTCGGGACCCCATTTGGAGTCAAACGACCATTTCACGGGGGTCGCCAAACAAGGCTGTCAGCCATTTTCCCCCCTTTTCTTTGGCCACGCCCCTGATACCCAGTGATGTATAAGTGGTTGGGGGTCACCACAACATGGGAAACTGTATTATGGGGTCGTGGCATTAGAAAGGTTGAGAACCACTGCGTTAATACCAGGGATGGAATTAATTAGAGGCGTCCAGAAACTGTCACATTTCACGGAACTGCAGGCCTTGAGGGTACCCAACCTACACGTGTTCTGTGCTCAAGAGCCCAGTAGTTATGTTTCAAGTGGGTTTAAAAACTGCCACCTGCAAATTCAGAAAAGAGCCAGGGTCGAGGGTAGAGCGCCATTCAAACACGCCAGAGAGCAAAATCGCACACCCTGGAGACACTCATGCATCCACAGGAGAACCGGGAAGGCTTACTACAAATGCCAAAGCTGCTACACAATTGTCACAGAGCACCACAAGGCAGCTAGGCCATGCATATTCCCCTCTCCAAAAGCTGCGTCTGCAGGGACTAAAAAGTCAAGAGTTAAAAGCTGTGGAGCTGAAAGCGGCATTAAAAAAAAGGGGGGGGGGAGAGAGGAGCAGAAATACTGGAAAATTTAAAAGCGAAACAAAAAAAAGCCGAGGGCAGAAAGGAGACTAGATCAATTACACTTCCAATTGTCTGCACTCAAGGAGATGGCCAAGATGTCTTTCTTGCTTTAACTAGCAGGGCAGGCTGAGGCCTTGAAAACAGCACTCAGCAGTTTCCCAACCTTTTTTTATTATTATTATTTTTAATCTCCACAGAGGAAAAGAGATGTCTGCAGGAAAATGCTCAGGCACCTCTCTAGCAATCCATTCAATAAAGGCTTTCTGTGTGGAGCCTATGATTTTTTCAGCCTGCCCACCTCTCTATTAGCAAGATGGGTAATAGCTAAATTGAGCACTGGGTGGAGAATGTCTAATAAAAACAAGAAAAAGGCATTATCCAGTAGGCAGCTGCCCTGATATCAACATTCAAAGAAATAACAAAAAATATACTGTATTTTTCAGCTATTTCAGATGAGCCCTGGTGGCGCACTGCAGTATTGCAGGCTAAACTCTGCCCACTGCCAAGAATTTGATCCTGACCGGCTCAAGGTTGACTCAGCCTTCCATCCTTCTGAGGTTGGTAAAATGAGGACCCAGATGGTTGGGGGCCAAAGGCTGACATTGTAAACTGCTCAGAGTGCTCTGTAAAATACTGTGCAGCTGTGTATAAATATATATATATATGTGTGTTAAATTTGGATTGCCAACTAAGAGTTAAAGGGAGACTGGTATAGCTATTTCGAGCTACTTAGCTCTCATCAGCCAGTCATACCCTTCTGAGATTTGAACCTGGGCTGCCTGGGCTTCTTACACATTAGGCAGCTGTGTTGACCTCTAGGCCACAGGCTCTTTCTCACTTTATCAGCTGTGTCAGGGAGGGAAGAGACCATATTTGGGCCGACCGGGTGCATTGTAAAAAACACTTAAGACACACACACATATATATATGTATGTATGTATGTGTATATATATATATGAATGAGAAAGAACGTACTGCTAAACTGAATGAAACTGTGCACTTTTAAATCTCTTTTGGCTTTGAACTGCCAGGATTTGAAACAAACAGGAATATTTGATACATACACACACAACGCAGGTAGGTATCATTTACCCCACTCTGGCTATCGTTACGTTTCCAAGTATCGGTAGTTCAAGCACAAGAGGAATTTAAAAGATACATCCTTGATTTCACCCAGTCTTTCAGCAGATGTTCCTGTTTCCTTTCAGAGAGGTTTAGATTAGAGCACTCTGTGTAAAGCCCTCTTGGAGGATTCCACACTTTCATTTCGTCTTGTTGTTTTTTTTAAATGCTCTCCTGGTATTTCCTTGTAAGAAATTGGAGTGTAAAGTTCAAAGGCAGCCCACCCTGCAGAAGCCAAAGATGGGGATAGGGATTGATTCTGCCATACACACATTTGCATCCACCTCCCGAGAAATCGTCCAGGGGATCAACTGAAGAACGATGTTAGGAAGAAAAGACAAGAAGGATAAAAACACTCAGGGTTAAGAGTAGACATGTGAGAAAAGGGAAAAGCTTTGCTGATGGAAAAAGAAGGAAGTCAGATTCTCAAATTCAACAATTTCAACTACTTTGTTATCATAATGGGGGGGGGGGAGAAAGAAATCCTCTATGATTTGGGAGTGAAAATCCACTGCTTATCTGATTTGTGCTAAGGAAACATTTTCTCCTTTTATCCATTGTTTTTAGTGCTCTATACATACACACTGTACGATTAAAAAGAACAGACAAACATTTCTTGGCAGATAAACAAGCATCCAGAATTCAGAAACAATCCCTTAACAATTCCCAGAGATTCAATGAGAGAGAGAGAGAGAGAGAGAGAGAGAGAGAGAGAGAGAGAGAGAGAGAGAGAAAGAGAGAGGGGGGGGGAGGGAAAAAGATCACACTCTCTGTTCCAGAAACTCAACGCTTTGCCTTCATTCGTCAAAACTTTCTCATCATCTTATTGTGGCAGCAGCTTTTTTACTGTAAAATGATCAGCCGACATCTCCAAAGCCAATTCCTAAATTTCTACGGCAGTGACCCGCCTCCCAGGATGGACAGGGTGTGATGGGGATCTAATCTGTTTGGAGTTTAAGCAGAAGAATATTGCTCTGGAAGCAACAGGCGTTTAAGATGGAAGACTCAAGAAAAGAAGCTAACGTGTAACCAATGTATAATTAACAATATTTTTTTAAATGTAGCGTTTATCGTAGTCTCTCTCCCTCCCTCCCTCCCTTCCTCTCTCTCTTTCTCTCATATTTTTAAATTTTCAATCGCATCAACTTTAAAGTTTAATAGAGACATGCTTTGATTGGAAAATGGATGCAAAAAATATCTTGTACTATACTAAGCTTTTAAAAATGTACTAGAACATATTAGTCAGGTGATACTTTAAATTCGTTGGCAACCTTCCCATACTTGACTCATTGTCTTTGGCTCTTTTCATCTAGCCTGCCCTTGTGTGGTCTTTTCCTTTTATTCTTTCAACAACAACTATAATCATAATAGTAGAAAGGGGAGGGGGTCAGTCCTGGCAACTTAAGTTCTGCTAGAATAAGTCCCAGTTTGGCAAATGGGACTGCCCTGCTCTAGTTTGTCCAACTGACTCTGAGAAGGAATGAAAACGTAAACATTAGCTGCCTTGTTTTGTTCTAAGAGGGCATTTTGAAATGGAAGGTTGTTGGCGCTGACAACCACAACCTAGTCCTGAAACAAAAGGTTACAGGAACAAGCTATTATTCCAGCTGGTTCAGCTTCCAACCCTGGGAGCTATTTTCTGGAAGGCTTTCTAAATATTCATCCAGAGAACGAAACATATAACAGAGTAACAGAGTTGGAAGCGACCTGGTGGTCTTCTAGTCACTAGTGCAAACCCCTGCTCAAGCAGTAAGTCCTGTTCTATTTCAGACAAATGGTTGCCTAAATCTTTTCTCTGCTTGATACTCAACTGGGTTGGATAAATCAACAAGGCTCCAACACAAGATTATGGACCAGGCCTGTCAATCAAGCTAAGTCAGAGCCCCCAACCTTTTGGGCATCAGGGACCGGTTCTGTGGAGAGGGGTTTTTCCGCAAACTGGAGGAGGTGTGGTTTTGTGTGCTGCCTGCATCCCAAGGATGGGGCTTTGCTTGTTTGTGCGGACCGGTTGCTGGCATGCTGTGGCCCATGCTGGTCCATGGACCAGGAGTCGGGAACCCCTGAACTAAAGTACAATACATAAACTTTGGTTAAACCTAACCTCTTTGCTACACCCTCACATTGACCAAAAACAGGATGTTTTTCTCCCAGGAAAGAAGTCTTCTTCAGAGAAACAGGAATCAGCCAGATTCACCCGCTTACTGTCAATGATGTCTCCAAGCCCTTGAGCGCGAAGGAGATCTTTGAGCCGTGTGACTTCTTCCTTCAGTTCCCGTACCAGCTTGGCGTTGGGATCCTCGTTGATCACTGCGTTGCATTTGATTTGCTTGGCCCGATCTGCATATCTGGACAGATCAGTGGATTGAGAGAAAACAAAAGCGGTAATGTTTGTTTAAACATCTTAATGTGGTGATGGCCAAGAATCCCGGAAGGGCTTTTATCTAGATGAGCCTGAAGAAGTGTGGACTTCAACTCCCAGAATTCCCAACCAGCACCTCTAGGAGTTGAAGCCCACACATCAATTGCTCTACAAGCCCGAGTCACACTGCATAAGACAAGAGAGAAAATGTGGAACGGAAAGCCCAATTATTTTAAAACCCCATTCCATACCGTAATGTGCTTAATGTTTCGTCATAGTTTATGTCTGCTGGGCTCAAAGCAGCCACCATGGCGGTTCTGGAGTTGCCACCTACAAGGCAGAAAGGCAGTCAGATCAAGGAAAGTCAACCCTGGCTGCCGAATCACGAAAAGACTCGGCACAAATGCACCACAAACCATTATCACAATTATCCAGCCCTTCATCGGGATGTGGTAAAACATACGATACTTTGACAATCAGATGAGCAGAGTTGTCGAAGCGCAGAGGGCCAAAAACAGACAACTCACTCCACAGCTTGGTGAGTTGTAAGAAAGCTAATTTGATATTTGCCAAAGTTAAGGAAGAAAATTGAACGTTCCTATTCTCTCTTCGGTCCCAGAAACATCTGCCAGAATCAAATGTCATCTGACCAATGAAAAGTTACAATCAGAATTTCTTCCACCCCAGAGCCGCAATAGTTTTTAGATCCTTGCTTTGAAAGCGCAGCTGATCAAACCGACATATTTAAAAGACCAAAGTCTTGGCTTCAGAGGCAGAGGATCTAAACGTCGTGGACTACACACAAATGGGGCCATTATTGTTTGCAGAGAGATCTACCACGTACAAAATAAATTGCTGGTTATTCGGAGTGAAACTTTAAAAAAACGAGCGGAAAAGGTCACACTCAACTTCGTACCTAGGTTTTCCCGAAGCAGCCAGGTCAGCACAGAATCTCTGTACGGAATAAAATCCGTTTTCTTTTTCTTCTTACTCTGCAAAAGGACATTTGGTACTTAAGAGCCGATTACCGTACAAGACGCTTGCAGAGAGAGGTGTACCCAAGCGGGTGGGCTGCCACTTCCACGGAACAGGATATGGGAAGCCACAACCTGGTGGAGGTGATTCTCCTGAGAAGAATCTTTAGCAGCCTTAGACTCAAAGGGCTTTTTTAAAAAAAAAACATTTAAATAGGTGCCTCTCCTTAATTGACAAAAGAACTGAACTTGTTAATTGTTTTTGGCAGAGACAGGAAAACTGGAAATGGCAAGCCCCATCTTGGAAGAGGCATTAGAGGGAAAAAGAAGGATGCTCTTTTTAACCACCTTGGTGCAGCTGCTGCAATACACCAAGTTGGTTCCCACCACATCTGTCAGGATGAGGACATTTTATTATCCAAGTTACATGGCACTTCTGGACAAAAATGTCTTCATTTCTCAGCAGACAGAAACAGGGAATTGTGGGACAAAACCAAGCAAGGCCAGTTTTGTTCCATGTTCCTATATTTGTCTCTCTCTCTCTCTCTTTCTTTCTCTCTCTTTCCCCTCCCACCCAACTGAGTTTTCCTTTGCCAAGAAGGAAACACATTGTGAAAGTGCTCTGGGCCTAAAATAATTGCTTTTAAAAATATTTAAAAAAGGGCTGATTCTCCAGAAACACAGGACTGGAGCCCTGTATCGGATGTGCATGAGGCTTGGATCCTGGCCATGATTCTGATGGGGTTAGCCAAAAGGCAGCTGGTGAGTCTAATCAGGCCCAAGAACAGATGCCTTGGCGCAAAATAAAGAAAGAAAACCCAACTTCTGTTGGAAAATCTTTTTTTGAGAGAAAGAGGGAGAAACTGCTATTCTACGTATGCCTGAAGGCACGTACTATATACTAAGACAGCCCAGAACATTAAAAGACACCTGTTGTTGTTACAGAAGTGAGCCACGTGTGATCCAATCACATATATATTTTGCCCCACTTTTCTGATGCAGAAAATTCTCTCTGCAAGACTATCTTTGATGTGGCAAAATTGGGTCGCGCCAAGACAACAGCGCGCAAAAAAAAAAAAAGAACGTTTTCTTTAGAGTGGCAGAGTTTCTCCAGATATGACAAACATCCCTGCTTTAAAACTGACAAAACAGTTTTCATTCCTACAGGGGAGGCTTACTTGCAATCAAGAGGTGCAACTGGGCAAGGAGACTGCCATACCGATCAATCGAGGTTTTACTGTATTTACAGTCGGAGAGCGAACACAATTAAAAGTCTGTGGCTTCTTCCAAAGCTCATCCCAATCTTTGAAGCAGGCATGTTTGCAATGCTAGAAAGGATTAGATGGGGTGGGAGTGTGTTTTCTTTAGAAAACACATTGCTAGCTAGGAACCAGCAGTGTCTACATCAGGGGTTCTCAACCTTGGCCACTTTAAGACTTGTGGACTTCGACTCCCAGAATTCCTCAGCCAGCTTTGCTGGCTGAGGAATTCTGGAAATAGAAGTCCACAAGTCTTAAAGTGGCCAAGGTTGAGAACCCCTGGTCTACAGCCATGTTTCACAACCTTGGCAACTTGTAAAGATGTGTGGACTTCAACTCCGACGATTCCCCAGCCCAAGCATGCTGGCAGAGGAATTCTGGGGATTGAAGTCCACGTATCTTCAAGCTGCCAAGGTTGAGAACTACTATTCTATAGGCTACCACATTCAGTGACCACTCTTTACCCATCCTACCTTGCTGGTGCAGTTATCCTAGTTTTGGAAGCAGAGAATGGGAAAAAGGAGATAAGAGTAAGTAGGACCACAACAGAGTCAAAGTTCCCTGTCATTTTCCCCCAAAGCAGCACACCAGTTAGTCTGACTTCCCATCACCCTAAAAGGCCAACCCTCTATATTAGAACTCTATGATACAGGAAGCTATGAAAAGCAACTCCAGCCGCAGGGTAGGCGGGAAGTTTTACAAGAGAGGAAACAGGAATTCCCGAGAGAAATGGGGCCAAGACTAGCCCGCCCGATATACAGCGTTCCAATAAAGGTAGTCCCCGAGTTAAGACCGCGACTGAAACGAGGATTTCCGCCGCTAAGCAAGGCAGTTGTTAAGCAAGTCACGCTTAACAATTTTACAAGCTTTTCCCCCCCACCACAGTTGTTCAATGAATCCCTGCAGTTAAGTCATTAGGCAAACCCAGCTTCCCCCATTGACACTGCTTGTCAGAAGCAGATGGGAAGGTTGCTAGTGGCGATCACTCGATCCCAGGATGTGGCAATCTTTATAAAGGTACACCGGTAGCCAATTATGATCACGTGATCCTGAGGATGCCTACAAGGGTTGTATAACCAAGGACCAATCATAACTCACTTTTTTTCAGTACTCACTTTTGAGTACTTTCATAACTCACTTTTTTTTGTCAATTTGAACCTTCCCTCTATCGGCAACGTCCACAAACTTTTACGGCTTGGCAGACCGGTGGGGAGGAGGGGAGGGTAGAGGGGAACCGGGCTGTGTGAGTGGCGGGCCGGTGTGCATCGACAACGTGCAGCTTGACATGTGAGCAACGCATGTGCAAGTTGAACAGTGTGCACGTATGCACACACGCTGGCTCGCCACTGATGAAAATCGAGCCGAGCGCACACCGGTCTGCCACTCGCAGGGCGCCGGTCCTGAATAGGCCCCAGTCCAGTAGCGGGGCGTGGTCTGGGGGTTTGGGGACCCCTGCACTATATGAATGATTGTTAAGTGACAGACTGCCTTTAATAGTAGAGAAGTAGTTCTGGGTTAAACTGCTAGGCCACACCATCGGTGCACCGACCACTCGTGTGACTTAGTTTGGAAGTGAAACATCTCTGGGGATACAAGCCATTTCAGAGAGCACCAAGAACAGATACAAGAAATTCCAGGACTGGATATAACCTATACCTATTACTACTATACTATTTCCCCTCCCCTCCCCATGTCATCTGGAAACAAATGCCCCTTTCACATCTCCCCTGTGACTAAAGCCCCAAAGAGCTTGCAAAGCAACACCTTTTTTTTTTTTAAGGATTTCCCCCAAAATCTGGACTTACCACTTCCGCCAAGGCCGAAATCACTTTCCCCAGCGTGGTGAGGGACTTGTTGATGTTTGCCCCTTCCTGGAAAGGAAATGAGAGGGAAACGTTGCTCAGGTACCAGAAAGTTGGAAACGCAAGCTGGCTCCCCTGTCCTCAAGCAAGCTGGGAGTTTGTTTGACTAACTGCAGCAAGGATCTTAATGGCTGGGTCTGCCCAGGGATCGGTCTCCCGTGAGCAGTGGCTGAAAAGGACTAGAATCGGTTCTTCGAGTGCATTCCCTGAGTTGGCAGGGAGTTTTAAAGAAGAATTGAGAGGAGTTAGTAATAATAATAATAGTAAAGTTGGAAGGGACCTTGGAGGTCATCTAGTCCAACCCCCTGCTCAGGCAGGAAACCCTATACCATTTCAGACAAATGGCTGTCCAGTCTCTTCTTAAAAATGTCCAGTGTTGGAGCATTCACTGCTTCTGGAGGCAGGTTGTTCCGCTGGTTAATTGTTCTCACTGTCAGGAAGCTTCTCCTTAGTTCTAGGTTGCTTCTCTCCTTGATTAGTTTGCTTCTTCTCCTGCTTTCGGGTGCTTTGGAGAATAGCTTAACTGCCTCTTCTTTGGGGCAGCCCCGGAGATACTGGTAGAATGCTATCCTTTCCCCCCTTGTCCTTCTCCTCATTAAACTAGACATATCCAATTCCAGCAACCGTTCCTCGTATGTTTTAGCCTCCAGTCCCCTAATCATCTTTGTTGCTCTTCTCTGTACTCTTTCTAGAGCAGTGGTTCTCAATCTTTCTAATGCCGCGACCCCATAATACAGTTCCTCATGTTGTAGTGACCCCCAACCACTTATACATCACTGGGTACCAGGGGCGTGGCCAAAGAAAAGGGGGAAAAAATGGTGGACAGCCTTGTTTGGCGACCCCCGTGAAATGGTTGTTCGACCCCAAATGGGGTCCCCACCCACAGGTTGAGAACCACTGTTCTAGAGTCTCAACATCTTTTTTACATCGTTGGCCTCTGAAAATGGGGGGAATGTGCTAAAGAAGTCCATCAGGGAATCACAATGGACAGGTCACGATCAAGAGGGCAACTTCAGGCACACTGGGCTGTCTGCAAACCAAAGAACGATGGCCATTTGCCGGCTGCCCACCAGACCCCATCCCTGCGAGCTTATACCTTTAGTCGAGTCCCTTTGGCCCCAGTAGAATCCGCTCTCTCACTCCCAGCGAGATCCACCAGGCTGATTTTGCTAACCTGGAAAGGAAGAGACAGATCAGGCAAAGCACTCTGATCCAGAGGATAAACAACAGGTCAGACACTCGCAATTTGGTAGGATCCAACAAGACCAGGATTGAATTGTGTTCCGTCGGACCGGTACCGCCTTACTGTTTTTAGTGTATACACAGTGCTCAATAAATTGTCTGCTTTTTGTTGTGGGTTTTCCAAAGTGTTATCTCAAGCTAGAAAGCTTCTCTCCCAATGGGGATGTGCATTTTTTTAAACATGGGTATCCCGCTATGTCCATCGTGTATCTAAAGTAGGCTTGTGGGGAGGAGGCAGAAAGGAATTAATTAGTCATTAATTTGTTAAGTTCTGCCCAGGCAGAAGTGCCTCTGCTTCTGCGGGTGGGAAGGGAAGGTAAATTGGTCTCTCTTTCTTCCAAGTTCTTCCTTACTTCTTTTTCCCATCGCTGGTGATTTTTCTCTCCTTCTTTTGCATTCCAGATATAGCATAATTTTTCCTCTGGAAAAACCAGAGAAATTAACAGGCTAACAAGAGTTGGAACGGACCTTGGAGGTTTTCTAGTCCAGACATGTCAAACACAAGGCCCGGGGGATGGATGCGGCCCGCGAAGTGGTTTCATGTGGCCCGCAAAGCCATCCTGGAAACAGTGAGGGAACGGCCCCCGCTGCCTTGGCCCTGGCCGGCCGGGAACCAATGTACAATTTTGTGGTGGCCATCTATGCTGAAACGCATTCAGTCTCAGCTCCACAAGGCCGTCTGGAAACAGCGAGGGACCGGCCCCTGCCACGTCGGCCCCACCCCTGGATGGATGCTGGGGAGGGGTCACCCTTTGTGAGGAATGAAGAAATGCACCATCGCCTGGAAGTGGCCGGCAAATGGCCCTCGCCTACTTCACATATCCGGCTTGATGGGCTCCGGCGGAGGGGTTTCGACAGGCTCTTCCAGTGGACCATGCCTTGGCACTTGCCCTGGTCCCACCCCCTTCTGCCAGAGACCCTCAGAACTGTCCCACTCCTGCCCAGGCCCCCACAGGCACCCTTGACGCGAACGATGTAGAGCTGGCCATGCCCACCCAATAGGCCACACCCATTCCATCCACACCCACCCAATAGGCCACACACCCCCGCCCCCCGAGGGCCACCGCAATGCTGATGCGGCCCTCAATAAAATTGAGTTTGACACCCCTGATCTAGTCCAACCCCAGGAGACTTTATATCATTCCGGACAAATGGCTGTCCGGTCTCTTCTTGAAAAATCTCCAGTGATGGAGCACCCACAACTTCTGGAGGCCAGTTGTTCCACTGATCACAGTTCTAACTGTGATGAAAGTTCTCCTTAGCTGTAGGTTGCTCCTCTCCTTGATAAGCTTCCATCGTTTCCTGTCCCGCCTTCTGATGCTTTGCAGAATAGGCTGACCCCCCCCCCCTCTTCTTTATGACCGTCCCTCAAATATTGGAAGATGGCTATCATGTCACCCATAGTCTTTTTCATCAGATTAGACATGCCCAATTCCTGCAATCATTCTTCATATCTGCCTCCAGTCTCCTAATTGTTGCACTTTTTTAAAATAAATAAATAAATCTGGTTTTAAAGAAAAGAGGCGAGTTTTCCAAAGACTTTCCAAGAGATGTATGGTATTCCCTCCTATCCTATCCTGTCCTGTCCTGTCCTATCCTACCCTATCCCTAGAAAAACGGCTATCACAGCCTCCTATAGGCTCTGGATCAATTGCAAGGATCAACTGCCACCCAGGAGAAGAAATAGATTACCTTCTCGGTGGAAAGGTTTGTTTCAACATCGAGTTTCTTCTGAGTAAAAACAATGGTGAAGACAGCATGAGAACGGCTGCTGGTCTCGTTCATGTTGGTAGCTGCTACCGTCCTGGGGAAGGAAAGAAGAGAGAGAAAACAAAATATTAAAGATAAGACTATAAAGCAGAAATGGTTAGATCGACAGCTTTATTCCGAGAGGAGAATATATTTAATGATGGCTTTTGTTTGGATATCGCTTCTGCTCCTTTAGGACTCCTGCTACAGAGAGTCAGAATATTACTGAGCGATGACTTTTGGCGGCCAGCTCAAGCCTCTAGCCAAACTGAAATGGCAAAGCATTTATTTTTTTTTAATTTTATGAGGTTTTTTTTTAATATTCTTTTCTTATATGCAACATCTCAGCTTGTAGATGAGCAGTAGGAGTTCTCTGGTTGCCTTCAGTATCTTTTTCAACTGGAAATATGAGAAAATGTGGATTGTATGAGGAAGATCTATAGCGGATTAGTAAATGTTTTGATTGTTATACAATTAATGTCCATGTGGAATGGACATTAATTTTAACAATATGACTGCTATTTCCTAGTATATGATTGTATTTTGATAAGGTTACTCTGAATGTGATGATTATTATATTCTAATATTTTTATATCTAGACAACACACTATTTAATACAGAAATGGAATTTAGCAGAAGAAGCTAAACTATCAAGGGGGGACATGATAGCAGTGTTCCAATATCTCAGGGGCTGCCATAAAGAAGAGGGAATTAAGCTATTCTCCAAAGCACCTGAAGGCAGGACAAGAAGCAATGGGTGGAAACTAATCAAGGAGAGAAGCAACCTAGAACTAAGGAGAAACTTCCTGACAGTGAGAACAATTAATCAGTGGAACAGCTTGTCTCCAGAAGCAGTAAATGCTCCAACACTGGAAGTTTTTAAGAAGAGACTGGACAGCCACTTGTCCGAAATGGTGTAGGGTTTCCTGCCCGAGCAGGGGGTTGGACTAGATGACCTCCAAGGTCCCTTCCAACTTTACTATTATTATTATTATTATCTCAGACAAGTGACTGTCCAGTCTCTTCTTAAAAACCTCCAGTGATGGAATGTCCACGATTTCTGGAGGCAAGCTATTCCACTGGTTGATTGTGCTGTCAGGAAGTTTCTCCTTAATTCCAGGTTGCTTCTCTCCTTGATCAATTTCCAACCATTGTTTCTCGTCTTTCCCTCTGGTGCTTTGAAGAATAACGTGACCCCCTCTTTTATGTGGCAGCCCCTCAGATACTGGAACACTGCTATCATGTCTCCCCTGTTTCTTCTTTTCTTTAGACTAGCCAACCCCAAGAAGCATCATTTCAATTTGACTCTATTAATAGAGTGCCAGCAGTTAAAAGATGATCCTTTCACAAATCACGTTTTCAAATCTTTCCTCCCCGTCCGGCAACACAACTAGGTATGAAACACAAGCTTCAAGACTCTCCCCCCCCCCAAGTGACAAAAGACACCAACCTCGCTTTATTCCCAGCATCCATGAGGTCTGCAATATCAGTGTAAGAAGTGACCGCAAGCTTGGACAGGTCTTCTACGTAAGGCCCAAGTAGCGGGTGTTCCCGGACCCGCAAATTCCCTTTGTTTTTGGGGTTCAGTAAGTCTCGGACTCTCTCGCAATAGATCTCCATGTAACTGACCTATAAGAAAGGGACAACCATAGAAAACGGTGACTAATACACATAGTCCTCGACTTACAACCACAACTGAGCCCAAAATTTCTGTTGCTAAGCGAGACATTAGTTAAGTGAGTCTTGCCCCCAATTTATGACCTTCCTTGCCAAGGTTTGTCCAGTGAACCCCCGCAGTTGATAAGTTAGTTAACCCCCATTGACTTTGCTCGCCAGGAGGTCGCAAAAGAGGCACTGTGACCGTCATAAATAGGAGTCAGTTGCCAAGCGTCTGACTTTTGATCCCGTGACCACGGGGAGGCTGCCGATGAGTGTGAAAAAGGCTCCTAGGTCGTATGGTTTTTTTTTTTTCCAGTGCCGTTGTAACTTTGAACGGCCACTAAATTAAGTCGAGGACAACCTGCACGGAAAAGGCAGGTCATAATACAAAAGGAAAATGGATTTCCAAAAGCTGTCCGGGGAGTTAGAAGTGCTGATTTAGAAAAGCTCCATTATTCATCACGAGGGCACTTTAGGGCCAAGACATCGATAAGTATTTTGAGAGCTTCTTCTGGATCACTCAGGTATCTAAAGCGGCGATGAGGCAAGGACCCACACAAATAGCTCTGAGCTCAAGGAGCCATCTTAGATAAAAGTGGGCCTTTCTTGAAGATTGCCCAAGATAGTCTCCTCTGAGGGGCAGCTGCCAACTTCAGCCCCTCTCGCTTCTTGAGAAAGTTGGGTGTTGTGAAAGGGGGACCGGAAGGGGTAGGAGAGGTGGGGGAACTTCCAAAGAGCAAGCCTTGTATCGGAAGGGGCCACAAGCAAGCCACTAGGTAGGGCCCCATTCTAAATCTTAATACAATTCAGCCAGGGATAATGAAGCTGCAAACCAGCACGATCTGGGACAAAGGTATCAATGAAGACAAGTCAAGCAATGACACTGTGCGTGTATGAGAGGGAGGAGGGGGAGACGGAGACGGAGGGAGGGAGAGAAGAGAGGAAGAGAGAGATGGGGAGAGAGATGGGGAGAGAGATGGAGACGGAGAGAGAGAAGGAGATGGAGGAGAGAGACGGGGACAGAGAAGGGGGAGAGAGAGAGGGACAGGGAGAGAGAGATGGAGACAGAGAAAGGGAGAGGGAGAGAGAGAGATGGGGAGAGAGAGGGGGACGGGGAGAGAGAAAGGGAGAGAGAGAGGGACAGGGAGAGAGATGGAGATGGAGGAAGGGAGAAGAGAGAAAGACAGAGAGAGGGAGAGAGAGAGAAAGAGATGGGGAGAGAGAGGGGGACGGGGAGAGAAAAGGGGAGAGAAAAGGGGAGAGAGAGGGACAAGGAGAGAGAGATGGAGATGGGGAAAGAGAGAGAGATGGAGACAGAGGGAGGGAGGGAGAGAAAGAGAGATGGAGATGGAGGAAGGGAGAAGAGAGAAAGACAGAGAGAGGGAGAGAGAGAGAGAAAGAGATGGGGAGAGAGAGGGGGACGGGGAGAGAAAAGGGGAGAGAGATGGGGAGAGAGAGGGACAAGGAGAGAGAGATGGAGATGGGGAAAGAGAGAGAGATGGAGACAGAGGGAGGGAGGGAGAGAAAGAGAGATGGAGATGGAGGGAGGGAAAGAGAGAGAGGGAGGGAGGGAGGGAGGGAGAGAATTGCCTTCAAGCTCTTCTTGGATCAGGGAATAAATGAACCTCTGAATAAGTTCAGGATCAACCCTGGCTTGGCTTCTTCTGAAGAAAGGGGAGAATCCAAGATTCATTATCTCGCCCCCACTCTCTCTTTTCTCGGCCGTCCGGACCCCCAGGCCCATCTCTTGCAAATTCCTACCACAAGAGTCTGAAAATGACTCCCTGCTCTGAACCTCTTTTCCCCTCTTGCTACTCTCACTTCAGAGCAAACAAAGGCCTTGGCCAGGCACATTTTTTTCCTTAATCGGAAATCCTGCTGAAGCATTTATATCGGCTGTTGCAGGTAAAGGGGGGGGGGGGGAAAGTCCCGAGGACGGTAGAAGACCTTATAATATGCTTATATTATAACAGGCTGGAGTAAACACAAAATCTCTTGATGTTTCTTTGGATGTTGCTGGATTTTCTTTTTTTTTAAGAAGGATATGGTTGGGGCAAAAGAAGAAGAAGCAGGATGTTCCATCTTTGGCAAGCTCCAGGAGAAAAAAACACTGCTTTTTGATTTTATTATTTTTTTTTAACTTTCCCACGGGGAATCTACATTAACCCCAAACTCCTTAGAAGCCAGCAAGTTGCAGAGAGCTTAGCAGAAGCTCTGACTGTTTTCTTCCAGAAAGGAGAGCTAACAAAACACAGACTAAATCCGCACGGCAATGTACTACTTTTACGCAGCCTGGGTTCCGGCAAGCGGCTTTGTGAATGGTCTGGAAAGGCCCCTGTGTTAACAGGAAGAGTGTGTTTATTCAGGCACAGCCCCATCCATTATGCTATCTTCTGATGGTGTACATTCTCCCCCCCCCCCTTCCATACACGCTCCCCATGTGCTTCCTCTCCCAGCAGCTAAAGGGGCCCTCCAGCACTACACCAATATCCAGAAACAAATCAAAGAGCATTCCAAAAATCATCCAGCCGTTCATCTTTGGCTCCCTTCAGCATCCAGACATTATCTCGGTCGATTCGAGCTTCTAATAAGGAAACGGCCCCTGCGCACTTCTTAAGGCTCAAGTTGTGAAATCCCGCTGGGGAAAAAAAAACACCACGAAACTGAATCTCCATCGAGTCAATTTTTGGGGCCATACGGACACACCGCTTACCTCCACAGAGTAAGATATTTCCTCGTTGCTGTTGTCGTTGATCTTCTCAAAGAGCTCTTCGCACAACTATAAAGAAATGGGGAAGCATCAAGCTATAGTTTAGGTGGAAAGGAGACCCTATACCCGTGGTGGCGAACCTATGGCACGGGTGCCAGAGACGGCACTCAGAGCCCTCTCCGTAGGCACGGGCACCGTCGCCCCAGTCCTAGGCCTTCAGCTGGGTTTTAGAAAACCTTTTCGCTTTAGGCCTCCGCCACCATGTACACACACAAAAAAAGGTTCAATCAAACAATCAGTCAATTTCAACCTCGTGGGAAAAAAAAAGGTCTCGCCAAGTTGGAATCGATTGATTGAACTTTTTAGTCCCACCCAGTCTGCCGTTACCACAGCCACGCCCACCCAATGGGCCACACCCACCTAATGGGCCACACCCACCCGGCACCCAATGATGCATAAGTGGATTTTGGGTCGCAGTTTGGGCACTCGGTCTCTAAAAGGTTTGCCATCACTGGCCTAGGATATTTGGCTATAACCGTGCCACCTGGGCCACACACACACACATACACACACACACACACAGCCTGCTCCAAAATCCATTGACAGGTTCCTAGTTTAGCTCCAGCCAGCCAGCCAAAATTCACTAGAAGTAAGCCTATTGGTAAGCCACTTTCATAATTTCACGGTGACCGAAGTGGGAAGGCGGCTTGAGTAAAGGAGGAAACGGGCCTTCAAAACTCAAAATATGTAGGATGGTAAGCTGCTAAGAGTCGCCTCAGCGAAACGGGTGGCATAGTAAGTCTAATAATAAAAAATAAATAAAAACAAGATCATTGAAACGAGGAACAGGGGTTGCATCTCCAAAGGGTGATGGTTACAGAATGCAGAAGAAGAGAGCTGGAAGGGACCCTGGAGGTCATCTAGTCCAACCCCCTGCTCAGGCAGGAAGCCCTACCCCATTTCAGACACAGGGTTGTCCAATCTCTTTCTTAAAGACTTCCAGTGTTGGAGCATTAGGCTAAATCTTCTCTATTTCATCATAAAGCATTAACGCCGCTACTTGGTTTTAGAAGCATCCTTTGTATTTCCATCAATCTGGATACTTTTAATAGCTCCACTAAGTCACAGTTTTTCGGGGTCCTCATTTCTTCCTTACCCCCTTCTTGTACCCCCCCCCCCAAGAATAAAGAAATTCCCTGTATGCAAAGCTTTCATAGCCCAGATCCAGGCATCTTAATTTTATATTCAAAATAAAATGCAACGTACAAAAGAGACGGCGCTGCAAATATTTGCCACGGCTTCCTTTCTCACAAATGCGAGGCAGAAACTTGAGTGAGCACAAGTTCAAAGAAGGTCATTTCAATCAAGGACACACACACACACACACCCAGTCTACGGCTTTCAATAAAGCTAAGATAGTTGTACCTATGTAGCCAGAGCAGGCCGTTTCAATTTGGGACCAGTTCTTAATTCGGCACACGCCCAAAGCCAAACACAAAAGCTTGCTCAGTTTTCAAGTGAAATCACCGACGTGTCACGAAGTGTAGAAAATCAGAATTTTCTAACTGCACGTTTTGGGGCACAGTAATTGATTTGCAATCTGTAACCTGCACAAAGAGCTGCTGAAACCAACTTAGATACAGAGAAGCTCCCCGTTTCGTGCAACGTGGCAGCAGGTTTGCAGGTTTGCCAGTCTGAAGCGTCCAAATACGGACACTCAATTTAATTTCTGATCCTTTGATCTTCCTTCTCCTAGACCTCAGCTTGAACACCTGGCTAACATTTCATTTAATCAACACCCTTGAACCAAGACGCCCTGTGTCTCCTTCGCAGGTTTGATCAGACGGCTGGCCTGCTTTCGGACACAATGATTATTCGGATCCACTATTCACAAAAAAAAACCACTTATATGAGCTTAGCCTTTGCTCTTCCCTTATGGTTTCTTTCAACTAACTCCGCATTGCAGACTGGAAAATGCTGTCTCTCGGTGCCGAAACGCCACTGTCATTTTAAATTATTTGAAGAAGACCAAGGGACAAAAGACAAAAGCATCTGAAGAAGTCTGTCGTTTCAATGTATCCCAACTTCATTAAGAAGAGCAAAATAATAAACAAATAGGAGAGAAAAGCAGTGAACAAAATCGATGAAAACAAAACCCAGAGCAGGCTGGATTCCACTGTGCTGACCTGAGCCATTGTTCAGAGGCCACATTTGAAGCAGGAAAAGGCATTCAACACTCACAACCGACCACAAATGGTCACAAACGCAACCCCTGGAAAGAGACGGAAGGCAGCAGAGCATTTTGATATATTTATTAAAGGTAGAGGGTGCCTGTCTCACTACGCAGAGGCCTCATCTGTTTGCAGAAGGGAAAAAGCTGGGATATTCTTCTGAAAGGCTGAGGCAGAAAGAAAAAAAAAGGAAGGAAGGAAGGAAAGAAGGAAGGAAGGGAAGGAAGGAAGGAAGGAAGGAAGGAAGGAAGGAAGGAAGGAAGGAAGGAAGGAAGGAAGGAAGGAAGGAAGGAAGGAAGGAAGGAAGGAAGAATATTTGGGCCCCGCAAAATAAGCCAAGATCCCGTTTACCTGTGGGATGATCCCTGCCTGGTTCTCCTCCTGCTTCCCCATCATGGTGTAAGATTTCCCCGCTCCAGTTTGGCCATATGCAAAGATGCAGACGTTGTAGCCTTCAAAGGCGTGGAGGAGCATTTCTTTCCCGATGTCGTTGTAGACACGGTTTTGAGAGGCGAAGCAAGGATCCTCAGACTGCAGGAATTTAAGAGAAGAAGATACTTAATTTCATGTCTCCCACGGTTTGGGGTACCTTTTTTAAGGATATTCCCAAAAGACTTAGAGCAGTGGTTCTCAACCTTTTTAATGCCGCGACCCCCAACCAGTCGTAAGTCGAGGACTACTCAACCGGTTGTAAGTCGCAGACTACTCAACCGGGGCAGCACCGTTTGCAGAACAGGACTTTTGGCGGGCTCAGCAGGGCAGAGACAGCCTGGACAATTCCTATTGGCTTTTGAAAGCCAAGAGACTTAGACTCTATTCAAGAGAGTCTATTCTATTGGCTTTCAAAAGCCAATAGAATAAAAGGGAGGAGCACAGCTAAGGAAAAGGGGGGGGAAATGGCGGACTGCGTTGTTTGGCGACCCCTGTGAAATGGTCGTTCGACCCCAAATGGGGTCCAGACCCACAGGTTGAGAACCACTGACTTAGAGACAAGGATATTCCAGCCTAACAAGGCTGCCCCATTTCCTTCGTGTGTCACTTATGATAAGATAACCTTTATTGACATTTTTATACTGTGGGCACAATGGCAGACATCAAAAATGAAATTGAGTTGCCCGCCCTCAAAGGGAAACACACACGACACACACCTAAACATACTATGAACAACATATGTATAGACCCACACCCCTACATATACGTAGCAAATAAATATTAAATATTGTCCATCTTGAATATATAATGGAAGGAGGAAGCTTGAGATTTCACCAGGTTAATGCTGTAGGGCAGTGGTTCTCAACCTTTTTAATGCCAACCGGTCGTAAGTCGAGGACTACTCAATCAGTCGTAAGTTGAGGACTACTCAACTGGTGCAGCACCGTTTGCAGAAGGGGACTTTTGGCGGGCTCAGCAGGGCAGAGACAGCCTGGACAATTCCCATTGGCTGTTGAAAGCCAATAGAATTAGACTCTATTCAAGAGAGTCTCTTCTATTGGCTTTCAAAAGCCAATAGAATAAAAGGGAGTAGCACAGCTAAGGAAAAGGGGGAAAAAATGGCGGACTGCGTTGTTTGGCGACCCCCGTGAAATGATCGTTCTACCCCAAATGGGGTCCCAACCCACAGGTTGAGAACCACTGCTGTAGGGAATGAAATTCTGGCTGAATCTGGATGTTCTGCTTCGGATGCCACGAAGCCCCCCTCCTCCCACAAGGTAACAGGGAAGACAAATATATTTCTTGTGCAGTAGACTGCTTTATCTCAAAGGCAACTTTGAGATGACTTTATCTCCCAAGATGATTTCGCTGCAATGTTTTCCTGATTTCTTTTGTTTTCTGAGAAGGCTTACGCGGGGAAACTTTGACGAAAACAGTATGCGGGTTCTGCAGAGATTTAACATTTTTATCTACAGGCAAGCTAGAAATACTTAGTTGCCTGCTCTACCTAATGCAGAGATTTTCTTTTTCTGGATAAATCACAGGGCCGAAAGCGCGATGGACAGGAAGATTCATTTTCCATCGTTTTCATCTCTGAAGAACAACTGAATGGCGATACCTCAAAATCCAATAACTGCTGGAAGTCGGTGAAATCCTAGCTGTAGCTTCCATAAGATATGGGGGCTTCAGGGCCTGGATGCCAGTCTGCTGTCATGGTTTAGTCTACTGGGAGCCAAATGGGGAAGCAGCGTACACTGCTCTTAATAAGCTAAGCTAGGAAACTGAAAACTCATCTTTTACGGAGCTAGGAATATTCCAAGAGGAAGTTTATACATAGACTCCTACATGGAAATTGTTTGAGGTTCAAATTCCACCTTGGAGCTGCTTAGGCTAATCCTCTCTCTCTCTCTCTCTCTCTCCTCTCTGCAAAGCCATCCTTGGACACACTTGTACCTCCTATGAAATTTAATATTTCTGATTGCAGGCTGGAAAATGCATTTAGATCGAGAGGAACCTTTTGGCTCTTAAAAACAGCTAAAATCGCAATACAATCAGAGGAGAAAAACAGCTGTTGCCTGGAGGACTGAGACATATCCACCCGTCCGCTCCCTGGCTTTTATCACACTTTCAGAAGGAATCTGGGTTCAAGACAAACTAGGGTTCTTACCGAGGTATGGGACCAGTACGAATAGTCAAAGCTGAAGGATTTGGGTGCTTCTTTCGGATTCTTTGGATTCAAAATACCTGAAAGACAAAAAAAAAAAAAAAAAAAAACATACACATTTACTATCCAAGAACTCTGAGGAACAATCAGGGCAGAGAACGTACAATTCCTATCTTCTACTAGATACTTGACTGAGCTTGCTTTCCAAAATGGGACTCATGAAAAATTCTACCTCATCTATTTCTATTACAAAAGTGAGGTGCAAAAATAATAAGGTGGAAACTCATCAAGGAGAGAAGCAACCTAGAACTAAGGAGAAACTTCCTGACAGTGAGAACAATTAACCAGTGGAACAGCCTGTCTCCAGAAGCGGTGAACGCTCCAACACTGGAAGTTTTTAAGAAGAGACTGGACAGCCATTTGTCCGAAATGGTGTAGGGTTTCCTGCCTGAGCAGGGGGTTGGACTAGATGACCTCCAAGGTCCCTTCCAACTTTACTACTATTATATTATATAATATCACACACTGAAGATGTCACCTAGTTGGATAATGAAAAGTCTGCAAGAAAACAACCAAGTTCGGAGAGCACTAAGAACTATCATAAACAAGAGTAAATGCTGTCCTCAGGAGAGCCACATTTGTTTGAGTTGGGGGCTATATAAATAAATCTTTCGAGGAAGAATTGCTTGGCAGACTTCTCAATTGCTAAATAATCCAGTATGAATCCTGTGGGTTTGTTAATTTTGTTTCATTTTATTAGCCACTCTTATTAGCTTGAGTTCTGTTCTTTCACACTGGCTCTTGTAGGGAGCCATTCCAAGTTGCTGGTTTTGAAATGCTGGTGAGCTATTCAGTAACTGAATTCATGGATATTTATTTATAAGACTTACATGGCCACCGGGCGGTTGGGGACCCGTTTTAAACCGTGGTGTGTTTTTACCACGGTTCACTGAAATAGTGGTCGGGTTCATGTAGATTGTTTGAAGATGAAATCAGATTGATAAAAACGGATCAATGCTGTCACAAAAATTCAGGAAGTCACTTGGAAATTCTGGCCAACTTTCCACAGGATATAAATGAGAGAAGTTAGTAATGTGAATTCCACAGACTTTTGCTAACCTTTTTTCCGCTTCTGTTTCCTCTTCCATAGTTGGACAGTGAGCTTACATATATCAAGGTTGTGGGGGAAAAAATATAAGTTTAGCCACCTCTAAACCTATTTTTTCCACAACCTTGATATGTTTCATTACAGAAGCCTTTATTTTTACGTTGTGAATCTGCTGTGTTGAGGGTCCATTCAGTTGCAGCTTAGAAACATGACAATAAATGCCAAGGCAAAACAGAGAAATGTGGAGGCTAAGAAGGGGAGAGCATTAGATGATGGATCTCTCTGTCTTTTTTTAAAAGATATCATTTCTGTGAACATTTTAATTGGCTCCTCTATGGTGTTTTTAGTTTCTTTCTCAGGCCCTTTTTATTGCAGACTCTGGTTGTTCCCACAGAAGGTTGAACTTCTGAAAGCCAATCCATAATTCAGGATCTTTTTATCTCCGTATTATAACATGCATTTCCAAATGGGTTGAACTGCCCAGGAGTCCTTGAGCTTTTTGTGTCAGCTTTTTTGTGGGTCTCTGATGGAGGGGGAAAGGGACCTGGGTCTTCATCATCATAGTTCAAAGAAAAATTCCCCAATCCAGAAGTTCTCAGTAGGATGGCCTACTTTTTGACTTGGCTTATCCGTACGGCTCCTTGCTTTCCGTTTTTTTTTTTTTTTTTTTCAATTCTGACTTCATTTGGCTCACTGCAAATTTATGATGTCAAAAGTTACCCGCCATATGCCTCTAATTGAATTTGATTCATCGTTGTGCGGCAGCTTCTGAATAACCGATACTGTCAGTAATTGCTTCTTTGACTTCTTGTAAGTTTATGCTTCTGTCCTCGGCAATAGTATCGGTTTTCTAATGAGGTCTCTCTTTTTTAATGCTTTTTGATTTTTCCAAGCATTTTTTCCAAGCATTCCAGTGACTTATCATCGGGTATGTTTGATTATTTTATTATTTGGGGGCAGGTGTTTGTTGCTGTTGTGAGCTACCTGGAGTTGTGCCTGACAGAAGCTGGGCCGTGCAAACAAGCGAAGCCCCATCCGTGGGATGGAGACAGCACCACGCCTTCTCCGGTCTGCGGAAAAACCTCCCTCCACGGAACCGGTCCCTAGTGCCCAAAAAGCTAGGGAGTGCTGGCTTAAAAGAATGTATGAATGCATTCTGGAACAAAACACTTTTTAACAGGCTTTAAATTTCTGGTATCTTGCTCATGATATGGCACTCTTCTTTCAAACAATTTCAGAGTTTCCACGCTGCTGCTGCGACAGCCCTATTGCGATGCGGTCGTCCCGTTGTCGGTTTCCTAGTCCAGACCGATTACTTCAGTTTGGATGCACAGGACCCCAGGCTAATAGTTTAATTACACAGATCCTTAGAAAAGGAGACGGGGAATCACAGGGAAGAAAGCGAAGACCTGCACTAACCGCTTGCGTGTTGTTCAACAAAATTAATGTGTTTATCTGGAATTTGAAGGGGGGAAAAAGCCAACATGGCAATTAAGTCTTCTGTTTGCAAACCGCCCCTCAAATGCTTTTGTGTTACGACTATAATTAGTTTCCATCACTGTGGTGCTAAAAGCAACTTGGAGCATCATCGCAGTTAACCCTGGCCACCTGCTTCAGAGAACACCACAGCCTGAGTAGCGTTTGAGGCTGCACTGTAATTTTTTTATAGGACTGCTTTACCCTGTGCTATATTTGCCCCTCGGTAGAATTTGCGCTCGCCATTTGTTAAAAGTGGAAGACTGGGTTTCATTGTCTCAAATACCAATCATTGGGGCTGGGTTTCCCTGTTGACGGACATGTGATCATCCTTTCTTGCCTAGCAGACTTTAGAGGTACAGACCCATGGCCCCAAAATACAAAATAAAGGCCAACATCCATCATTGGTGGCAAATGAAAAATTGGAACACAGATCTGTTTCTCTGATTTTCTCGATGTCTTCTTGTTGGGCTGTGTTTGACTCGAATTATGAGCAAGTCCTCCCTAAAGCCAGCATAGTAATAATAATAATAATAATAATAATAATAATAATAATAATAATAATAATAATAAAAAGTTGGAAGGGACCTTGGAGGTCATATAGTCCAACCCCCTGCTCAGGCAGGAAACACTATACCAGTGATGGCGAACCGTTTAGAGACCGAGTGCCCAAACTGCAACCCAAAACCCATTTATGTATCGGCGGGTGCCAGGTGGGCGTGGCCCATTGGGTGGGCGTGGCTTCGGTGATAACGGCAGACTGGGTAGGACTAAAAAGTTCAATCAATTCCAACTTTTTGAGATCTTTTTTTTTCCTGCAAGAAGTTGAAATTGATTGATTGAACCTTTTTTTTTTTTTTTTTTTTTGCACACGGCAGCGGAGGCCTAAAGTGAAAAGGTTGTATAAAATCCAGCTGAAGGCCTAGGACTGGGGCGACGGTGCACATGCCCAGAGAGAGGGCTCTGCGTGCCACCTGTGGCACACAGCCCTATACCATTTCAGACAAATGGCTGTCCAATCTTAAAAACTTCCAGTGTTGGAGCATTCACCGCTTCTGGAGGCAGGTTGTTCCACTGGTTTATTGTTCTAACTGTCAGGAAATTCCTCCTTAGTTCCAGGTTGCTTCTCTCCTTGATTAGTTTCCATCCCTTGCTTCTTGTCCTGCCTTCAGGAGCTTTGGAGAATAGCTTGACTCCCTCTTCTTTGGGGCAGCCCCTGAGATACTGGAAGACTGCTCTTGTGTCCCCCTTCGTCCTTCTCTTCATTAAAGTAGACATACCCAATTCCAGCAACCGTTCCTTAATTAATTATGTTCTCTTTCAAGATGTTGGCATATTCTAATGGCACCCTCTGGGTGTCAACCAAGCTAATTCTCACTACTCATGGAGGGGAAAAGCCAGAAGCATTAGCTCTGAGAAGAAGTTCTTGAGAGCTGATAGAGAGAGGGGGACGTCCTCCATTCATTCTCAGTTGCCATTAGCTCATCCTCTTCTTGACCTACTTTTATTGAACCCGGTCATCATAAGAACGGTGATGCAACTTTGAAGGACTCTCATCCTGTTTTTTCCGTCATACGAGCAGAGACAGTCAGACTTCTGCACGGGATAAAGTTTTGAAGATGGTAACTGCTGCTACTTCCAATTGTTTCATAAAGACGCTCCTCGGTTGGCTACCATTATTCAACAGGCGGAGGATGATCAAGGTCTTCTGATCTGATAGGTGGGAAAGGCAGGCTGCGCAATAAATGAGGTGTCCAGCATCACACCACGAGTCAAGGGGAAGGAAGAATGCAGACCTGAGTCATCCAGATCTACAGTAAGTGTGGTGAAGTGAGTGACTCACATTACGTCCAGGCAGAAGCTACATTTAGCTCCGTGCTCGGGCAGAAAAATGGTGGCTGATCTTGCCGCTGTTCAAAAGTGTGACAAAAGAAACTTCAATAAATTTTCCAAGCCAACCTGTACTTGATAAGTACGGGTAGTCCTCAACTTACAACAGTTCGTTTAGTGACCGTTCGAAGTTACAACAGCACTGAAAAAAGTGACTTTCAACGGTTTTTCACACTTAGGACCGTTGCAGCATCCCCAGGGTCATGGACTCAAATTCAAATGCACATTTATGACGGTCGCAGTGTCCTGGGATCCTGAGATCCCCTTTTGCAACCTTTTGACAAGCAAAGTCAATGGGGGATTCGTTTAACAACCTTGCTACTAACGTAACAACTGCAGGGATTCAGTTAGCGAGTAAAATGGGGCAAGACTCATTTAACAACGGTCTCCCTCAGCAACAGAAATCTTGGGCTCCATTGTGGCCGTAAGTCAAGGACTAGCTATGTATTCAAAACACACCCGCTCCAATCTATTCTATCACACAACCTGAGGTGGATATCTATTGGTTATATTCAGCATTAAAAGGAAAAAGAATAAGAAAGACAAGAAGGAGTAAAAAAAAGCAGCAAAACAAGCTTGAAAGTGCCAAATCACATGCTCTATTTC